ATACCAGAACGCTGGACAGCAATTCTATTTCACTTCCTCCAATTACTACAGAAAATCATCAAAAGGCTTACGACATGTTTACTGAGATGTTAATAGACTCTGCTGAAACCAGTATTCCGAAGAAAAACAACATTCGTAAAAAAGTTCCCCCCCCTTGGTGGGACTCTGAATGCTCAGAAGCTATCAAAAAACGTAAAGAGTCTGAGAAAACTTACAGGAACGCCATGACCATGGATAATTTTGTAGCTTACCAGCGAGTCGCGGCTCAAACCAAAAAGATGCTTAAATACAAAAAAAGAATTGGTTGGATTAACTTTTGTGAATCGTTGGCTCCTGGCACTCCATCGACAATAGTATGGAAACAATTAAAAAGATTCCGTAGGGCTCGCAACCGTGCGAATCTGACGGCTAATGATCCCTCTATCTGGATCGATCTATTTGCCGATAAATTAGCCCCCCCATTTGCCCCAAATTTTGATTGCCTTCCTGTGAAACTACATGTCACTCTGTCCTCTAAAGACAACTTGGATGAGGTCTTTTCATTTGAAGAACTCCAAAAAGCTCTTTCTGGTTTAAGGGATACTTCTCCAGGCTTGGATGGCATTCCATACTCTTTCCTGATAAGAGCCTCCGACAAAATAAAACAATATTATTTAAAATTGATTAATTCATTTTACGATACCGGTTCCATCCCAGTTCAGTGGTCTAAGCAAATAATCATCCCTTTAATCAAACCAGGGAAAGATCCCTCTAATCACTCTTCCTACCGCCCTATTGCCCTATCATCTGTCCTCCTAAAAATCATGGAACACATGATTAAAAACCGCCTGGAATGGATTGTGGAAAGCCGTAATATCATTGCTAAATCTCAATATGGTTTCAGAAAGGGCTTTAGTACCATGGACAGTTTAAGTTTATTAACATCGGATATTCGATTAGCATTTCAAAACAAAGAATACCTTCTTGGTGTCTTTCTAGATGTTGCTTCTGCTTATGATAATGTCCTTATTCCAGTGCTCAGGCATAAAATGCATCAGCTGAGTGTTCCTGAGAAATTAGTTCGGTTCATTTGCAACTCAATCACAACTAGATCCATCCTGATAAGGCATCAAAATCATTCACTGGCAAGGACGGTCTGGAAAGGGTTACCTCAAGGATCAGTCCTTAGTCCTATTTTATATAGTTTATACACGCATGATATGGAGCTTTCCACAAATTGCTTTTGCAACACTCTCCAATACGCAGATGATATAGCTCTATACGTACGAGTAAAATCCATACCGGAAGCAACTTCACGTATGAACTCTGCTCTAAATCACCTCGGGGAATGGTTAGAAAAACACGGTTTATCAATTTCCCCACCAAAGTGTAGTGCTGTTATCTTTACCAAAAAACGAAATGTTCCTACTCCTGTTATAAAATTTCAAAATTCTGTCATAGACATAAAAGACTGTGTTAAATTCCTAGGTATGATTTTGGATTCCAAACTATCGGGAACGGCTCACTTCAATAATGTTGCCAACAAGGCAGAAAAAGGTGTCAATGTTCTTCGTGCGCTCTCTGGTGTTTGGTGGGGTGCACACCCAGTTACCCAAAAACTAATATATAACGCCATAGTGCGCAGTCACTTTGATTATGGTTCCTTCCTTCTCGACCCTTGCAATGTATCCGCATTAGACAAAATAAACAAAATTCAATCGAAGTGTTTGCGTATTATTCTAGGGGCTATGAAGTCCTCCCCCATTAATGCCCTCCAAATAGAGGCTGCTGACCCCCCCCTTTTTCTTCGTAGGCAATATCTTAGTGACAGATTTTTCCTCAAAATTTTACAAAATGAATCCCACCCGTTGCTAGCTATTCTACACAAACTTGTCGATGTTACCGTCATAGGTCCCAATTCACATCAAAAAATTCCCTGTATTTTAACGAGTTACTCGAAGTTCTGTCGCCCTTCTATAATGATCGAGAAATTCCCCCGTAATCCTCTATTCCTAAATAGCTTTGAATCGTTGCTTTTTAACCCTAACATAGTACTGAATTTGGGTATTGAAAAACATTCTCCCAGTGCAAACCAAGATTTAAATAAAGTAATTGCTAAAAACTGGCCTCATTGGCTTCTAATGTTTACGGATGCCTCAAAACTGTCAAATACGAGTAGTGTTGGTGCTGCAGTGTGGATACCTAAGTTTAGTATAGTATTAAGTTTTAAAGTTCCTTCACCCTCATCGGTCTTTACAGGTGAGGCAATAGCTATTCTAGAAGCAATCTTATATTGTGAATCTCACAACCTTAATGAAACTTTAATTTTATCTGATTCAATGAGTTGTCTTCAATCAATCTCTTCCAACCCTTTCAGGTCTAAATCTCGCTTTCCTATTATACTTAAAATCAGAGAAGCGTTATATAGATGTAGAAAGAAAAACATAGAACTAGTGTTGGCTTGGATCCCAGGCCACAGTGGCATAAAAGGCAATGATTCGGCGGATTCATGTGCTCGTACAGCAATATCTAGTGGTATTGCAAGCTATCCCAAACTACCATGTCAAGATTTTCTCCCTCTTACTCATTCTCATTTATATCAGTCGTGGGAAACACATTGGCAGAATACTCGAATAAAAACCGGTAAATATTATTACGACATCCAGCCAATAATTCCCTATAAACCTTGGTATCACCGTCGGAAAAATGTTCCAAAACAAGTGGTTTCAGCATTGTGTCGCCTCCGACTTGGACACTCTTGCGTACCTGTCCACTTAGCCAAAATTAAAGTTAAGGACAATTCCCTTTGTGAATGCGGACTGGATGAAGGATCAGTCGAACATGTGTTATTTGAATGCCCCAAACTTCGTTATTCCTTATATGATTCCCTTCCAAATGATATACCCCGGCCCCTAAATGTCAAAAATATCCTTCAACTAGTTAATTCACCTTTGCTAAGCATACTAATTAAATTTATATTAAATAACAAAATTAAATTGTAAAAGTCCTGCCTATTTAATCGGTATTCATAGGTGTATTTGTTGTGTTATGTCCTGCATGTCGTAAATGTGTTGTATTTTGTTTCAGGATCGCTAAACTGTCATAGGAAGTGAATTAATTTTTAATAAGCCTTTTCCAAAATTCTTTTTTTCTCATAAATATCCCTACCGTGTAATAGCTTTTCACGTGAAATTGGCAGAATTGTGCGAAACGCGCAGATAAGCCATTAATTAAAGAAGAAGAAGAAGATCATAAGTAATGATATTTACATAAATCATGTCATTTCATATCATATCACAATAATAAATACAACTTTTAAAGTCTGTACGACATAGGTTGAACATAAAATTAGTCTTTATAGAACAAAGCGAAGGCTATTAATTCCATGCATTGCCATTCTCAAAATAATCATCAACTTTATAATAGCCTTTACTCATAAGTATGTTCATTACATGATTTTTAAATTTATTTATGGGTATGTCAACTACGAACTTTATTGAACATAGCAATGCATTTACCCAGAAATGATCCTCTGGTTATCTGAAGTCTGAAGCTTGGAATGGCAAGTTTATTTTTATTTCTTGTGTTAAGATTATTAAAACTACTTTTTTTTGTGAAGAAATCGTAATGTTTTCTTGCGTAGATAATTGATGTATTGAGAGGCAACAGTCAAAATATTTATTTCTTTAAATATTTCTCTGAGAGATTCTCGAGACCGTAAATTATATATAGCGTGGACAGCTCTCTTTTGTAGAATAAAAATATCTTGAACGCTAGCCGCAGAACCCCACAACAATAGATTATACGTCATTACACTATGAAAATAACTAAAATATACCAATCCTGCCGTTTCAACATTTGTCAAGAGTCTAATTTTCTTAACAGCAAATGCTGCAAAACTGTCTACTTGATAAATTATCAATATGAGAATCCCATTGCAGTCGGGAATCTAGTGTAATACCAAGAAACTTTGTCGATTTCACCAACTCAACTTTTTCACTATTTACATTTATAAGTGTATTAATATGCCTCACATTAGGTAACGCAAACTTTATGTATTTCATTTTATTTAAATTAAGCTTTAAATAATTACTATCAAACCACTGTAGAACATTGTCGAACTGAATTACATTTAACTGTTTCAAAACAAAATTTAAAGCTTTTATTTCATCAACTCATATTATGTCACATCACTAATATGCACAATTGGAATGATACCAGTAAGAAAAAAATACAAATTAGGCTTAATGTAATTAATACAAAAATTCTGTTGGTTTCTTAATTTTTATTTTTTTTTACACTTTCCCTCGCTTAATTATATTACTCCACAGACATATGATAGAGTTTATCATTAAGTTTTCTTAGTTTTTGTACTGCGTTTTTTAAAAGATATTTTAATAAATTATATAGGGAAAAGCGTTATTTTTCAATATTCACTTGGTTACAGCAAAATCTAATCTTAAAAGTTCGCACATAAAATGATGTCCCCAATTTTTTAAAATGTGCATAATCTTAAAATATTTTTTCCCTTCTGGTATCCCCGTATACAGCCACGTGACAGTTCAACATTCATGTTAAAGAAAATTATTTATTATGAAGTTGAATTAGAGTTTGTTTTTATTCGTGTGATTTCTTAGCTTAGTATCTTTTTGGGATTTTGTTTATGTTATCACGAACGTATCGCGTGGCGGCTTTTCATGTAGTGAACAAAATGATCATTTCATCTAATCTGTATTTGTGTGCGGAGAGGCGACACTCGGTTCCCATACTAAATCAATATCATTATACTTCTAATCTCTTTCTATGTTCTGTGATACTAAATAATAATATTTTTTTATTATTCATAAATAATAATGATTAGTAACGTTAGTAGTATATAAACAAAATATTAATATGACTCAAGATTATTTATATCTGAACTCCACAACCACGGATCTAAAAGGAAAGGGTTTTTGTGCAGGTTTGTATGATATCAACGTATGTATTTATGTATATTGGACAATAGAAATATAATATCATACCTATCGGAGGAGTCGTCGTGAGAGTCCCTACGCGCGCGGTCCGGCGGCGGCCGGTGGTCAGCGGCGCGTTTCTTTTTCTCAGAATCGTCATCGGATAAGTCCGAAGATGAACATGAACCACCTCGCCGCCTGCGACATTCCGCGCCCCGCCCACCACCCTCGCCTAGATTCACCTGCACCATCCAGACGTTTATAATTAAAAAATATATATATAAATAATAAATAAATATCGCTCAGCTTCCAATATGAGTATCTAAAGTCACCGTGTTATGGAGTATCTGAGACACCCAGATACCACAACACCCAAACCCGAGACAATATAGAAAAGTCGATTTTCTACATTGAATCCGGGAATAGAACCCGGAACCTCAGAGATGAGGACTACTCGGCTACGGAGGTCCGTCATCAATAGGTACGACTATTTTTTTTTTCGTCTGTCCGTTAGGTAGATTATTGTACAATATTAAACACGTATTTTTCTAATTTTTTTTTTATCAATAATTAAGAGACACATTGAGTTGACATGACGCTGTGACGTAAACTTAATGTCTGTTATCTAAGCTACTTCTTGATAATTTAAAGCAAAAAATATGTAGGTAAAAGGATTATAACTTTTCTATTTATCTGACTACAGGACAAAATTTTTTTTTTACGTAGTCATTATCCTATTTACAATCATTACTCGTTGTACAGTAAAGGCGGATTTATATTACGAAAGTAGTTTATTACATTACATATGTGGCGGTTGTATAATGTCATTCTTATCAACCGACCTCTTTGTTTTTATGAATGTAAAAATGAAAATTTAGACGATAAAAATATAGACTGTCAATACGATGCTGTCAGATTACTAAAACGTGTTTTATTTATTAAAATATTATTAAAATATTATTAAATGGAAAATGTTATATACTTTTCCATATTGGTGACCCCAGATTGTTTAATATAAAGATACCGTTAAGTTACAACCATACAACTTATTGGCGTGCTTCGAAGTATCTAAAACAAGACATACTACATTTCAAATGGGTGCGAGAATTAATAAGAAGTCCATTTCCACGTTCATTGATGATCGTCGTTGCTAAAGTTAATGCTGTTTCTGTGTCTACAACATTTTAAACTGAAGACCAACAAAGAGACGTCATTATAGTTATCGCATTCTGAAGTCAGAAGAGATACAACAAGTCAACAACAACAGATAAAACTACGTGTCCTTTGTATTTATGTATAACAATAGTAATATATATATATTTTATATATAGAAGTTAACGACACTATATTACCGCCACTCTACCTAATTTTCATGTAAGTTAGTATTTTTATTTTTATTTTACTATTAATGTTTATTTTATTTTTTAAGTGAACGAACATGACAGAGCGTAAAGAAGTAGAGTTGACAGAATTGCAACGGCTGGTGGAAGTATTGCAATCTCAAGTGCAAACTATATTAAGTGAGAATGTTTCTCTTAAGGGCAGGCTTAACAACGACTCTATTGTCCAATCTTTACCCTCCACATCTGCTGTTCTCGAGAGCAATATATATAAGGTGTCAGCTAAATTGCCTCCTTTTTGGGCAGATAAACCTACTGTATGGTTTGCTCAGGTAGAGGCACAGTTTACTATATCAGGGATTACTGAACAAAATACAAAATATAGTTATGTAGTTGCGCAACTCGATTCTCGTATAGCAGCTGAAGTGGAGGATATAATTACGAATCCACCTTTAGAACAACGGTTTGACATATTAAAAAAGGAACTTATTCGACGCTTGAGTTGCTCTGATGAACAACGTTTCCATCAGTTATTAAGCGAGTCAGAATTGGGTGATAAAAAACCATCGCAATTTTTACGATATTTAAAATCACTAGCGGGTACATCTTTTAACGATGAAAGGATTTTGCGTCATTTATTTTTGCGTGCTCTTCCACAAAGCATTCAGGCAATTTTAACAACTCAACCTGATTTATCACTCAATAATATTGCCGAATTAGCTGATCGTATAATGGATGTCTCCGATTCCGCACCATCGGTTTACGCAACGTCAGGATTGTCAATTTCTAATACAATATCTAATTTAGCAAAAAGAGTTGATCAAATTGCTGATCAGGTAGATACTTTAATGAATGTTCGTGGTCAGCGCAATCAGTCACAATCACAAATTTTGCACGTTTGCTGGTATCACAAAATTTTTAAAGACAAGGCTTTAAAATGTGTTAGTCCTTGCTCGTGGACTCAGAAAAACATGACAAACAATCAGTAGCGGCGGCAGCTGATTGTTTTACTTCATCTCGCCGCCTTTTTATTAACGACCGTAATTCTAACGTTCGTTTTTTAGTTGATACTGGTTCGGATATATGTTGTTATCCTAGAAAACTATTGAAGAGCAGATGTTTACCGACTAACTATGAATTAAATGCAGCAAACGGTAGTATTATTAAAACTTTTGGTACAATTAATTTAAAGTTAGATCTCGGTCTAAAGCGCGATTTCCATTGGCGTTTCGTCGTTGCGGATGTCAGTACTGCAATAATTGGATCTGATTTTCTTGCTTACTATCATTTACTTCCAGACTGTAGAAATAAAAAAATATTGGATGGCAAGACCGGACTCTCTGCAACTGTCTTTATTGCTTCATGTTCGCAGTCTAGTGTAAAAGCTATCACTGTTTTACCTGATTCACCGTATCAACGACTTTTACTGGATTTTCCTTCTATTATACGACCTCCTGGTTTTCCACGGGAAATAAAGCATAACACTATGCATTATATAAAAACAACTGACGGACCACCCGTTTCTTGTCGCCCTCGCCGTCTTGCCCCTCAAAAACTTATGATTGCAAAAAAGGAGTTCGAAGATATGGTAAGATGTGGAACAGCCAGACCTTCTAAAAGTCCTTGGTCTTCGCCTTTACACTTGGCACCTAAAAAAGATTTGTCCTGGCGTCCGTGTGGTGACTATCGTGCTTTGAATGCTCGAACTGTACCAGACCGCTATCCCGTTCGTCATATAGGGGATTTTGCTCATAATCTTGCTGGTTGCACTATATTTTCAACATTGGATTTGGTAAAAGCTTACCAACAAATTCCTACTTTTGAAGATGATATTTGCAAGACTGCAATTACTACTCCATTTGGTCTCTTCGAATTTCCCTTTATGACGTTCGGTCTACGTAACGCTGGTCAAACATTTCAAAGATTTATAGATGAAGTCACATTCGGCCTAGATTTTTGTTTTCCATATGTCGATGACATTTTGGTGTATTCCCAAAGTCAGGAACAGCACCTTCAGCATCTTCGTATTCTTTTTCAAAGACTGGATCAATATGGAGTTGTAATTAATCCAATAAAGTGTGTTTTTGGGGTTGACGAGGTAACGTTTCTTGGTTACCGTATATCTAGACAAGGAACTCGTCCTCCTCCAGAACGTATCACTGTTCTTCAAGAATATCCTTTACCTAAAACAGCCCAAGGTGTTAGACGGTTCTTAGGAATGTTAAATTTTTATCGTCGGTTTCTACCCCATGCAGCTAAAACCCAAGCTCCATTAATAAAGGCCTTGACTGATACAAAACTTACCGGTAACAAACCTATGCCCTGGACACCTGAGTTAGAGCGTGTTTTTGTAGAATGTAAAGAAAGTCTTTCACAAGCAACACTTTTAATGCATCCAATTCCCAACAAATCTCTAGGTCTGTTTACGGATGCATCGAGTTCTCATGTAGGAGCATGCCTACAACAGTTGGTTTCAAATGGTTGGCAACCTTTGGCGTTTTTTAGCAAGAAGTTAACACCTCGCCAATCTGGTTGGCCTGCGTATTACAGGGAGCTTTTAGCTGTTTATGAGGCAATTCAGCACTTCCGTCATATATTAGAGGCACAACATGTTACTATTTATACAGATCATAAGCCATTGATCTATGCTTTTTCCCAAAGACGTGAGAAATTACCACCTATTCAACTTAATCAGCTGTCTTTCATTTCCCAATTTACAACAGATGTTGTTTATATAAAGGGAGCTGAAAACATTGTGGCAGATACTATGTCTCGAGTTGAAGCTATTTCTTTAGAAGACGATTTTATTGCTTTAGCACAGGCACAATTACAGGACGATGAGCTTCAAGATTTCTTGGCCAATCCGAAAAAGACTGGTTTGAAACTTGAGAAAGTCACCGTACCCGGTTCGAATGTTGTTCTATTGTGCGACACTTCTACTAATAAAGCGCGTCCATATGTTACATCTGAATTTCGCAGAAAGATTTTTGACGACCTTCATAATCTTAGCCACCCCGGTAGTCGAGTTACAGCTCGTCTTGTAGCTGACCGATTTGTGTGGCCTGGTGTTAATAAAGACTGTAAGCTTTGGGCTCGATCTTGTATTCGTTGTCAACGCAGCAAAGTTACTAGACATAATGCTACACCAATTGGTATTTTTTCTAGCCCTTCGGCTAGGTTTAAACACATTCATTTAGATATTATAGGTCCACTTCCAATAGTCGGTCATTACCAGTATTGCCTCACTGCAGTCGATCGTTTCACGCGATGGGCAGAAGTGTGGCCCATGTCTGGTATAAGTGCTTTAGAAGTTGCAGAAACTTTTGTATTTGGCTGGATTTCTCGATTTGGTGTACCCTCGATTATAACAACAGACCAAGGCCGCCAATTCGAGTCCGATTTGTTTCATCGACTTCTAGTGTTCTGCGGTTCCAAACGCATTAGAACTACCAGCTATCATCCTTCTGCCAACGGAATGATTGAGAGAGTTCACCGACAACTTAAGGCTGCTTTGATGTGTCATAGTGATTCATGGCTTAGAGCTCTCCCGTTGGTATTGCTTGGTATGCGGACATCTCTCAAGGAAGATTTGAAAATGTCTTCCGCAGAGCTTCTCTACGGTGAACCTCTTCGATTGCCTGGAGAATTTTGGTCGGGTTCATTTGATACTAACGTTGATTTGACTGATTTTGTGGTTCAGCTACGAAATAAAATTATCAAACTTCGTCCTATTCCAGCATCTCGTCATGTTACACAAGTTCCATTTATTTTCAAAGATCTAAAAAACGCTACTCACGTGTTTTTGCGTGATGATACTATTCGACGCTCACTGGTACCACCTTATACTGGACCTTACCGCATCATCGCTCTTAAAGAAAAAACTGCGTCACTTGATGTAAATGGTAAACAAATTGAGGTATCATTGGATCGTGTTAAGCCTGCTCATTTGGAAAGTTTTCCTTGCACTGAAACACATGCTCCACTTGCTCTTGCGGATCCTTCAAAGGCAAATAAGAATCTACCTTCTGACTCAACCTCAGGTTATGTAACAAGATACGGTAGACGTGTTCGTTTTCTTAATTCTTAGAATAATATTTTATTTTATTTTTGTTTGGTTTCCTTTTCTCCGTAGGGGGGTAATGTGGCGGTTGTATAATGTCATTCTTATCAACCGACCTCTTTGTTTTTATGAATGTAAAAATGAAAATTTAGACGATAAAAATATAGACTGTCAATACGATGCTGTCAGATTACTAAAACGTGTTTTATTTATTAAAATATTATTAAAATATTATTAAATGGAAAATGTTATATACTTTTCCATACATACATACAAATTTTTACTGGAAGCTGAGTATTTTGCTTTCTTTCATTGTGATGTACGAATTAATATTAACATTTCGGACAAACAATGAAATGCCTAAAGCAAGCAATTATTTCAATCAATAAACACTTTTTCAATGCAGTTGCTCATAAAGCGCTATTTTTTTAATCCATTGTAAACACCGAAAGTGAGTCTTTAAACACGTGTTAAATAAAAACGTACTGAAATCCTTTACTGCACACGTGCTTAAAAGCATTTTTTAAATTTCTTTTTTGGCTGAGCACCAAAAATTAAAAAAAAAAATTATGAAAATATGTCAATCTTTAGAGGCAAAAGTATTTCAAGGAGCCTAGAACGAAAATTTTCAAATAAAAATGTATGACACAAAAAACATGTTCAAATATCACGTTTAATTTTAACAAATAATTTTTACCTTTAATACATACTTAGTTTTATTAACCTATACCTATATTTGTTTTATTTCCTCGCAAAAAGCATTGAAAAATGTTGAAAGAAACTTGAGCGTAAAAGGTTATTCGAATTCGTGCCAATGATTCCCTTATTCGTAAAACCTTACTTTCCGCACTCGTATCTTAAATAACTATTAATTATGAAATAGAAATATTTGTTATTAAAAATGACCTTGGTCAAGTTGTCAGCTAGTTGCGTTGGTCGCGCCGAATTGGGTGTCGTGGAATGCACGGACAGTGCTACGGTGGGTGGATGCGGGTGGGCTGCACTAGGCGAATTGGAGGGAGGCATCGTAGCGGGGGAGGGGTTGGCCGCCGCGGGGGGGACGGGGTGGGCGCGCGCCGCCAGGTGGAGCCGGCCCTCTGACCGGGAACCCCGCCGGGTCTCCGCTTGACTTGCCACCGCTGGCTCCTCATCGTCTTCTTCTTCACGCACTATACTGCATTTGCGGGATCTCTGCATTTAATAAAAAATAAATGACATTTATTTCAAAACACCTCCAAACTGTTTAGGTAATTGAAATTCGACCTGACCAGCCTGCACTTATAGCTGGTTAACATGCCATTAAGTAGATTTTTAACTTAATTTGAAGTGATTAAGTGCGTGTCAACACAAATAAATACTAAGTAACAAGTTAACATTTAGTTTAACTAGGTAGTTATGCGCTTAATTAGAATAGGGATGACGACTGGGTAAAAAAAAAGAGAAATTCTATTTAGTCCGTCAATCTGATAATAGAAAAATATTAGATACTTTTTTGTTTCAATATAATCAAGAAATGGCTTAGATAATAGGCATTAAAGGTTAGAATTGGGGGCCTTGCTACGTCAGTTTTGTAGAAAATGTACATAAGCGTGGCATCATACGACATTTCAACTCAACGTAACGACGTAAGTTATTGATTACGAAAATAATGAAAAATACGCATTTAATATTCTTCATTAATTTACCCGACGGACAAATAAACAAAAATTTGTGGTTATTTCCTATTCAATGTTAACTAGATAATTATTACCTATTTATGTGTTTACACATACTTGATCACATGAAATTAATTTAAAAATCCACTGACTACATACACTGTGTGTAAACCATTAATTAGGAGCGACTGGGCTCTGGCCTGGTTGCACATTGAGTGACGATTCTGCACCATGGGGGGGTCAGTAATATGCAATTGTATCAATGTATGTAAACATATTGTGTTTAGTATCATCGTATACATTTTTTCTTGTTTGTGGTACTGATTTCACGAGTTCTTTGTTCAAACATGTCCGATTAGTTGAAAAAAATAGCATGAAGCCCGTCATTTATACTGTTTCTATTGTGCAATAAAATATAAATAAATAATTATTTACAACATGTTACCAAAATACGGTATAACTTGTACCGTATTTTGATCCTTTTATTTATCGATGTACAAAACAAGTGACAAGCAGGTGAAAATACAAAAGTATATTTTATAGTTACTAAAATTTCGACCTTCACATCATACTGCAGAGGCAAACTAAAGAAAAACATGCATTTAAATACTTTCAATGCCCTTAACTTGTTGTTTCAGAGAACATCTTCTGTGGCAGATAAACAGACGACCGAGTGATTCTATTACGAGTATTCTAACACCAGTGAATGTTTTAACTGTTTCACTATCACAGTTCTTGAGATACAGCCCTGTGTCAGATGGACAACGGAGTTTTAATGATACAGTTCCGTTTACCCATTGGGCACGGTAGCATAAAAAATCATACCGGTGGTACGTCTTGCGGCGTGCGCGGCGCGGCGGAGAGTTGCGGCGGCGCCAGCAGCATACGCGCGGGCGGCGGCGCGCCACCGCCACCACCGCGCGCCACGCTCAGCACCTCCGGCCGCCGCGCGCCCACAGTCGCCTCCTGTCTCCGTATCGCCTCCATCCTACAGGACACGCTGTACTATTTAAATCGAAACTCATTTATTCAGGATCTGACAGTATGGTTAAGATCCTTTAACTGAATCGCCCTATTCAATTTCATTGAAGGGCTAGCCGCCTGATTGGTCAGCTGATTATACCACTTGGCTGCCACATACACATCATAATGACGTCAGGATAGCGTTGTCGCGGTTATTTATTTTATGGCTTTTTCAAATTAAAATAAAACGGTTATAAGTATTATTTCAAACAGTGTAGATGTCCTATTGATTCATAGAGACTAGATATTTAAAGTAGTATATCTTTAATAAAATCTCACATATAATATGAGCTATATTGAAACAATGATTATCAAGAAACTATGCCATCAGTCTGCAAATATTTGTAATGAAATGAAAAACTCGGCATATGCTGTTTTTTATTCCTATTTTATTAAATACAGAGAATTTCAATTGAAAAATTATTTCAATAAGCTGTGAAATAATTGTCCATCAGAATATTATGTTGGAACACAAATATGTGATGGTAATATACCTTGCACACTAGACGGATGATTCGTCGCGTAGATAAGCATATTCATGTGATACACTCGACAGACCTTCGGTGAAATATATGTCGCCCTATATTTATTTATTATTACACTACAATAATTATAAAAGATATTAGGTAGTATAAAAGAAGTCACCAATCTAAATAAATAATTGTTGAAGTAGTAGAAACTTCTTTTATTATAACATACTCAAGACTAGACTAGTGCAATCAGAAACAATCTTTTAACTGTTGTTTTGTCAATGTGTATGTAATAAATAAGTATAGAATATAAATTAAGGTGTTTTCAAAGCTTGTGCAAAATATAATTAATAAAGATCCTGATGATAGGATTAACAATCCTCACCACTCAACTGCTAATAAAGTACTGTTACTGCATACTTCATCAAAATTATTATGAAATAATCATCATACAAATATGTATTGCTATTATTTTAATTTTTGCAGTTATTGGTTTAATCTAATGCATAATAAACAAGTTAAAAATTTAAATTAAGCTCACCGTTTGGATCTCAACTTTCGTTCTGCCAAGAGGTAATAAGTAGCGGTGATATGGTTATAGTCATTCTTCTCCAAACATTCTAGGATTTCCTCTTTTGTAGCTATAGTTCCATTCACCATTTTTTGGATTATGGCAGAACGATCATCATCTGATAATTGTTCTTTAGTAACTAAGGGAGTGTCAAAATCTTCAACAGTGATACCTTCTCCAGCAGTCACCCACGGATCAGTAGCTATCTCAGAAAGAGTTGCTCTTTTCTCCGGATCTCTTACAAGCATTCTACCTATGAGCCTATAAAACATTACAAGTTTATTACTTTTGTCTTGTCTAGATCTAGGCTAGGGTAGATTAACAGAAGACAGTGTTACCTTTTACATGACTTAGATATATGTGGAGGTATAGTGTATTTACAGTCCATTATCATTGTTAAAGTCTCACTATCATTAGCCTCTTGGAAGGGGGCTTGTCCACAAACTAACATATATAAAATTACTCCGAGCGACCAAACATCAACAGCTGGAGCATCATATGAATCACCTAATAAAATTTCTGGAGCTGAATAAGCCAAAGAACCACAAGAAGTCTCTAACTTTTGACCTGGACAGAATTTATTGCTAAAACCAAAGTCAGTCAATTTCACTACACCTAGTTTTTCAAAAAATACTACATTTTCAGGTTTCAAGTCACGATGTACCACGTGTAACCTGAAACAAAGTTTGAAATTTGAGATATTTAATATAACTAATAATTATTGACATACAGCCAGTTGCACAAACATCCATTAAATTTGCAATTGACATTAGTTTAGAGCAACATGACCAATAAAAATTTAATATTCATTAGAGCTTAAGGGCATCATTAAACCTTACTGGATGTTTGTGCAATTGACTGTAAGTAATATTAATCCTGGCATATAGAAGTGAAATGGTGAGTTCTCAATTTTTATAAATAGCCTAATCTTGCAGCCATGTATAATACATATGGTAACACATACTGTACTCATACAGTGTTATTAATAAACAAGGTTTAGCATTGGAGTAAATTTATAATGAGACTGAACTTAGTATTAGTCACAATATTATTAAACAGAAACTTAACCTACCTAATATGAGGTTAAACAGGAGTAATATTTACTTCTAGAAGTAGGTTTGAATATTGTCTGTATAATATCAATTTGGACTAATACTTAAATTGCAATTTTAGTGTTAATTTACTCTGATGCTAAACCTTATTTATCAATAGTGGTGTTAAAATCTCCTTTATGTTCCAGAACATTCTTTAATCATTAATTTACTCATAAAAGACATTTTACAATATTTATTATTGTATTCTTGATTTTTTATTATAATAAATAAATTTGTAAAACTTGATTGTTTATACATCATGTACAGGCTTTTTAAATGGAGACTTACAGCCGATTTCTGAATTGAGAAAAGTTCAAAATGTCAACTGATTATTCTCAGTAACTTAAGTTTTTTACGTTTTACATTGAAAAAGGGCCTAGTTTTCTCAAACTGTTATTAACTTATCATTAAAAAAATTAAAATCAGAAATTAACATCTTTTTAAATAACATTTGAAATAGCTTAAGTACAGTTTGAGATGTGCTTAACTTTAAATTCTCAATTCAGAAACCGGGTCTTAAAATGATGGATAGCTTTTGAAATTTCAAAATATTTGTGTTTTGTTTGATAATAAGCAATATATAAGAGATTTCTAATTGTTCACTTACATACTTACAACATAGTTTATTAAATGTCTTAGAATCCCACAAATAATTAACTTTGAGTAATATCTTAGAAAGTGCACTTAAAAAATAGTGTCTAAATAACCTTGTGTACACTGTACCACCTGTCATCATTTAAACCTTATCTGTACTACAACAAACATTTCAAAACCAATATCAGCCCAGACAGGGATACAGCAATTGATTTTTAAAGATATAAATTGTATATATTGATGTTGGCTATCAACCAATATGTTAAGAATACATAGTTGCTGCATTTGAAGAAGAGTTTTACATACCTATGACAATATGAAATAGCACGAACTATTTGACGGAAATAATCACGAGCAAGAGATTCTGATAACCCAGATTCATGCCTCATAATGTAGTCATATAAATCTCCTCCATCACCTAACTCTAATATTAAATAGAGTTTTGTCTGTGTGTCTATCACTTCATACAATCGAACAACATTTGGATGCTGCACTAACTTCATACACCGAACCTAAAAATATTTAATAATTTAACAAGACAAACATAGTTTACAGATTTTTTTTTAAGGACATATAAATTAAATATTCAAATCTCTGTGATTACAATTATCTTACCTCCTGAAATAAATGCGATTTAGATACTTCATCTAATTTACTTTTGTCTATAACTTTCACTGCCACTTTTTCCCCTGTGAAGACATGCCTTGCTAATTTTACTACAGCAAAATGTCCAGAGCCAAGGGTATCAAGTAAATCATAGAGACCTGCTATTTTTGCATCATAGGGGCCACCTACTGCACCCAAAGCTCCTCCTCCTATTCCACCACAATTATTCATTGCTGAAATCTATAATTTCATATTTAAAAAAATTAAGTAATAAAGATTAAACGTGGAATATAAATATCCTTCTGGGAGGACTTATAATAATAATGTTTTTTTAAGATTAAAGGTTCCTTCATGCAGTAATTACCAAACCGACCTACATCTGTGTTTACTATAATGAAAATATTTTCTTATGAACTTATGACAAAGATATTTAGATGAAAGTTACTGATATTACACTTACCCAAAACAAATTATAGGTACCTATTCAAAGCTCTCAAGAGAATTTCACACTCAATGGAGCATTAATACGATCAACTGATTTCAGGTATCATAATTAAATTATGATTAGATTACACCACATACAATCATCAACGTAATAAAAAAATATCCCAAGAAAAACTACAAAATAGCATTGGTTTACTTAATAAATTGTTAATTAACGAACATAAAAATATATGCTATTTCCTCAAGAAATCACAATATCGCCATTTCACAAGTACCTTCATTAGGGATGTAGCAATTTTAAAAAGTTCGATTATTATTTCAATGATATCAATTGTTGAATCCGATTTTTTTAATCATTTTCTTTTATTTCAATTACAATAGCAATAATATTAATTTCCTCCTACTCTAGTCTAGCAAAACATTAAAAGATTCAGATAGACTGACAATAACAACTCTTAACCCTTTCTTAGATAAATTAGCAATAAGGCCACCGATTACACTATAATTTGTTTTTGGTTGTAACACTAATGTCCTTTGTTTATGTTATAGCAATAAAGAAGATAAAGTATGCAAACTGAATAAGAGTTTATATGGGTTAAAAAAAGCTCCTTGGTCTTTATTAAAGACCAAGCTCTATACCCTTTTAGAGAGGCCAGGGATGAAGATAAAATAAAATAAAAATGCAGTATTTATTGTGTTGAAAGATTTGATATACCAGAGTCCGGATAAGCATAGCAACGGATAATAAGCATAGCAACGGTTGATTGTTAAAAAATAAATGATGGCAATAGTTTTGAAAGTGGTTTTAATTTTGTTAACGTTATACATGAAGAAAATGAACAAGTTTTTGATAATGAACATATGGAAGAAAATTGGAGTGGAGAGGAAGTAAATATTGAAGAAGATAACGGTCGAAAGAATGTAAAGAACGAAGCAGAAAATAGAAAAAGTTGTGAAGAAATTGAGGGAAGTCGAGCGATGGAAAATAATAGTAGAAGAAAACAATCTGAAAGAGATAGAATCGGGTATCAGTTTAGTGGCGATTGTACAAAAAATTAATAATAATTATAATAATTCATTTACAAACGCCTTATGTACTATTTAATTGTATCACCCTACAACGATATCTATCAAATAATAAACACAAATCATTATAATTATTAGTGTATATACCTATGTTTAAAATAAGTTAACACAATTGCGATTTTAAAATCTCGAAACCCGGAATCCATGTTAAAATATATATGCGAAGTTATTCACCCCAAATAGCACTACTGATGCCAACCACTGATAATAATCAGTTGTCGGCATGTTTATATTATAAAAATGTATCATATCATTTCTTATACTCAATAATATATAATAATATATATTTAGCATTATAAGTTAAATAATCTATACTTAATATTATAAAGCTCTTCAGCTTTATAATATTAAGTATAGATTGTTTGTTTGTTTGAACGCGCTTATCTCAGGAACTACCGGTTCGAATTGATAAAGTCTTTTTGTGTTGAATAGACCATTTATCGAGGAATGCTTTAGGCTATATAACATCACGCTGCAACTATTAGGAGCGAAGAAATAATGGAAAACGCGGACGAAGTCGCTGGCAGCCACCAACACTATACAATTTAAAAATAAATTTATTCAAAGATTATTTTGTATTAATCGAGTTGCGTTTGCATAACTCGAACTAGTTAAATTTCAACTCCATATTAATACGAATTACCAGATCCTATAGAATCTGACAATTCTATTCTCTTTAGTTTAACGTCATGAATTAACGTTTAGATCCAACAATTTGTGCTGCTATCTAGTGACATATTTTTTGTAGTTTCTTTATTTTTTTTTTAATACTCCTCATTGACATTTAGATCCTACAATTTGTGCTGCCGTATAGTGACATAAATTTTTGTAGCTTCTTTATTTTTTTAAATACTTCCTCATTCACAAATATTTTATTAGTACGTTAGTGTGAAATTAATAGAAATGTAATAGGGTTGTTCGGAATTAACAAAAGTTCTGAAAACAATAACTAGGTAAATTAGTTTTATTGCTATTTGTTGTTTGTTGAACTTACTACAACAAAACTACATCAAGTCTCAATAATATTTTTATATTATGTATGGTGAATGGATGAATAGGGTTTATTAATCAGCAACAAAAGTCATAAAAACGATAATTATAATAAAAAATTCGTTTATTATCTATATACTTACCCGATATGTATCAAATGTACTATGTATTCGTACAAAATAATATGACTTCTGGCTAAAATGAAGTTTGTGCAAAGTGTAACGTGCAAATAACTTGTGCTTTCGAAATTAAGACTTTAAAAAACTATGTTAGTTCAGTTATTAAATCTTATATTCATAACTAAATCATCTTAATAAACATTCAGCAATCAACGAGAAACATCTGTTCTAAACGAAAAGCAAAGTTAGAACTTAAAATTTTAAAATCACAAAGACACGTAAAGTTATTATACTATTGCTACGTTAAGTTAATTCGTTGGGTGGGTATGTGCTTTTTGGATCTTACAATAATATTGTTAATAATAGATTGACTTTCTACACAACCTACTCTACATACATTATTTACTAATTTACCGGCGTGGTGTCATGTGCGTTAGGTCGTTACGTTCCCTCAAATATAGTATAAATAAATAAGCTGTCTAGTTGAAATTAAAAAAGCAACCCTTGCTTAGTTTCTTGCCGATTCTTGTCAGTACGAGATCTCCCGCCTTAGTTTTGCAAACCATTGGGAAAGTTTCCGACTTTCACAAGTAATATATAACAGCCTAGACTGAATTGATTTTGATTTTTATATTAATATCATTTTTTTTTGTGGATGCATTATGCATCCACAAAAAAAATGATATTAACATAACACACAGCGATATTAATATAATAAGTGATATTAATATAACACATGAGCGCAGAATTCAGCTTGTATTTGTATACACACATACAAATACAAGCTGAATTCTGCGCTCCGCATTTTGTTCTTAATTCCAAAACTGATTGCAGTTAAAAGTTACGAGCAACCAATAAGTTGGCTCATCACTATTGCTGATGTATAACCAAATATCGTTCCTTTACACGTAACATAATAAACAATTTAAACTTGCGATTAAAACAAATTAAAATTAATTTGAAAGTTAGATATTATAAGAAACACAAAACGATGTCATATTTATTAATATTCGATACTCAATTTACTTATATTACGTCAGAACCCAAATTTGAATGAATATCATAAACAAACTCCAAACATCGCGAGTGACATCTAGTATGATTTCAAGAACTAACTTTTATTTTTTAAATACTTTCTCATTCATGTCATGACGTTAAACCGAAGAGAATAGAATTGTCAGTGTTGTTATGGATCTTATATTAATAACGAGTTGAAATTCAATTAGTTCGAGTTACGCCAGCGCAACTCGATTTATACGAACTTTGAATAAGTAAATTTTTTATTTGTATAAAGGAAAATGGAAACCAACTTAATAGAAGTGAGCATAGACAAGGTTTTTGAAAAGTTATGGAAATCAATAGAATTAATACGGTGAAATGATTATAAGTGGCATTTAGATACGATATACAATAATATTACGGTGAAATAGTTTTTATGTATAGGTCTCGGAACTTTTCATTATAATATTTAATAGAAGTTCTGAGAACAATAACTAATTTAGTTTTATTGCTATTAGTTGTTTGCTCAGACCAAATAAAAAATATAGACGGAGATTTGCCTAATAGAAAAGTGAAGCCAACAAAACTACGCCTCGGCGTATTCGTACACAGTTTCACGCACACACACATAACGAAACTACGCCTTCCTTATCAGTCTAACTATCGATAGTGTGCGGAACGTTCTTTATAAAAAAAATCATTTTAAATGCCGAATTGTGTAGTGAAAGGTTGTAAAAACTAATCCTCGAAAAATAAAAAGCAGGATGGAATCACATTTCACACGTAACTATTGGAGAAAACTTATATTTTCAGTAATTTTAAAATAAAATTTAAGTTATTGCTTGGAACACAAAACCTCAGCCAAATATTACCATCGTTAAACGCTATTTAACGATGGTAATATTTATTTAACGATGGTAAACGCCAAAATCAGGTAACTTTAATTTTATAACGCGTTATTTCTAACAAAACAAATTACGTTACGTATTTATTTCTTGTTGTATGAAAACGATATTTAATAAATTTTGCATTCAAAATGCTACATAGAGATCCAGATCACAGATATTGAAGTGTTAGAATAAAGAAGTAAAAAATAAAAAACGGGTTAGATTTTTTACTTCTTTATTTGTTCATTCTTCCTTATTTGTTCTTTATTTGGTTTGCATTCATTTTCAGATTTCCAAACCGACATCAAATTGGCGTCGATTAATATGATTGTTATCTTTAAGGTTCCAACTGCAGTATCTGACATATAATTTTTTGCTTCAAATCAGCCTTCTACTTCACATACCGTAAGTCAAAAATATTGACTTGGCCATATCGTTCGCAAAAATGACTGAGTCATTAAGTGTTTTCACTATGTTAACTAAAATTTTAATATATAGGAAGTATATAGTATAATACATATCATCGCTCTTAAAATGAGACGAACAAACTACGCTACGCGAATTACCTTAGCAATTTCATAAAAAATAAACGTAAGTAATCGTTAAATATTTGGCTTATTTTGGTATAAAAATTTGGATTGATTGTTGTGGCGATGTTAGTGCAAAGTGTTAGATGTCGCTAAGTATCTCTCGCCACATATCCATCAAACATAATACATAGAACCTTGTCCTTTTAGATATGTAATCAAATAAATAGAAAGTTTAAACAAAAAAAAAACCATAAACCAATATGAAAATTTTATATTTTTGTGAGCCTATTCCTAAAAATGATATTCGTATAATATAGTCTTAAAATGATATTCGTATGGTATAGCCACTGATTTTAGTAATCGTCTCGAATTAGCGATATAAAAACAAAACGATTTAAAATAACGATTTAAATATCTATGAAGATACTGTATTAAAAATGCGAATATTGCGAATTATTAGTACGTAAATATTAATCCATACTAATATTATAAATGCGAAAGTAACTCTGTCTGTCTGTAACTTAATCACGCCTAAACCACTGAACCAATTTGCATGAAATTTGGTATGGAGATATTTTAATACCCAAGAAAGGACTACTAAAGAAATACTAAATAATATAACTCAAAGGTGACTGACTGACATAGTGATCTATCAACGCACAGCCCAAACCACTGGACGGATCGGGCTGAAATTTGGCATACAGGTAGATATTATGACGCAGGCATCCGCCAAGAAAGGATATTGATCAATTCTATCTCCAAGGGGATAAAATAGGGGATGAAAGTTTGTATGAAACTTTCATCGCGGACAAAAGCTAGTATTATTTATTTCCCGCCAACGACACAAAAAGGATACCAGTAGACAGTAAGTCAACAAATAGACTTGGTAAAAATAAATAGTATCTTTTTTATGATGGATTATTGTGTAAAGAATTTAAGGTGATTATATAATAACTTAAATTTTTAAAATAATAACCATTAAAATACAAATGTTTGCACTATGGTTTTCTGGTTAAAATAATCAATAATATTTTTTATCATGGCAAGATGAAAGAACAAGACATAAGGCCCCATTTGTGACTTAGGCGCCTATTACACTACCCAATCTATCGGGCACGATCCATCGGGTACACTGTAAATTGGGTAGTCTAATCGCAGTTAGAGAGTTAGGGTCCCGATATCGGGTGAACGTGGGCGCCCGATCGCCCGATGAGAGTTAGGGCCGATTTATCGGGTAATGTGATCGCTGTTAGGGTGTTAGAGCGCTCAGTTGGTTGTTGCGCAGCGTGTGTGTGAGACGTCAGTGAACGACAACGAAATTTGCGAACAGACAAAATTTCTAGATAGCCTTTGCATGTGTCTCGTACAAATATAAATTTTATATAAATTACAATAATAAAAACTAATGCTATAATAAACTTTATATTATTGTTGTGCCCGATAGGGTCCATAGTGAGACTAACTTATAAATGTAATATTATTTTAAATTACCTATGGAAACAATAAACTTATTGAGTATTTATACTTTAAGTCATGATATCCATTTCCCGTTGCTAAAAATTTTAAGGTTACAGCACAGCTAACCGCTGTTTTGCGCTATATAAGGTATGACTAAGTTTAATATATGATCAAATTGTGCAGAACTCATTCTGTAGTAGTTCAAAATGACCAACTAGGTCATTTAGAAAAAATATTTTTCACCCAACATTTTGTTTTATTATTTACGCCCGCAGTTAAAGTATGGGCTATGCTAATTTTTTGGTATTTTGTGAGCGAAGGAGCCATCCTTTCAACGCCACGTTTGCATGCCAACTGAGTTAGAGAGGCGATCTAGTGCAGTGTAATCACAACGACACCAACCGCCCTAAATCGCGGCCGATATATCGTGCCCGATAGATTGGGTAGTGTAATAGGCACCTATATCTTTCGGCTCGGATTAGCTCTTTGGATTAGCTTCTGTACAAAGAGCAATTAAAAGTACACTTTGACTGATAGTAATAAGGTTAATTTGAATTACAGTTTTCTCAAAAAAAAATCTCTATGTAACTCTATTGTTGTATGGAGTTGTGACAGACTGGCTGCCATATAAATATAAAAAAAAGTTTTGGTTGTTGTAATTTGTTATTTGCGCTGTAAATAAAAACAAAGTATTGTGCATTAAGTAAACCATGGTTCTAGCACATAATGTTGATGAAAAATTTAGAACTCGAGATATTCAAATAAGTCAAGATGTAACTTTTGATTCAATGCTGCTATCTTCAACTACCCTACAAGGATTACAAAGTTCAGGATTCTATAAACCTTCACCAGTGCAGCTTCATGGCATCCCCTTAGGCAAATGTGGATTTGGTAAGTTAGTTTCTATAATACGTTTGATTTAATATATACAAGACTACTCAGGTTTTGTTCGGATTATTCTTTAAGTCAATGACCTGGGGACCATGTAGAGGTATTGTTGAGGGAGACTGCTTTGCTCTCGACCTTCTTGGTTTAAGGTCTTCTTGATTAATTTAAATTTAGACATTTTGGCAATCTGTTATACACATGCACATCTATTGTTATTATTGAAAGTTGTTATTGTTGTTATTATTGAAAAGACCAGAAGCTGAAGTCACAGAAACATTCTCAGTCATTGCTTTGGTCTGAATTTTGAAATCTCCAGTCACAGTTTTTATTAAAAATATATGTGGTTGTAGTTATAAGTCTTGCAAATTGCTTATGTGCTAAAACCTTGTCTGAATAACACCCATGTGACATCATTTGAAAATAAAAAGTATAGATAGTACAAACTGCGAGCTCTACAATTATTTGTTATTTTTGAAATATTTATGAATAATCCTCAAAATGTTATAATAATTAAATAAGTTTTAGTTTGTTAATTTATTGCAAGAATTTTTGGAAAAGTCAATTTAAATGTTAATATTAGGTCCTTACATATGAAATTCATATTTAGTAAGGGAGGGACAAAAAGTAGAATATTTTTTAATATATTTATTAAAGTATAAACCATTGTTATCTATACACTTTTGCCATCTCATAGGTAGTTCATTGATCCCCTTACTAAAAAAAAAACCATTCGGGCGGGAATCAATAAAATCTTTGAAGGCGATTTGAACTACCCCATAGAAGTATATGTTTAATATATTGTTACTCTTAGATCTTCTATTAGAAGCTAAATCAGGGACAGGGAAGACCGCTGTTTTCACTGTTGTGGCATTGGAAAAGTTGGACCTTGATAAAGGATTACAGGTTGTCATATTAGCACCTACAAGAGAAATTGCTTTTCAAATATGTGATGTTATTCGTCAAATTGGATCAAAATTAGAAGGTAAATATTTAATAAAAACTATATTCTGCAAACTATTGTTCATTCACAAATGATAAAAATTACTAAATATGGGATAGAAGCAAATTCTGGTTGAAAAAATCACAGATGTTGGCACAATGTGGATTGGTAGATGTTTACAACTAGACATAGCCAGCACCAAGTGCATAAAACACTGTTTGAAGTTAGGAGGAGCTTAAGAGTAAAATATTTGGTCACTATAAGACTAGTTCTTGCAACTGTTGCTTATCCTTTCGCAGAACAAACATGTTAACAACTCTGCCATCGAGTTCCTCTAGAATAAACTGTACAGAAGCACAAGTATGCATGTAAAAGTATACATAATTTCTGTTTCAGGTTTAGCAGTTGAAGTTGTTATTGGTGGCTTGCCTGTAGAAGAAGATGTCAGTAAGTTTAAGAAAAAAGTCCATATTGTAGTAGGCAGTCCAGGCAGATTTCGTCATTTAGTTCAAGACAAACATATTGATGTTTCATCTGTAAGGCTTCTTGTTCTTGATGAAGGTGATAAATTATTGGACAAAAGTTTTCAAGCAGATGTAAATTTTATATTCTCTATTTTACCACATCAGAAACAGGTAATTTTCAGTAGTGCTACCTACACAGAAGACACAAAACTGTTTCTCAGTAAATATGTAAAAAATGCTCAACATGTATGTCCTGATAGCAGCTGTGTTTTACTAGGAATTGTACAAAAAGTTACAATAGTTAAATACAACGCAAATATAGTAAGGCAAACACAAAACAGATTTGAGGAATTATTAAAAATATTATCAAAAATAGCATTTAAGCAATGTTTAATATTTTGTAACTATCAAGCTAGAGTCACAGAACTGCATAAATTACTTGTGAGGAATAAATGGCCAGTTGAGCAACTATATGGACAGCAAGAACAAACAGATCGCTTAGGAGCTTTGAAAACACTGCAAGATTATAAGTGTCGGATTCTAATTGCTACTGATTTAGCAGCCAGAGGTATCGATGCTTCTAATGTAGACCTTATTATTAATTTTGAACCTCCTTTTGAATGGCAAACTTATTTACATCGAATAGGACGAGCAGGAAGATTTGGATCATATGGCACATCTATTACAATACTTAGTGAAGGTAAAGAGGAGATAAAATTTAGGGAGATGTTGGATTCGTTTAAGATACCTTTGAATTCCCTTTGGACAAGTGATAAAAATGATTTCAATGAACCCTCAAAAGTGGAGACTCACATAACACTTACTAATAATAGCAACAGAATAGAAGATGCTATTGAATATCAAGAGTTTTGGAATGAATTAACTGAAAGTGTCAATAAGATTGAGAAAATTGAAAATTTTGAAACATTGTGTCAATCTTTTAATGATTCAAAAAGTTCAATTCAATCTTTCAATGAATTACTGAAATCCTTTCAAGAAAAACAGGTTCCTGTTAAGTCAAATGAATATCAACATTTGCAGATTACAGCTAAAGTTATTGATAAATTAAGTGATACACTAAAAATTCTAACGGCCTCAAGCAATACCAAAATAAATGAAAATTTAACTTGCAAAATTAAGGATTACGAAAATGCCAATAGTATTAATAATAAAAGCTATGGTAATAAAAAGGAATGCAACAATCATTCGATTTTGAAAAAAACGAGTTCTTATGAAAAAATAGAAAGTAATAAACATACCAAAACACATGGAAATGAACCGCTATCTGTCAGACAGAAAACTATAAAGGAAATAACACCAACAAAAGGATTACTGTGTGCTGGCCTTCCACTGTCATTTGCTTCCTCGAAAGGTAGCAAAAATAATAAGTTTAATAATACAAGGGACAAGGGCCAGCAACAAACGGTTGATTTAGAGGAAACATCTGAAATTCGTGCTAGAGATATAAATACTAATGAGTTTCAATTGTTTAATCAGAAAAGTAGTGTTTATAGCCATAGAAGTGCAAAATCTAAAAAAGATTATAAAATAGAATATGATTCTGATAATGATGCTTGTTATGTTAGTGAAGATTATGTTAATTGGTATAAACAGTTAAAACTTAGAATGAAACAAATTGAGTTGGCTTTATATATAGAGGAAATGTCTCTTCAATAATTAGTAATAGTTTCATAGAATTAAGAACTAAAACTGTTTTATCTGTTTAATTTTATTTATAATGTCAAAAGTAGAATCTAGTCAATAGATACTTACTAAATATGAATCTCTTTAAGACCACTACATCTTAACTTGACAGCCCCCTTTATAAAACACAGTTAAGATAAAAATCCTAAAAGTTGATACTGAAAACCATTTGGTAGTAAAGATTACTCTTAAAAAAAATCATAGACATGCCAATGCACAGGTAAATATGATGTGCTGAAGTATTTATTTATCCTCTCAGATATGATGAAAAGGGTATATAAATAAAAATGCACTTTGATGTCGTTGAAAATGTTATCTGCTGTGTAATAATTCTCTGAAAATAATTCTAAAACATATAAGTAGAACACTATGTGATAATATTTGAATTCAAAATAAATATGATAAAAATCAATGGACAATATTCTGTTATTGAATTACAATATTGTAAAAATGTAACTGATGCAATATAAACTATAAGTACACACCTATAAATATTCTTATCACAAAAACTGAAGTCAATTCAAAAAGTTACGTTATTCTTATAACTATTAGATAAAAAAAGCTCATGACAACAGTTTTATAACAGCAGATACTTCAGTAAGTGGAAGTACTACTCGGTATTCAAGAACACCTGGTTAAATCAAACTAGTGATTAGCTAATGTGTTTATTTAACTAAACAAACTTTTCAGTATTTTTTCTTACCATTATATTAATCTAGTAATTAAATTATTTTCGACCACTTTGTGAAGGAAATGGTTTTGATTTACGCAACACTGGTAACCGGGTGTTTACAGCCTTAGTACTTCAGCATACTGAAATCACCGTTACTAAAGTTTTGCACATTTTCGTCACGAGCTCTTGTACTATATTTGGTAATGATAAGTACAGTGCTTTTGTTCTTATTTACTTTTAGCAATCTATATATTTAATAAATTAGTCCAATTATCGAATACTTAGTATATACGAACATGCCCAATTTTTGATATAAATAAAATAAAAATTCGAAACATAAACATTTACCACAAAATAGGGACACCATAAATTCTCTTTACTTAATAATAACAGAATAATCAAATAATACCTTGTACACCATATAATTACGTAGCATACATCCATTCATAATACATTTTCTATTGCATTCAAACAAATTAAAAGTATTGACGGACTACCTATCCCGAGATTAAGATTTAGTCCTTTTTCTCATGTGTTTCTGTAACAAAAAATAACACAAATCTTAGCACAATTGAATCACCAGAATTTATCTGCTTTGCTATATTAAGGGCGAGGCGTCCAAGAGGATTTTTGTATAGATTAAATAAGGGTGATATTTTAAATCATGTATTCGAAATATAGATTTAAGATAGATAAACGATCAGCCTCCAACCAGATATTCCAATTGTGCTGCTCCATGCTCTTAGTTCGTCGCTGGCGTAGTGTATAAGCGCCGCGGTCCGCGATCGTTGTCGTTAAGCAACTAAAATTATTATCTCGAGCTACTCCGTGCTTCGGAAGGCACGTTAAGTCGTTGGTCCCGGCTGCATTTGCAGTCGTTGAAACCCTCCAATCCGAATTAGGCCAGCGTTGGGGGGTCATGGCTCATCCTCTTTAACCATCCATAAGGAAGGCCTGAGCCCCTGCAGTGGAGACGTAAAAGGGCTGATGATGGTACTCTTGGATTGGTTCACTAGAATACTCTGGCGCCAGTGTACCCAATCATGAGTACGAAACGGCACAATTGCAATGTCGATCGGTCGCGATTGCGTTCGAGAGTAAAGGGGCTGGCCTTACAAAAATAACAATAAAACCAACTCAAGATGATTTCACTGGGATCCAGCCAAAATGCGTCTTGAGAGGTAAAACTAATTAGGTATTATTATTTATGTATTTTAAAATTATGTTATATATATATGGGTACGGTTACATAGCGTTAGTGCTCACGACGCGTTTTATCAGTATCCCAGTGAAATCGTCTTATATAAATTAGCAACGGCAAGATGTTCAATGTTGTTTAATTTTTACAATCTAAATCATTCACTGGGTATAATGTCTTCATTATACCATTGGGCTTTTTTCGTGTAAAATGCAATGTTAATAACCAATTTTCAAATTGTAAATTTATACAGGGTCATTTGTAAAACACTAGCAACGTCCCAGGACGAGATAGAATGTTTATTCATTCTATGACTTTAGCTAATTCTAAGTAGCAATTAATCTTTGAGATTCCAAAATTTGTTAGATTTTGTTTAAAAAAAATTACCAATGCTCTAAACACAAATGTTAATAAATAATCAAATTCAATTTAAATAGTATCAGATACTCACCCAGCACTTCATCTTCTTCTGCGTCTAAAATATCAGCACAGCATACGGAATAACAAATTAATGACAAGAATCCAAGTGGTAAACCGAACACCAACGCCGTCAGCACTGGATTGCCTCGCCACATGTTGGTGAGTGTCGTACGTGCTTCATAGAAACCACGGTAGAATCTAACTGGCCAACCGTTACCACCATAAGTCTGAAAACGTTTGCTTAAAATGTGGTATGGCCTTGTAATAAAGACAGAATTTTTCTTTGCCCAAATAGTAAAAGCATAAACCATATTAAATATATCCATATAATATTAAGATGGATTTTGGTATAATAGTCTAAAATCCCACTGCTTAAATCTGCAGTTATCTGTTTTTTGATGAAACTGAATTTTCATGATAGACCTGAGATGTTATTTTATTTTATCAATTTTGCATTCACATTGCTATATTGAAAAATATACTTGAAAAATGCTTAATAAAACCACTTTGACCCTGCCACTCTGAGATTTTTATAAAGCAAGATAATTTCATGAAAAAGAACTGCTGATTTAAACAGCGGAATATCATACTATAAGAGTAGATTAATTTACCGGCGCAGTTTGAGTATGAATTTGATCTAAGAAAATTAAGACTGCTTCAGGTGTCATCAAAACAGGGTCGTCGTCTGGTAAATGATGGTGGTTTGTAGTCGAGTTGAGCACTAGTAAGTTAGGCACTGTGAGTTCAGTCATCACTATGGAGTTAGCCACATCTGGATTACCCATCCAGCCAAATTGGAAATGATGATTTAAATCCCCTTTCTTCTTTCTAAAATACATTTCATTGAGTCATTAAAATTGATCAAACATGAACTGTTCCTAAAATTTAATTTGGTACAGTCAACAGCACGTCAGGCTATACAAAATTATCACATTTCTTCACTTAATATTAAACTTAAATATGTTGAGAATAGAGTACAAAATCACTTGCGAAACTTTGATATATGTAAAGCTCGTAATGCAGTCGTGTAAATTGAAGAATTGGAACATTTGTGTGTAAGAGTAGTACGTCAAAATTGCGCATTTTTATACATTTATTCACATTAACAATGGTACTTTGTTCTAATTCACGATTTTATTTCTTTTTAGCGCAGAATGACTTAATATAAATTACTTCATTGAATATCAAATCAAAAGCATATTTGAAATTTATTTGATACCATAGCTTAAATATTCAATTAGTTCGATTGAAATCAAGCAAAGATATTATAATATTGAAGTATTTAAAAGACAGTTTTCTGGATTACTGCCTATTTGACATAAATTTATAATACATAATAGGGTAGTTTCGGCAGTGAAGAATAAGTGTGCATTTTCATATGCACAAAAACTAAAATTTACATCTTAGTAAAGATAGAAATTCTGTTTGAGGCTTAAAATCGTACGATTGTCATAATATCTTAAAATTAAAAGTTGTGACTTTTGTCTAAGTCACATGACTTGAAACACGACCCGCCATTGTGTCACGTCACTGTGGCGATAGCTGTCAGATTAGTCATAAAATTGTGCCTATTATTTTGGGTATGTTCCGATATACACTGCGAGCACTGCGCAGTGGTCTTACTGCTGAAAAATCCGTTCCGTTATGGACTGCCAGTACACTGCTACAGTACCCTGGGAAATTCATGACGTCATAAATTGCCGCCATATTTGTACTGTGAGCACTGGAGATTTCGAGGTAAGGTGCTCGCAGTGCTTTTGATCACGTGATCAGTCGAAACAGAATCAGAAAATGATAAGTTTCTAAATAAACAAAAGAAAAATACTTACGTTTATTATAAGATGGATAAATAATTTTTTATACAATTTTCCAATTTTATAATATTTTCTTTTGAAAAGAGGGAATCTTTATACTTATATTCACCTTGCATTAACAAATTTGAAAATGGCGTCAAAAATAGGATTAACAGTACACTGGACTGCGTTCCGTTTTAAAAAGTCACCAGTATAACTAGCTATAAAGGAACGGGCTTCCAGTATACTAAATTGACGTCATACTGTTCAGTGGTCGCAGTGTATATCGGAACATACCCTTTATAAATCATATTCTTCGATGGCGTGTTAGCTTATTTATGTCTTTTTATTTCGTAATCGTTCGTTAGTGGCAGTGTTCTTTTTTCATTGACATCTTTTAATCTACTGTATGCTTCCGCTTCGTGTACATCTCATAAAAACAGAGTAGAATACCAGAGTAGTTTGCTGTTGCCAAATAAATACTTATACTTACTTAACTATTCCTTCAACCATGTCCTTAAAATCCTGTTCAATCTGAGTGATTTCATTCAATTTATTTTCAGACACAACAACAATTACAAGATATTTCTCTGTGTCCAATAGATCATTTATATTTGCTCTAGTTATTTTCGGGAAAAAGCCAAACCTTTCTGAGTTTATCCACTTGTCCAATGTCACATTTAAAGATTCATCATTGTCTATAACTTCTTTTGCTGTAATATTTATAAAATAAATATCTATATAAACAGGTTACATTAAGTTATCTTGTATAAATCAATTATTATCAATCATATTTAAAGAAAGATAAGGAAAGAAAAAAAGTCACTTTTCATAGGTAAGTTATAACTATTCTGGAACAATTCTTTGTTCATTTTTTATATGGTCAAGACCAGGAATCGAACCTGGAACTTTGGACATGGCGACATCTTGAATGTTTTATTGGTTTCGGTTAGAGGAAATTCTGTCCTTGAGGCCGCAAACTGGACCACGGTGAAACTTGCGGTTTGTTAGTAATTTTGTCAAACTATGTGACATAAAAAAGTTATTACACTGTTCCATCAACAGCTTCGTCCGCGTGGACTATACAAATAAAACTTCAACTAGTTTAAGTCATTATTTATAAGATCAGATTGAAAATCCACATACCTTCAAAAAAAAATATATCACCTTCCTTATAAACAAAAACAGAAGTTTCATTCGGTGGACTTACTTCCTGTTTTATGATATCATGTGAAAATGTATAGAACCAGGTATGAGGCTGGTATTTTTGTGCATGAAGCGAAAAACTTTCCTGTATTTACACAAAACAAAGAAAAATTTATAATTATCATTATATATTCGAAAGAGCCAATTACAACTGAAACTTTGTAATTAAACATTACCCATAATGGACCCTGTTGCTTCCCAATATAACCAAAAAAGACAGGATGTGTTTCTTTCAAATACCCCAAGCTATCAGCATGGGAGACCTTCTGAATTGCAGGTTGAGACATTCGTAATGCATAGTTTACCATATCTTCCTTTTCTCTTTCGCCATTGTATTCATGTTGAAAATCACCCTTTATGCTGCAAATAAGTTTTTCTTAAAAAATTGAAATCTTTAATATCAAAATGTTATATTATCTAAGCCATGTGTGTTGGACCATCGGATTGCAATAATTTATCTTAATATATCATATCATAGTATCTTCACCAAGTAAAGTAATTGAGAAAATTATTTATAATCAACTGCTTGCACACTTTTCGTTAAATAAATTACTTCACAAAATCATTTTGGTTTTAGCAGAGGTAAATTGCACCACTGACGCTGGAAATGCACTTCTGAGATATATTATGATACTTGGGAGAATAAACAAGATGCTATCGGCATTTTTTGCGATCTGTCAAAAGCATTCGACTGCGTTAGTCATGAAACACTGTTGGGGAAATTAAAGCAATATGGTGTGATGAAACATTCACTTAATCTAATAAAATCATATTGTTCTGTTAGAATTCATAAAGTAATATTTAACGATGCGAAAAAAAATAATCGAAAAATTTAAAAAAATTAACAAAAAAAAAAGAAATCATAAAACCCATTATTATAGGCGTACCTCAGGGATCGGTATTAGGACCATTGCTTTTTCTAATTTACACTAATGATCTTCCTCACTTTACAAAGAATTTGTGCAAGACAGTATTATTTGCTGATGACGCCTCTATAGTGTTTAAAGTTAAGAGGGGTAATGATTGTTTGACGATGTAAATGATACTCTCGACAATGTTCTAAAGTGGTTTGATAATAATAATCTAAAGTTTAATTAAAATAAAACGACACGCGTAAAGTTTGCATTACCTAATGTGAGGCATGTAAGTACACTTGTAAATGTAAATAGTAAAAAGTTTAGTAAGTGGAATTGACAAAGTTCCTTGGTATTACACTAGATTCCTGACTGCAATGGGATCCTCATATTGATAACTTGTCAAGTAGACTGAGTTCTGCAGTATTTGCTGTTAAGAAAATTAGACTCTTAACAAATGTAGAAATGGCAAAATAGGTATTTTTTAATTTAATGTAATGACTTATAGTCTATTGTTGTGGGGTTTTGTGGCCAGCATTCTAGATATTTTTATTCTACAAAAGAGAGCTATCCGTGCTATATATAATTTACAGTCTAGAGAATCTCTGAGAGAAATATTCAAAGAATACATCTATGAAAATATTATGTATGCAAGAAAACATTATGATTCCTTCACAAAAACAAAGTAGTGTTCATAATCTTAACACAAGAAATAAAAATAAACTTGCCGTTCTAAGCTTCAGTCTTCAGAAAACCAGAGGATCATTTCTGGGTGAATGCATTGCTATCTTCAATAAAGTTACACAAAATGTAATTGACCTATCCATAAATAAATTTAAAATTCATGTAAAGAACATACTTATGAGTAAAGGCTATTATAAAGTTGTTGATTATTTTAAGGATTGCAATGCATGGAATTAATAGTCTTTGCTTTATTCTATAATGACTAATTATATGTACAACCTATGACCTATAGACTTTGAAGGTTGTATTTATTATTATGATAATACATAATATTTTTAGCTAATGACATGATTTATTGATTACAGACAGCTGGTAAGTGTCTTTTCACTTGTTCTTGTCAGTTAAAAGACATCCTGAACAAGTGGTAGGGGAAAAAATTTTTTTGGATGATTCAAAGTGCTTCTAATAAGCCTACTTGAATAAAGATATTTTTATTTAATTTCATGTTAAGAGATTAAAACAACAATTGTCTATAGTAGATCTTTACACTTAAAAGTTCCTGACTTTCAAATTGTGGGGTATTAATATACAGTACAGTCATTTTATTTACATTATACTCACAACATTAATGTAGGGTAAGCCCTTATTTTGAAGTGGGTTGCTACTGTAGTAAATCTTGTACAATCCACTTTAGCAACTTTTATAGGGCTGTTATACAAACTCTGTGCGACATGGGCCCAAACAGGCTCTAATCGGCGGCAATGGGCACACCATGGTGCATAAAACTTAATAAACCACATCCCATCACTACTGACTTCAATGAATTTGTCACTTAGTTCTAAAACTCTTGATGATGAAACTTCATACAAGCCTGCAAAACCAACAACATTATGACAATAGGTATGAGTCGGATAACTCATACATAATTCAAATTTAAACATTATAAAATATGAAAAATCATCTAAAGTGTTGTGTTAAAATACTAACCTGCCAAAATAATTAAACAAGATTTGAAATTCATTATTATTGTACTATAATGAATATCATTAGCAATAATTATTATAAAATATCTTCAGAGCTAGAACATTTTAAACTACTATCTTTAGTTTCCCTTTTCATTAGTCTGCAAATAAATCCAATCGATATTTCTAAAACACCGCAACGAAAACGCAAGCTATTATTCAAGTTAGGTAAACACCACAGATTACATTTACATATTATCTATGCCACAAACCAAGAAGAAAAGGAGATACTAGACAAAGGAAATAATTGGACACGGCATACCTACGATAGGGTATTTGACACTATTTAAAATAAGTTGCGTATTATGGTCATCTAGTTAACTAATAATCTAATAGAGTTTATTTATTAGAATCTGCAGGCAAAATATATTTAGCTTACAAGACAGCGGTAAACTGAAACGTCAATAGTTAAACTTCTTCTTCTTCTTTTATTAACGGCTTATCTGCGCATTTTGCACAATTCTGGCAATGTCAAATGAAAAAATAAATTTCTACATGTAAAATGAAAAAGAAATGAATGAAAGATGGCGATGATATCCTAGTTAAACGATATAGCCCAGCAACCAAACAAGGGATTTGAAGCTGCTTTTGAAAATATCAAAAATATGTTCTCTTAATTTTGTTTGACATGTAGAAATAAATTTATTCACTTGACATTCGCAAATAAGCCATTATTAAAAGAAGAAAAAGACTATTTCATTCATAGTCTATTTTATTTAATATAAGTTTAAAAAGAAAAAATCTTGTTAAGAAGAAACTATGGCAATGCGTTGAAAAGTACACTACATAGACAGTTTAATAAAAGAACAGAAAGAATAAAATATGATTGTTGAATCGGCATTAATGCTACTGATATTGAAATAAACATTTAATTATTCTATCTACATATTTTCCATTTATTTTTATAAAATTATCATCAATATCGACAAGACCTACATCGCAACGACACAGAACGGAAATCCCGCTAAGCCTGTATATGTCAACGTTCTCACACAGTATTAAAATTGGAGAGATGAGATCTCTTTTCCCTAATATATACTTTTACTTTTGGAGTGTCCCACGCCTGCCAGGATCTAACAGTACCACAGAAAATCTCCAATACAATTTATAGCACTAATAAACGAATGACTTCCTCATTCGTTTATTTTAAAAAATATTTTAAAAAATTATTAAAAAATATTATTTAAAAAATAAAAATTAGTTCTTAAAATCATACTAGATGTCACTCGCGATGTTTGGATATTGTCTATGATATTCATTAAAATTTTGTTTCTAACGTAATAAAAGTAAATTGAGTATCTAAAATTTATAAATATGACATCGTTTCGTGTTTCTTATTATAATATATAACTTTCAAATAAATTTTAATTTATTAGAATCGTAATTTTAAGTTATTTATAATGTTACATGTAAAGGAACGATGTATGATTTATACGTCAACATTAGAGATGAGCCAACTTATTGGTTGCTCGTAACTTTCATGCGAATTCAGGTTTGGAATGAAGAACTAAAAGTGGAGGGCAGAATCAGCTTGTATTTTTATGTGTCATTATGCATCCACACGTCGAATGATATTAATATAAATATCAAAATCGATTCAGTCTAGACTGTTACATAGTTCTGGCGAAAGTTGTAAACTATGCCAATGGTTCGCAAAACTACGTGGAGTGACCTTGTACTGAAGAACCAGGAAGAAACTCAGCAAAGTTTGCTTTTTTCTACCTGTTTTATTTCACACAGGGAAGTCTTATTAGAATGTGACTTTATTAGATTATGAAGTCTATTTCCAATACAATATAAGAAATAACAAGACATATATACTCATTGACAAATCAATACACAATATTCATAATAAAAGAAAATGGACGCAATAAGTAGTCCAAAGCAGACTCACCCCTACTGGCAGCACCTGTTGACGAGCTTGACGAAATACGCTAGCCATCGCTTTGCTCAACTATATTTGAGGGAACGTAACGACCCGACGTACACGATACCATCGCAGAGATATTTAAGATAGCGTGACTACTCTAGATAATTAAGAAATAATATATTTCAATAAAACTGATTTCTAGAATAGGCTGAGTAGGAAGTCAATCGATTGACAATATTATTGTAAGAACCAAAAAAGCATATATCCACCGTACGAATTAACATAACACCTGGCTTGACACTTGGACATGCAAGTTCAGTAGCTATAGTATAATAACTGTACGTGTCTTGTAATTTTGAAATTTAAAGTTATTTAAAGTTACCTTTTGAAGAAATTCGTTTCGAAACGGACGTTTCTTGTTAATTGTTGAATTTTTATTAACATAGTTTAATTATGACTATAAAATTTCATAACCGATCTTAGCTTAAAAAAACTTAATTTCTTAATTATGTCCTGGGTAGCTTAGTAGTTAGGGCAGTCGCCCGTATTGCGAAAGGTTATAGTTTCGAGTGCCATCTTAGAGTTCCACCGACAAAGTGGATTTTTTAAACATTTTTCATTTAGTATATTTTTCAGATAGTTAGATATTATAAGAAACACGAAACGATGTCATATTTATTAATTTTCGATACTCAATATACTTTTATTACGTCAGAAACAAAATTCGAATAAATATCATAGACAATATCCAAACTTCGCGAGTGACACCTAGTATGATTTTAAGAACTAATTTTTATTTTTTAAATACTAGTCTAAACTAGAAGTATTATAATGATGCAGATGCTATGTAAAATTTTAAAGTGCATGTATCTGATGTATGTTTAATGATTGGAGAATAACAATACTTTGTATTGAAAGCATTGTAAAAATATAAAAAAAATATTGAAGAATAAAGTATGAATACATAATTATCTTTTTTTTTTATTTATAGGTATGACTTTAATTAAATTCACATCGAAAATAAAAATTATTTGAGGATATGGGGAGCGGTGGCAGCGCTGCTTAAATAGCAAAAATGCTGAATCCCGTGGCATAATTTGCATCATAGAAAAAAGAAAATGAACTAGAAAAAAAACAGTTGTCAAAATCAAAAATTGAGGTCTAAAATTGATGAGTTGTTATCGTTTTTTTAAATCAGATAACGTAACCGCTATCAGATCGCCAATCACCGATATCAAAACTGTCTATTTTAGATATCTTGTTATTTCTACAACGCTACAAATTCAAAGCGAATTTTACTCTTATAAAAACGCGATAAAGCTCAATTTTGGGTTGGTTACTTCATCACTCCGAAAACCGAGCAACGCGGAATGTACAAACATAGACCTACTTCATTCACACGTATACTGACATTATGTTGTTATTTCATTCTCTCATAGTAGGTTACATTAATGCGATCCATATTATTTAAACGCTTTACATTATGCGTTACATCCTAAATGATTATTAAAACTGCATTACATGACCGTCAATGTAAAGTGTTAATAAAAGGTCTACATATCGTTGTGAATTGTGATCGGTCGCGCTCACCAAGAAGCGGCCTTCTTGGTGATCGCGGTTATTGTGAAGAAGTCGCCCAAACATCAACCTTAAGTGATCTAGTTAAGAGTGAATTCAGCTTTACTTTAAAGCGTTGTGAAAAATAGATAGTTATTGTATCACTAAATCAGTAGTGATTACCCTTCAGGCAAATCACTAGTTGAATAACTGTCTATCGCGAAAAAACGTCCATCGCTGTGTAGTTGTTACACAGGACCAAAGATTACAATATTATTCTGGACAGGACGTTCATCTGCTGGTAGCTCCATGTAGTTTGTATAATACTCTTTGTAGTTTTTGTTTCACATTACAGCGTATATTCTGGCTAAGCTACATTTTCAAGGTGTGTTTTGTAGCGGTTGTTAGAGACTTTCACTTTTAACGTCATCTTGTGACTACTTTCCATGACGTTACAACTGCTTCGCAGCATACGCAATTCATTTGCAATTCGAATTCAAAATTGTACACATTTCAGCGGACGCCATTGTTGTTCCTTACGTAGCCAATACCGTTATTTGGAGTGGGGACCAAGAGGCGTGAGGGGGGCACGTATCGGCGGCACGATTGGGGTGCGAGTTCACTCTGTCACTCGGTCATTACGGTATTTCTCTGTTGTTCGTCCCACATTCACGATCGCGAAAGAAAAAGTGACAATGCCCGAAAACAAACCGTTTCAGCGACTTCCAAAAGATGTTGTGCCTAAACATTATAATTTAGAATTAACACCCAATCTCGAAACATTAACGTTTTCAGGAAAGACATCAGTGAAAGTATCGGTAAGAGGGAATTTCATCACTACATAAGATACAGTGTTATGTGCAAATGTCTAGTTTCCATGTGCTGTGTTATGTACTCTCATTCACTTTCAGATTGTGAAATCGACGAAAGAAATAGTTCTTAACTGTTTGGATTTGGAATTGAAGAGTGTCAGCTTGCAGTATAATGAGGGCGGTTCTATGTTGACGTTGGACCCGGTAGACGTCAGCTTGAGCACGTCCGATGAGACAGCACGTATAGTTTTTGATAAGGCTTTGCCGACAGGCGAGGCCGAACTGTTTTGCGAATTTAATGGCGAGATCAACGACAAAATGAAGGGTCTTTATCGGAGTAAATATATGACCCCTGGGGGCGAGGAGCGGTACGCGGCTGTCACCCAGTTTGAGGCGACCGATGCTCGTCGATGTTTCCCTTGCTGGGACGAGCCCGCCATCAAAGCTACTTTCGATATCACACTTGATGTACCAGCCGATCGTGTCGCGCTCTCCAACATGCCCGTGAAAGAGGAGAAGATCAAGGGAGAAAAAAAACTAATTCATTTTGATACCACTCCTATTATGTCCACTTATCTCGTAGCTGTAGTTGTTGGTGAATATGATTATGTGGAGAAAAAGTCTCGTGATGGTGTGTTGGTACGTGTATACACCCCAGTTGGAAAAAGTAAACAAGGCATGTTTGCTTTGGAAGTGGCTGCCAGAGTACTTCCATATTACAAAGAGTACTTTGATATTGCCTATCCACTTCCTAAGATAGATTTGATAGCCATAGCAGACTTCTCAGCAGGGGCTATGGAAAACTGGGGTTTGGTCACATACAGAGAGACTTGTTTACTTGTAGATGAAGAGCACACATCAGCTGTGCGTAGACAGTGGATTGCTCTAGTAGTGGGTCATGAGCTGGCACACCAGTGGTTTGGTAATCTTGTCACTATGGAGTGGTGGACACATCTCTGGTTGAATGAAGGATATGCCTCTTTTGTGGAATTCCTCTGTGTTAATCACCTATTCCCCGAGTATGATATTTGGACTCAATTTGTCACTGAAACCTACATCAGGTATTATAATTTAATCAGTTTTATCAACAAATTTAATATTTATAATGCTATTCTGAACAATGTAATGCCAAATTAGCTTTATGTTTGGAGAAGTGCCAAGTATGAGTATGCAGTTTGATAAAACTGATTTGTCATTCACTCATGATTGTGTAAACATATTAAATGTCCTGTAAATGTGAATCAAATGATGCATGTTTCAGGGCCCTGGAGCTCGACTGCTTGAAGAATTCACATCCTATAGAAGTGCCTGTAGGTCATCCGTCTGAAATAGATGAAATATTTGATGACATATCTTACAATAAAGGTGCTTCTGTGATTCGTATGTTGCACAGATATATTGGTGATGATGATTTCAGAAAAGGAATGAATATTTATTTAACTCGTCATCAGGTATATTTCATTGAACCATTGATACATTGAACATAATGACACTAAATAGCTGTGATTAAAGTGCATTTGTTTGTTTTTAGTATAAAAACACTTTTACAGAAGATTTATGGGCTGCCTTAGAGGAAGCCTCTAATAAGCCTGTAGGTGCAGTAATGTCAACTTGGACTAAACAGATGGGTTTCCCAATGGTACAGGTTTGTATCTTAATTAAACCTTAATTATTAGGTATATTATGAAAAAATTCTATGGCTATTTTTAACCATTTTATATTTATATTTGAAATTAAATTATTTATTTATTAAGAAAACCAACAGCATTTATATACTAATAATATTTTACATACTAATATTCTGGTAACTAATATTGATAAATAGATATTACATTACTATTTAAAGGAGGATTTTCATGATACATAAATAGTTTGTGTTTAGCCTTAATAAAATTTCTGGTTCTTATAATATCCAGTAGATTTTCCTACATAGCTACCTATTTTATGAATATTACCGCTGTAATATTGATATTACTGTCAGTAATATCAATATATACTCTGTAGATAATGCAATTTACTTTTATCTGACTAACAGCGCCTCTGTGTCATTTTGCTCATCTTGAAATGACACAGGGGCCATCGCTGAGATACGGTCCATGCTGACCACTCTGTTACTACATGAAAATGTTGTATTTTTTTTCCCTTCTCTTATACATTATCATTGTATCTGTTCGTAACAGGTGTGGTCAATAAACTTTCTTTCTTTCTTTTATTTGCAATATTAATTTTAATATTACAGAATGACGTAACTGTGTCCTAATAAACATATTAAAAACAACTCCATATTTTTGATTGTTTGATCAAGTGTGCATTATGTTTTATAATATATTTTTTTATTAGTTCTAAGTTTATTTGTATTATTTTGTAATTTCATTATCACAAATTACTTTATTTTAAGGTCACATCTGAACAAAGAGGATCAGACCGTGTTCTTACTCTGACTCAACACAAGTTTTGTGCTGATGGAAACTTGGCTGACAATACACTATGGATGGTACCTATCACTATATCTACTCAGGAACAACCCTCGAAGGTGAGCAAAGTTATCAGACTTATCAGCAAAAACTATCACAAGGTGATTTACTATAACACATATCATTGATTAATATATATATATTCATGTTTATCATCAATTGAATTGAATCAACATTGACCCACTTTATTTTATGATGATTTAGATAAAGTGGAGAAAGTCAACATTTCATCTGATAGAAGTATGAAGGCCGATTGTGATATGTTATTTTAGGTATCATTGTTAGTAATATAAATGTATTGTTTTGTATGAACAGTTGGATAAAAATATGATGGTTCAAAGATGTACAAATGAAGATTGTGACTGTGACATTGTGCTTTCTGAATCATTTCAAGATGGACAGGAAAATTTGAATGTAAACAAATTAATGTAATTGTAAAGTATTAAAAAATATAAGTTGATAACTTTTAAGAAAATAATTTAATCTTAGTCTAATATATAGGTATCTAAAAATTAGTTTTGTATTTTTTACCTATATTATTTAAATGCTTATTATTAAATCCAAACATTAGCTTCTGAATGACTATCATTATTAGTTTTGAGTATAAATATGTTTATAATGGAGTCACAAAATCAATTAATTTACATTTAATCCATTAATAATTTCCTACTTTAGAAGCATAACTTTTTTACTGATACTTCAGCAAGTGTTACTTATCAAACTAAATAAAGGCTATAGTGTTGATATCTATACCTCCTGTGTTCATAAGTTTTGAGACGAACTTTTCAGCTTGCAGAAAATATGCATCGGTTTTTTTCTCGCCTTTAATAGCGATATGATAGTTGCACGTAATTGTTTCGTTCCCTCCATATCGAGAAAATATAAACAAATGAATTTGCGATACAAATAAACTAAAAGTTAACATTCCAAATTCAAAATCGCTATAAAAATATAACAGCCAGTAAAATTTTATTTTTTTAGTACAAATTTTGTCTTAAAACTTAGGAACACACGAGGTATATATTAGGTCCTTACATATAAAATTGGTGTTTGGCATAGGAGGAACAAAAAGTCGAATATTTTTTAATATAATATATTTATTTAATCATAGTAAAAACCATTACCATGTTATCTATGCACTTTTGCCATCTCATAGGTTGTTCATTGATCCCCTTACTAAAAAAACCATTCGGACGGGAATCTTTGAAAGCGAAAAAAATGGTAATCTGTTGGAGCAAGGTCCGGGGAATATGGTGAATGTATTTGACATTCCAATTGAAGCTTTTCTAATTTGGTAGCCGTCTGTTGTGCAGTGTATGGTCTAGCGTTGTTGTGAAGTAGCAGTAGCGTAGAGCGATTGATCAGCCTTGGTTGTTTAACAGCTAGTTTTTCCAGCATGGTTTGCAATTGCTGACAATAGACGTCTGCCGTCATCGTCTGGCCAGATTTGAGAAAACCGTAATAAACGACACCAGCACTAGTCCACCAAACGCTTACAAGTAACTTTTTTGGGATCAATTTTCGCTAGGGGTAGGATTTGGCTGGCATGCCAGAGTCCAACCATTGCGATGAGCGCTTCCGATTATCATAGAGAATCCACTTTTCATCACAGGTAGTGATTCGATTTAAAAAGCCTTCACCCTTCATTGTGCCGGTAAAGTAATGTTGCTTCACTCAATTCTTGAGGTACCCACCTTTCAAGCAGTTATATCACTAACACCGCAGCCTGCAGTTAACTCGGACGTGGTTTGCGATGGATCCGCTTCCACAATAGCCTTCAATTCTTCTTTATTAACTTGGGTCTCCGGCCGTTCACGAGGCTTGTTCTGCAGGTCGAAATTTCCAGAACGAAAAACGCACTGTGTTTTCTTTTGCGACACAACCGCCATACACATAATTAACCCTTCAAGCCGTTTCCCCAGCACTGATACCACGGTGGAACTCGTACTCGTAAATAACACGATATTTCAAGTTTTCCATTTTTATACTGGGTGACGTAAATAGGACAAACAAGAAAAAAAAAACAAATGAATGCCGCCTAACGCAACACAAATACATGTACAAATGGCTGTATAAATTTGAATTTCCCAACCAAGGAAAAGAAATTTGTGATTGAAGTGGCCAGTACGACAAAACGCCAATTTCATATGTAAGGACCTAATATTTAAAATTCTTACGTTACTAAGTGACAACGTACAGCCGAAATGTAGAAAGTTGAACAAGTGCTAGGAGTTAAAATGTTGCATGCGGGTTCTTTTGAGGACGTAGGTGCTCACTTATACGGGATTTTACGAAATTCGACCCCTAACGGGGGTAAATTAGGGGATGAAAGTTTTTATGGAATTTTCTCATTTCGGAACTTAAAATTAGACCATGCAGGCGAAAGTCACCCACAAAAGCCAGGTAGTTATAAAACGTCAACCCAACCTATCATTCGATCGATAGTTAACATAGCTTAAACTCATAATAACGAGATTGGAGTTCATCCGTATTCAGCGAACGAAAAATCCAGTTGGGAGTAGTTATAAGACCTAACCAGTGAATTCAATAAATAATACGCTAATGGTTAAGAAGCGTGAGTCGGTACCCACTCCGTGTAGTTTATTACTATTCAATATATTGTAAAACGAATGGGATTTACTTTAAATCTTATTTTTCAGGTCGCCTTATCAACTGTATTAGAAAACAGGACTCAAGAAGTCGTCTTGGCAAATGTCGCCGAGTCCTCATGGGTGAAACTAAATCCTGGAACTGTGAGTACAACATTTTATGTAATCACAAAACCTTTCTTTTTTCTAGCACCCTTATTTGTAAGACAAATAACTGTGATAAATTACAATTAATATACCTATTAAATTTTTACGATCTCTTATTAACAGTGAAGTTGGAATCATTTGTAAGATTCCGATAATACATTAATAATTAAAAGTTAATTAAATGACAACTCAGTTATTGAGCTTCGTTTCTTATTTTCTTTTTTACCTATTTAAAAGATAATGTTTTCTATTTTATAAAGCCGTTTCAAAAATGACAGACATTAACTCTACGAGTTAATCACGTATCTGAAATGAGTGTTGAGTTAGAACTTTTTATAACTCGTACAATGCGCAATCCACCATACCAAAGGTTTAGTTAGCATGGGTATCAACCTGATTGGAAATTACGATGTCAAGTCGAGAATGATATGTCATTGCCTCAAACTATCACATTATGTGTTTGTTTTTTCAAATTTATATACATATAAAATTCTTGCATTACTGAGTGACTGATTGAAAGAGAACCTACAGCCGAATTTACAGAGCGTAGATAGTTGAAATTTGGAATGAAGATTTCTTAAGGAGTGTAGAGGAGAACTAAGAGAGTATTTTTGAAAATTCCACCCCATAAGGGCTGAATTAGGGGATGAAAGTTTGTATGAAACTTTGTTAACACAAGTGCTAGGAGTTTCAAATTTTGTATACCGGTTCTTTTTAGGACGTAAGTGAAAATGGACGATGAAAGTTTATATGAAACTTTGTTATTATAAGTGCTAGGAGTTTAAAATTTTGTATATGGGTTCTTTTTAGGACTTAGGTGTTTACTAAGACGGGATTTTACGAATTTCGACCCCTAAGAGGGTAAATTCGGGATGAAAGTTTTACGGTATTTTCTAATTTCTGGGCTTAAAACTAGCCCACGCGGGAGAAGCCGCGGGCAAAAGCTAGTATTTTAATAAAATTTTATGAATTTACGTTTAGGCTGTGAGAGAACCCTTAAAAGTATGATGTATTTGCTTGTATGAAACCTATTTAAAGTTTAGGTGCACGCATCGTCTTAAGAAAAACCTGAACAAAGATAGTGTAAATGTTTATAGGTATTTATTTTTAACAAACGCAAATTTGCGCCGAGAACTGTATGTTGCGATTCCATACACAGGTTGGTTATTACCGCACGAGGTACCCGGCGTCAATGCTGGAGAAACTTGTGACAGCAGTCCGCGACGGTTCGCTTCCGCCACTAGACCGGCTCGGCCTTCTCGATGACTGCTTCGCTCTCGTTCAGGCTGGACACACACATACCGCTGAGGTTCTCATATACCTTACTTATAAAACCCAAAAGGCGTTATTCTTAAAAAAATATCTACATTGACCGGACCGGGAATCGAACCCGGGACCTCAGAGATGGCGTCACCTTGACACCGGCGTTCGAACCACTCGGCTACGGAGGTGGTCCTTATTCTTAATTGTTACTTGATGACAACTTTTTAATAGTGCTTGTTTCTTACCATCTATTATCATCTTCATATATTTTAGTTAAGAGGAGGATGGTTCCAAAATACTCAATAATAGGTCAAACAATTCCCAAGCTGTATTAGAAAATTAAATGATTAAATAGGTATATGCTTGTTATAAAAGCTACATTATTTAGTCATAAAAATTATTGCAACATTTAATTAATATATTGTATTCGAACTATTGAGAACTTAAACAACTGCAGAATACAACTTTCATGTTATTTTACAAATTAGCTTATATAAGAATCTTCTTATTGATTATATTAGACCAATTTTGTATTTACAGTTTTTGTGTTGTATGTGTCGGAAATAGACGCTTTTGAAAGTTGTCGTAAAAATAATAAATAGGATAATTCAAAATAGGCACACGTTATTAGAAGTCACAGTACCACATGTTTTTCTGTCTTATGTACATAATTATATATCTTCCAGTCTCTAAAACTGATGGAAGCATTTAGCAATGAAACAAACTTCACTGTGTGGTCATCGATATCGAACTGTCTATCGAAGCTGAGCGCGCTGTTCTCACATACGGCATTGGACAAACCCTTGAAGAACTATGGACGCAAGTTATTCTCCAACGTGACGCGACGCTTGGGCTGGGACGCTGAGGAGAAGGAGAGTCATTTGGACACTTTGCTCAGGAGTTTAGTGCTGAATAAAATGATCAGCTTCGAAGACCCGGATACAATCAAAGAGGCTAAGATACGGTAAGTGCATTTAATTTATTAATTAAGTCTGATCTTCACTAATTTGAAAAATTGTAAACAACACTCGTTAGTTAACCTATTTATAGTTTGTGTTTTTTGGTATGTTGGTTTTGTCTTTGCCAAAATAGTAGAACGTTTTTGTCTTTCTTACACATCATAACGATGCTAGGAGTTTTGTGAAGGTTAATTACCGCTAAAAACTTAGTTATTTCCTTTAGTCATACATGTTGATGAAAAAACATTGATGATAGTAAATTTTTAGTTATTAGATAAAAAAGTTATTTAACTCCGCTTACACTTAACATTAGGTATTTATTTATTATTTTAGTTCTTTTATACATTTATGGATTACGCCGGGTCAGCTATAATATACTATGTAATCCAAAGCCAACCGCAGACTGCAAACCGCAAATTGCCGAATGCAGACCACAAGCGACACAACCGATTTAATGGTTTTGTATGAAATACATTAAGAATGCGGTGTCATTGACACTTGCCGTAGTGACCTATCTATTATTGTCGTCGACCTCGTTGCCTCTCCCGAATCAGTTTTACAGCCAACCACATTTAATAAAAAGTGTTTTTTATCTATCTGCTATGATAATTAGCATATCCTGTCGCTGACGAATATCAGTTATTAAAATGTGTTTGTCGCTTATTTTTTGTCAGTACCCGGTAATTTACATGTGCTGTGCTATTTTTATCAAACTGAAGAAAGGAGGAGGTTCTCAATTAGACTGCTCATTTGTGTGTTACCTTATAACTTTTTACTGGTTGTACAGATTGTGGTGATTCTTTTTATATTCCAATCCAGAGATAATATCGAAAAATTATGTAGATGATCTAGTAACATATTTTGATGATGATGATATTTTATGACTTGTGATTTTTATTTATGGTAAACTATAAATTGGTTATGTTTTAATTAAGTTTAATAAGATGTAGTGTAATAAGAGTATGAAATTTCGTAAATTTGTTAAATGCCTAGTAGTTTTTTTTTATCTGAGTGTTTTGGTCCTTAATTGATTAAATATAATCATAAGTGTAATGTTTGAATTTTAAGAACTTTCCAAAAACATTTTATACTTTTATCTGATTGCGGTCTGATCCCTTATTCTAAACCTTACTTCGCCGATAAACGATACATAAACTAACGAAAGTTCTCCGGACACTAATGAGTTCGAAATAGGACGCAATACTAGGGTTACCAGATCCAGGTTGGTCATTCCTGGACATTTCTGGGGCCACGAACGGAATCAGATTTTTGTCTCCGGTTCGAGACAAAAAATCTTATTCCGTTCGTGGCCCCAGAACTATTGGTTTGATGAAAAAAATGCCTTTTTTGGAAATATATTTTTAATTACTTTCTTATACTGTTTCTTATAACATAAAAAATGTAATACAACTTGCCACTCACCCCTCCCCTTGCTCACCTCACGCCGTAGTATCGTAACTTAGTAGAAAAAACTAGGACGTTTTAGCATTAATGACCTCCTGTCCCCATTAAATCTCTCAAGTCGCAAGTCCGATACTTGCGATGCCTCTGCCGCAATGTTTCATGTTATTACCCAAAATACGTTAAAATTTATAATAATTCTCAACTTAATACATGTAAATCAGCCTAGATAATTACTTAACAGCTTAATTAGGATTTTGTCCATTTTTCGATTAAGTTGGTGGGCGGGGCTTTTGTCACGTGACATATTTGGGCAGGCACGATGTTAGTTAAAAAGCGGAGTTGCTGACGCGGATCTGTGAGAGTGGTGTCATTATATGCCAGTGGGGATATGTCACTCTAAATGACTTAATTTTGACAATTTTCTTTTTTCTAATGTATGGAATGTATTATTTTATATTTATAAAAACTATCTGTTATAATTATATTTCATCAATTTTGCGTTCACAATGATATACTGGTAAATATTATTAATGAGAAATGTTTAAAAAATCCTCTTTGTCCCTGGTACATTAAGAAGAAGTAATTGAAATTCAATCGAGACGTACACATGCGCTGTGTTATTTTATTAATATACAAAAGGAGTAATATTTACTTCTATTAGGTAGTGGGATTGCTTATTTTCTGTATAGCCTTTTGTGTACTCTGTTTTGTTTACCCGTGTAATTACGTTCTGTTTTCCTGTCTGTATGTGTGCAATAAAGATTATATTATTATTATTATAATATGAATTTCGACTTATACAAAAATTGAAAGTGTAGCGTAAATTAACTCTGACGCTAAACGTTGTTTATTAATAGCACTGTAGTAGATTTAGCCTGCTTATCAATTTACTCGTAATACGAGTAAAGCGGCCACACGGTTGTTTGGTGTTTAGATTTGAGAAGCATCTGTCCGGTGAGTGCCCGCTGGCGGCGGACCTGCGGTCGGCGTGTTACCGCGCGGTGCTGGCGGGCGCGGACGATCGCACGTTCCAGCGGTTCCTGCAGCTGTACCGCGCCGCCGACCTGCACGAGGAGAAGGACCGCATCAGTCGCGCACTGGGCGCCGTCAAACAGCCGGACCTACTCAAACGTGTACTAGAATTCGCTGTATCGGTAAGTTTTATATGTTACTCATTCTATTTTTTATTTTTATTTTAAGAGATCGTCCATTAACCACGTGAGGCTCGAAAGGGGCGAGGGGTTCGTCAAAGTCACGAAATATCACAAGGGGTGGTGTAGGGGGTGTAGTGATATATCACGTGTATTAATTTTTCGTCAACGCGCGAATACTAAACCAAAAAAGTGGCGTCAAAATTTTTTGATTTATTGTAGGTACTTAAAATACACGTGATTCGGATGGAGGGGGGAGGTAGTCTTGAATCATTACGAGATTAAAGGACGGCCCCCTCATTATAATATCACGCCCATGGATTGCACTAAAATTAAATGTTTTGATACTCATTGGACAATACTGTGTTCGTTAATGGTGTTTTTTTTTTTAAATTGCAATGCTTAATGTTAATGACATCAAATAATGTGGGGGCCAAAACATTTGGTAGCAATAACGTGTAAATATAACACAAATGCTAGTAAAAATTACATTTTTTTTACAAAAATGAGTTAAGTACACCATTTGATAGCAAATATCAAGCTGCACCTTTTGTTAAAATTACCAATTTAAGGGTTTTACCAGCATTGATGCGATAAGTGTTCGCAGCAACAAATTAATTGAAACATTTAAATGTTTCAGGATGAAGTACGCTCACAAGATACGGTGTTCGTAATAGTGTCAGTAGCAGTGAGCAAGAACGGGCGGGACTTAGCCTGGCAGTTCTTCAAGGACCATTGGCAGGAGTTTATGGAGCGATATCAAGTAAAAATTATATTTAATAAATTAAGTCTTCAATTTATATCCAGTATATTACTTAATAACAAATGATTAGTCTTAAAAACATCACGCTTGACATCTTTTTTTTTTCATAACTGTATATATATTTTGTACCACCATATAAAACTGTTAATAAATCTCGCACCGCTAAAACGAATACAGGGCGGCTTCCTCCTGGCGCGCCTGGTGAAATCTACGACGGAGAACTTCGCGTCGGAGGAGTGCGCTCAGGAGATAGAGGAGTTCTTCCGCACCCACAAGTCGCCCGGCACCGAGCGGTCCGTGCAGCAGGCGCTCGAGACCGTCAGACTAAACGCCGCCTGGCTGCGAAGGGACCTCGCCACCACCGCCGCCTACCTGCAGCCCTACCAGAACCTCAAGGTACGTCCCGCTCGCTGATCATCGGCCGTATATAAACTCACCGTTGCTATGTGGGTATTATTTCCTTAGGATATCATAAACATATATTTTATGGAAAAAAAATAATTAGAAGGGGTGCTTTTTTTTATTTACGTCGAGGAAATGCATTAGGTACTATACCTGCCGTCTGGCAAGCGACAGGGGGTGTAGTGGGACTATCCTACGTGAGCCTACCCCATGGTTAGCCACGCGGTGGGCTCCAGAAGGCCTACCCACAAAAACCCCAATGGTGTATCCTCCCCTGGGGATGAGACCCGGGAAGCCGTGACCGCGTCGCCAGGTCGTTCACCCCCTTTTGGAACCTTTATTCCCCTCACGGTTAGAAAGGGTTTACTAATTACACAGGAAACTAAAATAAACAAATTTTTTTTCACTGATCAAAATCCGACTAATTACTGTTCTATATATAAATTAAAAATATTTTTAGACCTCTATTGTGTTTCGGTCGCCGAACAGAGAGAAATTCATTGACCTTTGTGCCTATTGATAGATATCGTAAGCGTTTTAGGTTGACAAAATTGGCTGCATGTTTTGCGAGATTTCGTTTAAGCCTTCTCTCTCCCTCTGACCGTTCTTTGCATTGATAGAGAATCGGCTTATTACTTGCGAAAAGACACGCACATAACATTTTTAATCAACAATAAAATATTTAACCTGCTCTGATTTATATGTATATAACAGCAAAAAATAAATGTATGATTAATTAACAAAAGTAGCAATATTGTAATGCTGTATTGTGATTTTGCTAATAAAAGGGGGACAGTCCTACGATCTACACATTGGTCCTTCGAGTCGGATCAATGTGTAGAAATATCAGATTATTTTATGTTATAATATTGCGAACATCTTCCCTTCATAAAAACCTCGTCATTATCTCGCACCTTAAAAATAACTGGCATTAAGCAAAAAAGTTTTTTCATAATTCATTGTAAATTTCATTTGTCTGTAAAAGTCAGAACCAAGATGTAATTGATGTGCAATTTTAGTCGCATGTCTACATATTGATTTATCTATTAATAGTTTTGACATGATCATGACAATGTCCTAGTATTTCCTTGTGTCTACAGAATGAGGGCATTATAATAATAAAGTTGGCGGATTACAGGATCTCCACTAGTAGAAGAGCAAGGTGGTAAAGTTCAGTAAACTAATAATATGCTCAAAATTTATTATGGATTATTAATTGGAATGGTGCGGCGACGTGCTTTAATTAATGTCTTTTTGTTTTTCTATGAATATATCAAGTCAATAACAAAATCCTCTATAAAAATCCTTGCGTATGATAAAATAAAATGTAATAGTATTTTTCTCATGTGTGCACAAGATATAACTTCTTTGAATGATTTTGCTCACACATTTTGTCAATTATTGTTGTACGTGCCAGATAGACGTTCAAAAATTTGATCACTATTTCTGTATTATAATCTGAATCTTGGAAACGGCTCCAACAGTTTTCATGAAATTTATTATGCAGGAGCGATAAATAAGCGATTTAATTATGTTAGTCATCCAGGTACTAACGACACTTTTAAGTACTTAAATTTGACGTATGTAATCAGATACGAAATTAAATAAAACCACTGAACTTCTGCTAATATAAAAAAAAGTGTTTTATTAAATGGTTATTTTATAACAAAGCTACAAGAAATCAAAAATTAAAATCATTATGTAAATATGTAAGTTGAATTGATAAAAAAAACTGAGATATTATAATCGATTCAAGAAAACTATGTTTACTCAGAGATCTATTAAGAATTACAAAATAAATATACAAAATATATTATATATATTTAAAGGTTTGTTTATTTCACCTCACACGCCATTATTACGAATAATTTTGAAGGTATCTCCTATTGAAGCATAAAATGTCCAAAGAATTGCCTGCTTATTTTCTCCATATTGTGATGATCAGATAACCAGCCGCTGAGAAGGCCCTTTCGGAAACAAAAGTACTATAAAATTGTAAAACTTCGCCTTTTAACCCCTCGAATTTACGCTCGACTTTGGAATCGCATAAATTGACGCTTGCGCACTTAGAATAAGTCACGTTTATGCTCGCGTGCAATCTCGTTAAACTCAAAGAGATATCGCCCATTTTTTAGACAGAGATCGGGTTCGTTAAAAAAGGCAGAGATCTCGCGAGAACGACATAGCAATTACTCGTTCGTGGGTAGCTCCTCTACTCGATACAAAAGACTACAAGAAAGTTAAAGAGAATATTAATACCAAGACAAATTGATGCGTGGAATATTTGTGACATTGTACCCAAACTTAATAATTCAGAACGTATATATTACAATATATTTATACAATAATGTTTTTTATTTTTTTAATACAACACGACGAACATTTCATGCATCATTTGTTTTAGTGTCAATATTCTCTTTGATTTTGTCGTCGTCTTTTGTAGCAAAGGTAAGTTACGCTTAGAGTAGTTGCTTAGACATTTACACCCGTATTTATAACGTAGAGTAAAAGTAATGACTTAAACAAATGTTTTAATAAATAAACAAGAATTTGAATGTAGTGAAAACTCTTAATAGTAATAATACTACTATTATTAGCTATTTAAAGTTCTTATTTCATAAAAATTCTCGTCCATTAGGTATGCGTTTTTCTAAAGTACTTACTTCTCCCGACTAATAAGAGTGTTCCGAATTTAGCCTCGAGTATCGCCCTACTAACGCTCGTGCAGTCTATGTACGCTATCAACGCGCATCGCCGAATTCTCAATACCCACTCTTAAGGTTAATACAGCACCAAATTGTATAATAGTATTGCATTAGTTTTGGCAGCATTATTACGTTGGTTGTTTATTTCAGCATTGCAATAAAGAAGTGTGATAAAATTGTTTTTTTTTTCCTTTTGTTATAGGACCAAAACCACATAGAAGACTGAGACAACTACGAAATCCCCAGTTAAGTATCGAATGCACAGCTAAACACTTCTATTTATTTCCAATAACATAATTGTATTGTAAATTTCTAACGGGAGTAATTTTTGTATTATAATTTACGTTTAGTACATATTGTATTTATTTAACAATATAACAAACCTAAGTTAATAAATTTTGTTAATCAACGTCAAATTAAATACATCAAAGACAGAAATATATGCTTTTTATGTTTCTATAGAGTAAACAGCTGTTGTTAGCTGCTTGGGATTGAGATGTGAATTAATATTCAAATATAACTAGAAAAACATGTCATTTGCTATGTAACATCAATAGGGATTGTATTTTTTATTATAATGGGTCCAGGAGCGAAGCATCCTATTCAGCAAATAAATATACAAATATAATATGTAGTATCATTATGCTAGGTTTTAAATTGTTATATTTTATTTTGACATTCGTAATACATTACAGTTCTTGTTGTCAATAACATGTGTATGAATAGATCGTTAAAACTAATAATAAACACAACATTGCAATCTGAAACTTGATGCTGGCTATATCATGGAATAGCCAATAACGAATAAATTGAATTGAACATTAGTTTACAATAATTATTCTTATGACTGTCTGTCTAATAATAAAATTATTTCGATTATAAAAAAATACAGTGATTGAAAATAATTTAAAATCATAGCTAATGTATCTATTCGTTACAGCTGTAAATTGGTAATAGCATTTATGTTTATATGAGCCATATTAGCTACAGTTTTATGTATAAATGTGTAAAATAAAAATGTTGTTATTATTAATTCCTTTAGTTACTATACGAGTGATTAATATTGGTGCTGAATAAGTTTGTTTGGAAAACGACATCTTTTCTCGCGTATATTTTATTTGAATAGGACTGAAATGTTACCGTTCAGGAAATGTGCATACGCATGGAATGCTTTTGGATTTTTTTTTTAATTAAATGAAATTGTAATGTTTAGGTAAATATAATTCGAAGTTACCAAACCTAATTAATTGCCTCGTTTGTTGTCATCTTTGATTTGTATTGTAAGACTGTGTTATTGCAATAAATCGTACAAAATATTTTATTTGTTTTCTTATAAGATCTTGCTAATTTATCATCCACCGCCAGAGCAGCCCCGGATGTAAGATACTTAACAATCGGGGCAGAAAATTCATAGCGCGTCGTAGCTACTCCTCCCCTTGCCCTGTGAAACTGGTTTTTATCATATTTTAGCAGCGTATGAATTTTTCTATTATTTCATTTAGGAATTTTGGAAACATGTTCGTCCCATCGTAGCCTAATGTGTAAAAATTTATAAGAATATTTTTTTAAGCGCGTTGGCAAAGTCGAGCAATTATATAATTATGTAACAAATTGATTGATTTTGCTTTTTTTGAAGTGAAACTAAATGAAACAATCAATAAAACAGTACATCTATATTGCACTATAACATTTGACTTGGTATTGTACAAAATAGGTATTATGAAATCGGGCAATAAAAACACGAAAACACAATCTTACACAACAATGCTGATAACATCTAGTGAGTGAAGAAAACACACAAGAACAAGAACTGTTGTAATCTGAAGGTACAACGAAGTACAAAACACGGAATAGGAGGATGGACAAAAATTACCACCAATTAACTTGTTACTGTGGAGGTCAGTCAGAGAAAAGGAAATCATATAAGCTCAAAAACAAATATTGCATTTGATAATCTTATTAAGTATACGTCAATGTCATAATTGGCGACCTATAAATTTACCTTCTGTATATAGTCTGTACCAAGGTCTTCTTTTTGTACTATATTAAAAAATAGTATTTTCCCACAATGATTCGTGTTTGACCACCATGCAAAAAATATAACCGTGAAAAGATCCTTGTTACTATATTATGTCTGGTTATTTTGTGGGTACATACGATGTATCAATCATGCCCATCCTCCTTTCAGGGCGCAAATACACATATTCAAAAACACTCAATAATTCAAATATTATTCACAAAAAATACTTATGCTATTCAAATACTCAAAGCTTTACAAAAATATTTCCGGTATTTCATTACTTCGTACGCCTTAAATCGTAAGCATAAGTAAAAGAAATACGAAAATATATTTAAAAAACTAAAGATCTTTTTAGCGGCTGGTATTCTCACTTAAATGAATATTGCTTGTATTGAATTCATTACAACCATGAAGTAGTGATTGAATAATAGCTTTTTTAACAATTTTTATTATTTATAATTATGTATAGTCTAATAAATTACAATTTGTCATTTATTTATATACATTCCAGTTTTTTTATACCATCCATACAATAAAATATTTTCATTTCTTGTTTCAAACAAGGTGTAAATTACACTTTGGTTGAAAAAACTTTCCTATTCAAAAGGCAACTTCAAATCAATACCTTATATGTAGAAATAGCTATACAAGTAATTGATTTTTATTGTATATTGAGTATGCAAATCTAGCGTACTCATTTTTTCTAGTTACCATTGAATAGAGGAATCGGAGCCGCGCGGTGCGCGCAATACTTATTACATTATATTATCTATATGTCATATTAGGCATGAAGATGATTGTTCGAATAAAAGCACGGATATATCTGGATTAGGCGCGCAATTCTATATTTGCAGTGTCGTAACTATATCTGTGATTTAAAGGCATGCTATCATAGGAGTGTGGTTAAAGCTACCATTCTCACAATAGGTTATGATAAAAGTTCTAATATCCGTTTCCAAAACAGATCAATAATTACTGTTTGTATTATGCTGCATGTATGCAACGATTTAAAATTACATTCTATCATTCTACTCTATATCAACTTCAGAATAATATCTTGTCTTGCAGTTTCCTTGCTACGACCAAATATTTACCCATATAGCTGCCAATCTACTTAACGAACTAACCTATTTATGATGAAAGGGGAAATGCTTTGAAGTTTTTTTTTACAAATCAAGTCTTATTTGCATGTGTGTAGGTTTAAAACTGAAAGCAAAAATTACATAAATGGTTCTATTTAATTTCCCCTCTTATTATTGAAACGGTTATTCAGACAAACAACACATTCCCATGCACTCGTTTTGTGACTCGTAGTCGGACGGCATAGCGGTAAATAATAACGCAAGTCCGCTTTTAAATAAATACAGACTGAACGCGTGAGAAATGCGAAGGTCAGCCTTAATTTATTAACATAATATAAAGTTTCCTGCTACATATATTTAGTCTTATAGATACTTGACAAGATGTGACTTTCATCTTTGAAAAGAAAAAATATATAAAACTGCTTCATTGAGAAATAGTTAATAGCAAACCAAATACTTTTTTTTTGCTAATATATTTTTTTAGGTACATATGTAATTGGATGCTGATATGCAATAATGTTTCAACGCACTCAGACAACGTTTTGGGAAAATGGCGTCTAAGGACGTGTTATTAGACTCCATTTTCTCAAAATGTTGTTTGTGTGAGTTGAAACATTATTGCATATCAGCAATTAATTGAAAAATAATTTCGGACCGTTTTATGTTTCTAATACTAAAAAATATTTTTTATGACTACATCTAACTTTTTCGCTTTCATCAAGCGAGTCTCTTAATGCCCAAAAATAAAAAACCTTCGCTTGTTTTTGAGAGTTGTTTCATGTTCTTATAACACTATTTTTCGTGGTTTTTTTTCCTGAGGTAAATAGACACAATAATATAATCAGTCGAATTTAAATCCTCCTCATTTTTTAAGGCGATTAAAATATATATCTGCATTAAAATAAGGCTTAATCAACATAAAATTTGCAATTAGTCGCTCTGTCTGATATGATATAAATAAACACTTTCAAAATGGAAACTGATTTATGATGATATATCCTTTGATTTTATAATAAATAGAGATATATAAAATTGAATAAGATACCTTATAATAGGATATTTTATCTAAGAAATAAACAAAAATACATCAAAATCGATAAGTTTGACTAGAAAGAAAGTAACACCACAAGAAGCAGAAATCGCTCCATTTGTGATTTTAAATACTAAGTTTTCGGATAGAAGAAGCTCAGTCGATCGCGCTTTCATTTAGCACTCACCTTTGAATTGAAATATAAGTGGACTAGATTTTTTTTTTTCAGGAAATCTTAAAATAAAACATGTCATTTTACAACGAACACAAACTCATTACGATATGAGAGGGAACACATACTTAATTATCCACCATTTTACAAACAACGGGAAACAAGAAATGAGTATTCCTTGATCTCATAATATTATTTTGGGAAACAGTATTCTATTAAATAATATATTTGAAAATAACACCATTTTACCTAAAGAAATTACTATTTTACGATACAATTATAACTTTTTTTACGCCATGTAATATTAGACGAAAAAATCATAATTCATAAAGAAGTAGAGACGGAAGAAATAAAACATTTATAGAACACGAAATGACGAATTTCGATTTACGTCTACTTACATATACATAATTTACTAAAAATCGAACGACTTCTTTTATGAGCAAATAATCAATTATTATAATTGCTAAAAAAAAAACATTCATATATACCACAAAAGAAGTCGCAAGTTATTACACTGTTTCCGTGGCATATGAAACAATTTGAGCAAATGGTTAGGAATAAACGTGATGACTTGCAGACCGGAAGTCATCACACACAATGATAATTATACGTAATTGATAATACTTACATAAAAATTATCTGGAGAATTTCATCACTTATATAAATCCATATGAAATTAAGGTAAAAACAAAGTAGGGGTTAAAGACCTTAAATAAGCAAATCATACAAAATTGTTCCTGCCACACACATCTTTTGACATGATGTTCCGATAAAAACATAACAGCTAGTCCCAAAGATTTCTATGTATATATAATAATAGACAAGCTTTTCAATATGAATTAGAATTATGCCAGCGAACGGTCGGTGACTTCCACAGCTTGTCTAATTGTACATATATTACATAAAAGTCCTTGCTAGATCGCATTCTGCTAATGTTTAAGTAATTGTGTCGTTTCAATACATCTCTTTTGGTCACAGGTCTTGTCACAACATCACAAAATAACGGAAACATTGATTTATCAAAATATCATGTTAGTAATATGTTCAACAACCTCATACCATATAATTATTTGGACACTAAATCAACAGCAGATTGTCAAATACAGTTGTTAACTTTAGTTTTAACTTCAAGTTAACTAAAACACCATCAAAATATATTTAGTAGAAACATTAGCAGAATTAAAGTACCGATCTCAGATTCATATTAGCTTATTTCAAGAGTTATAGAACATATTAATAACTCCCATTTAGAATGTTCGAATTGTGTTATAAAGATAAAGAAATCACCATATGTGTGCATAACTTTAAAGATTAATACTTTCTGTTAAAACAAATTTGTAATGTCTTAAATTATATAAATAAAATAACTGTGGGTAGTAAACTACACCTACCTACAGTTACATTGTCGTGAAACAATGAGGCTTACTCGTCTGTAGAAATACACGTGGAGCCGACTAGGTGTTCTGTGATTGTTGCAATCACTTTTAAGTTGACAAGTTTGACAACCTGAAAGGCAATAATAACACTTATTTTTCTTGATCATGTGTATTTATAATATTCATAGTTTTCTATTCATCAAAAGTTACATCTGGTTAGCCGAAATGATAATTTGGCATGTGACTCATAGTCAGTACACAATTGATATATTCTATACCGAGCAAAATTCTGAAATCGGGAGTCTGCGATTGCGGAGGTTAAGAAACTTTCAAAAAGATCATCGTTGGATGGGTAACCAAAATTGAAAATGTCGACTTCTCGTGCTTGGGAAGGCACTTTAGACCTCTGGTTTGGGTTTTACTCAATAACCATGCACCGGCTGATTGCTTTTGAATTCGTATTTTTAGTAGGGATAATAATTATCGTTAAGTACACAGTAATACATCAAGTTATCGCAGACTATACAATAAATTAAAGAAATAAAAACAAATTAAGGTTTAAAATAAAAATCATGACAAGTTGTAAACTCTTACCAAGTGTGAATATGTAAAATACTCATGCCCTCCGAGTGCTATTCTATTATCTGGCATCGCGGCAAATGTTCTCTCAGATAGTCGAAGAGCTCTGGCGATGCGCCTGCACAATTCGTCAGTTCCAGCTCTCGCAGCTGCCGAAGCTGTATCAGGCTAGAGAGGCCACCTGACGTTAGAAGCGGACAACCTGGCGAAATATTGATTTTTTAAAATGTATTATAGAAACAGACTAACCTAAACTAATCTACAATTATGCTAAATTGTACATAATTAGAAATAAAAAAAAGAGTGTTTGGTAATGTAAACATTGATGAAAATACTCTCTACAGATGCGAAAAAGTATTGCTTGAAAAATTCGTCAGTCCTGTTAGGTCTTGGGTTCTTGGTCTCTCAGCGGTTAGAGCAGTCGCCCGGTTTGCGAAAGGTCATGGGTTTGAGACCCATTTCAGAGTGCCACGAGCAAAGTGGATTTTTTAAGCATTTTTAATTAAGAATAAATAAAAAAATATATATTAAAATGAAATGGAAACCAATGACTAATTTTAAAAATGATGTATAGTTTAATAGAACAGAGCGAATATCATCAAACACATGACCAAAAAAAAATGATTAAAATTGAATATATTTTCAAAATTAGTGTGATCAAATATATTGTCAAAATTAGTGTGATCAAATTTATTTTGTTAAATAATAATAATTTTATATTTTTCGAACATATAACAGAAAGGTTTCTTTCAGAAAATACAGGTGTACTTTAAATTTAAGGCAACCGAATTTCATAGTACAACGTCGGGTTCCGAAGTCTATATATTTATATGGATAATATACTGGTAGAATATGACAGAACATACCGGCCAACGAGAGTAATTGTAGCGAGCGCATGCCACAGAGATGCTGCACACCGAAGTCGCGCAGCTGAGAGCACCAGCGCAGGAACAGAGCCACCAGGGACTGCATCGTGCTGATGTAACCCACGCCGATATCCGTTATATGCACACATCTGTTATCGTTCCAAACAAATCTATATAAATAAAATTTAAACCCAATGCCCCGTGGTAATTCTTTTGTTTTGTTGTGTTTTTTTATTGTCAGGAGAAACTTATTTACGAAGAAAAAAATAAGAAAGTTGTGTGGAAATTTTCTAAAGTTAAGAATATTGAACTTTAGTGCTTTTGATAATATAACTTTATTTAAAACTGATGATTCGGTGGGAGTTAATTTATCCAATTCAAATTCAATATTAAGACAAGACGTCGTGTCAGCTAGTAAACTTATAAAGATTTTATTAATTGAGTTCGGTGAATCGAATTTAGCTTCATTATATTTCATTTAATGAACCCATAATTAGGGTAAACTCCTTCCCTATGAATTGGGAACAAATAGGGAGAACGGGCAATAACTCAGCAACAGGCCCATTGTGGATAGATAGCCATTATACATAATGAATCCTTGCTATTAATATTGATTTGGTAATAATCTGATTGTGTACAACAATAATCAAAGTAAACGACATTACTTTTGTTAGAGCTGGCGAGTTTCGGTTGCTTCTTATTAGACAAAAGACATTCTGAGCGGGTAAAAAATGTTGAACGACTCAAAAAAATCCTCAAAAAGGGGTATATCTATTATGTCCACACGCACGCAACGCATTTTGGACGCAGTCCACCATCAGTACCAGCGTCACCGGCCATTTAACGAAAAAGTAACGACAATTACAATAACCATGCCTTTATCAAATCTTTTGACTATTAACCCTCAATGAGCCTGCGTGGTAGGTTATTCTCCATTCTCCCTATTCGATTCCATTCATAGAGAAAGCCTATATTTTACCATTGGGGCCATTAAAACTTGTCGATTTGTGGTAATCTGCTGTATCGATGTATGTACCACGAACCTGTCTAGCGTGAGCTCTTCTAGGTGGTTGAGATCGCATGCTATGTATTCTAGTGCGTTATCCGTTACTCGCGGACACCAGCTCAGATCGAGACTGCGTAAACGCGGCAGATTCTCCGCCAGTAGTTCCACGCCCTCGTCGGTTACTTTGCTACATCCGCTCAATGACAACACTGTCAGGTTCGGCAGCGAATGTACTGTGTATTAAAAATTAATAAAACATTTATAAAAAAGGTTGATGATCTTGTTTTCTTTGCCAAAACAATAAATTTATTATTATTCGTCATCGTTAATCGAACTGCTATTGATGACGCTAAGGGGACTAACATTCTAGAGGTCTAACACAGTGAGATTTTATATATTATGGAGGGGACAATCTCCGTAATCTGACCAATAAAAATCGGAAATATTTTCATATGAATATTCTTTGACCTAGGGGAAGCTACATCATGCGCGGGTGATATAGGCTATAATTTACACGGGTGAAGTCGCGGGAAAACAGCTACTTGAATATAGAGCCGACGACCTCCGTGACCGGTCGGTTTGGCCATTTTGATCTCGGATTCGATACCTCGACAGGCAAATGTATAAAATAAATTTTACTATTTTGTCTAGTATCCGGGTTGGGTGTCTTTATATCATTGTTACAGATTTCAGAGCGACCTTCATATCTAGATCACATAGAAAGCTATTTACTTTGGAATCTGAAAGTTTTCTAATACTTATTTATTATTGTTACCGATGTTGACGACTCCGTGATTTGTCAACTCCCAGCAGCTATGTAGGCGTAATACGCTGAGTGAGGCGCTCTGTTTGGGCGAGAAGTAGCCGAGAGCGGCATCAGTCACGTGGTACGCTTGTAGCGAGAACTCGTACAGAGAAGGAAGTAGTTGAGCAACAGCACCGACCTAATTAAAATTATTATTTTTAATATATACTAATTACTACAGATTACATTATATTTAATATATTGCTAAGGTAACCACAAACCAAACCCAATGGAAGACATTGAGGAAAATATAAAAATTAGAGAAGTCTTTGTAAGAAAACATTATTAACCTCCACACCATTACGAGCAGAATTGTCAGGATTCTAATGTCACCTGTCATTTGTTTGCTAGGCTGTAAAGAAAATTCGTTTCGTTCTCCCTCTCCCCCCAAATTCACACATTTCTGAACACATTTAAACTTTATTTTAATAGATTTTTTTAATCTCAAAACAGTTTATAACAATTTTAAAGAGCAGAAAAAGCACTACAAGCTTCATTTTATTTAGGTTGAATTGGAATGTATTAATTATAAAAATTTGTTGTTTATTAACCTTCTTATGTTCATACCAATGTGTAGTAAACAAACTGACTTAACAATAGATACTTACAGCCTCATCAGCAATATTAATGCAGTCAGTAAGCGTAAGTGAGACAATTCGTGGTGTTAGACATGCCCACAAACCAGCCTCGGTTATTTCATTGCATCCAGTTAATTCTAGCTCAAACAGAACCTAAAAAATAAGATTACTCTTAAAACATCCTTTGGTGTTATAAATATTATTGGTTACAGAAAGAATTTGTAAATTAATATATCTCAAACATGTGTGTTTCGCATCTGAAAGCAGTGGATCGGCATCATGCGTATTTAATAGCACATAATTACTACTACTATTATGCCACTTTTCGATAAACAAAGTTTAGCACTTGACGATAATGTGTCTCTAGTAAATTTATTTATAAGATTTTTCTTTATATAGTTATCAACCTTATTGCCGTTAAGATACAATTTTTGTGACTTGACTTTATCACAGCACATTTTCTTTAACAACCATCGTAATATTCATTTGCTATATGCTGTTTATATAAATTTCAGCTATGATAAATTAAAACACAAACCTGTAAATGATCCAATATAGATTCAAGCCCCCTGTCTGTAATAGTGCAACCTTTCAAGCTAATTGCGTGCACATGGTGCGCAGACAGCGGGAATTGCCTTATAAATTCGTTGATGTCATCATCTGTGGCGGAGACGAGGACGACACCGCGTATGCCGCGGCGCACTAGTGAGTTGTAGAACCGCTGCGTGCAACAGCCGGTGGTGGAACGTAGCTCGCGACAGTCTATAGACGCTACCAGTCCCGTCCACCAGCGCGGCGATGAATATAACAAGTCCCGCCATTTTGTACACACCTATAGTTGATAGAGTAGTTCACATTCTCAGTGTAATATATGTCACGCCTTAAAGATCAAAATCACTAATTGAGTATTACAGGCATTTTTAACAGACTGCAAAAAAGGAGATTATCAATTCGAGGTCTATTTATGTGATTTCGTTGGCATTACGTAATATTCCTATATCTATGTCTTTAAGGGCTTTTTTTTTGTTTAATTGCCTAGTTTTCAACTTAGGGTACACTACAAGTTTCATCAAAACCGGTTGAGTAGTTTTGAAGATATAAATAAATTAAATTTAAGCTACTTATAAAAGAAGTAAAAATTTAAGCAACTTATAAAAGGAGTTAAAATTTTTTTTTTTTTTTTTTATTTATTTATTAAGGAACAAACAGTTATAAAAAATTACATGAACACAAATCAAAGAAAAATATAAATAAACCTATAGTTCCCAACATTACATTTGTTTTATTACTGTTAAACAAAGAAAAAACATCAAACAAGCTAAATATGTTGAACAATATAAATAAATGGGTATCCAACTATATCTTATGCTAAGTTAAACGAACTACGCAACACAAAAATTCACGCTTCAATGCACCGGTCGGCGGCGGCTAGCAAGCGCGTCGCCAGTGCGCCGCCGCAGCAGGCGAAAAGTAGACGCAAAGTACGCCGTTTAACATACTAGGAAAAGTCATTACCGATTGTGGATATTGAAACTAAAATTACGTTAAAATTAGGCAACTAGTATAATAACAACTATATTGTGATGGTTTATTTATTAGCAATATCGGGTAAGTAACTCTTCCAAGTTACGTTATTAACAAATTATAATAAAATACATAAGAAACTAAAATCAACAACTAAAATGTAATATACAATTTACTAAAAACCAATTAGTGTCCTCATTTTTTATTTATTTTTACTTTATTATGTGTTATAGTTGGTAGACCCGGTTACACAAGGATCCAATCCAATTATCACATTGCAAATCATAACAAGAATCATACTCGTAAAATGAAAAAACTCGATCAAACTTAGTCCGGACTAAGTCCAAGAAAAAGTTGCGTGATGATGCTGCCATCAGCTTCCAATTATTGCAGACCAGACAGGCCGACAACAAGAGGTAACATATTTTTTAGCGATAGAAATTATTGTTACTGTAAATATATACCATTGTATTATCTTCGTATTCGCGTTTACCAAGTTATTTAGGTGTAAACTTAAGTTAATTAGTTAAATTAATTATATTGTTTATTTCCAGGTTTGAAATTACAAAATTAAGATACTAAATTAGAAGTGGGATCAAGACATGATAATATAAAATAAAATAAGATAAAAGACAATCGTTCGACAATGATAAAACACACTTTATATGGAACAGCAATCCTTGTAAACGGGTAATTGGAGTGACCAAGTCAATAACAGTGAGTCAGGTCACGGTTAAAATATTTTAATTTAAATTTAAAAACAAACTGTAATAATGTGATACTAAAAAATGCGCCTATATAAACTATACGTCAAAGTGTTGCAATATTTCAACGGCATGTCGTTTAAACGCAGCAACAGATGTTCCAAATATATCCACATCGTTAAAAACGTTGTTGTAAAGGGTGCATGCTCTTTTTATGTAACTATTACTTCCATAGCAAGTTCTACTTTGCTTAACGAAAAATAAATCTTTTTTTCGAATGGATCGCTCTTGTTTCCTGGGCACTCGAAAGAAAATCTTTTCCAAAAGAAACGGGGCATCAACCATATCATTCAGTATTTTAAATAAATAGTTTATATCTATAAGATCTCTTCGATCTTTTAGAGAAATCATATTTGATGATCATCTTTATAAACACTTTGATAAAAAAGGAGATCGTCAGTTTACCTGTGTATGTACATCATTGACCGACTGTACATCGACAATTTTTTTGAGGTTGGTGTCAGATAGTTAGATAAGAAAAATATCATGTATGGTAAGAGAAAAAAAGTTTTTCTCACGGTGTTGTTTATACCCCTTATAATTAAATGGCTGGCAATGACCTCAAAATAATTTGTTGGTGTATCCACTTTTTGTGTTTTAATTTTATGAAATATTAAAATTTGTGGTATTATTTCTCTCTTTTCTGTTGTTTCTCTTTAATATGATTTTTATGAAGTATGTTTAAATTTTTTATTATTTTATAATAATCGTTTCCAGTTAATATCTGTTGTGCTATCCTGTTACTTCATGCTAGATCCTTTTCCAGACCTTGGGAGGCGGGCAGAAAAAAAAATTGATGTGCTTATTTATTATAAACGATACATGATGATGACTTACCTGTGCGAGGCTGCGTCTATCGTTTGCGTTGAAATACAGAAAGAACTTTTCAAGAAAGCGTTCTTCTAATATGAACTGAGACCATACTAGCGGGCGTGGCGAGGGGCGGCGTCGTCGGGGCACGCGGGGGGCTGCGGTCGCAGCGGGTCCACAGAGTGCATTGGCCACGCGTTCTACTACGCCAGGCGATCGCTTTCGTCCGCGTAAACCTAATCCTGTTATACGTCGTGATAGTTCGGCCGACGCTCTCTCCACCACCCCTTGAGCCGAAACTGACGACATTTTTACCTAGAAAATAGTTTGAGAAAAAACTCAATTGTACTTTTTACCACTAAACTTAACTTTCAATTCACATTATGTAGTTGATATGTATTAGTAGACTGAATTAAGTTAACTAGAATTTTGTAGAAGTGTAAAAACCTAAAGTTACGAAAATAAGATCAGAAACAATATAGGGAAGTGAATTTTTCTACAATGGCATGACCGGAAACCATTCCCACTACAAACAGGCAGGTTTTGCTATCCAAGACAATGCTAGCTTCCCAACGAGAATAAGTAATACAATTCATTTCAGATTGTGAAGCATATGATATAATAAGCTGATACCTTCACGCGCCGTATGGTGTCGCCAGGCCGCCCTCCGGACCCAGCGCCCGCGCCTCCCGATCCGTGCTCACAACCCGCCACCTCGCTATTGTGAAATTTACATTTGCAAGTGATACACTGATAACTAATCACAAAAGAAATAATTTTACACCTAATTGTATGAATTTGAGAAAAGTGCTGATTAATTTCAGATAGTGGCAGCATCAGAATCAAACTTATGATGCTTTTTCTTTAACCAAGAGGTTCAAATCATTAAGCAAAGAAATTGTATGACAATTTTATAGTAATATACTTGTATGTACAATGTATTACTTAGGGAAATTAAGGATATATTAGTAACTAAGCAACCAAAATGTTTGTCAATATGCAGGTAAAGTAATGATGAATAAGAAAATTTGAGGATCTAAAAGCTACAGAAATTAAAAGAGAGTAGCATATTAAGAAAATCTATTGCATAGAGTAAATATATAGCTTTGTAGGAATAATATAGTTGTATTTTAACTTTTTGTATACATAACAGAATATTAGTAATTTATTTAAAATATCAAAAATAATAAAGAATTGAATTTAATAGTCCAAGGCTTTATCCATAGCATTGATTAAGTATAGTAATTGGACCTAAATTTAAACAGTAATTAGTGGCGGGTTAAGGGGCCTCCTACTCCTGAGGGGCTCCCAACTGTCAGCTATTTAAACCGAATTTAACTTCACTTTTTAACTGAAGAACGTTAAGAAAAAAAAATATGTAAAGGCACATTTCGATACTTTCGTTTTAACTAAAATTATAATTTTAGGATCTATAGGCGGCAACATATATATTTGAAATTGATAACGAATGAACAATCATGTAACATCATGATTACGAATTCTTTGAAACATCACAGAAAACTAAATAGCAATTTGATAAAAAATAGAAATGAAAAAATCGATTTATTATACAAACCTATATAATTTTGTCTTCGCGAAAAAACACCATTATTGATATAATACAATTGTCACTTCATTTTCAATTATAAATTATGTTTTATTTTACCATTTAAAAGATACAAATTGACTATTTTCACAGAAAAGTAACATATAAAGCTTGCTTGATTGCAAATAATTTTGACAGTTTTGACTGGTTTTGTTTGACTTAAACGTAATCTAAAATTATCTTTGGTTTTCATTTTACCATAGATGAATTAGATGTCATTTCTTTTGTATAGACAAAGGCATATCTCAACAACAAATATGTATAGGGTCAAAAAAATTTAAAAGGATCTACCTATATGTTACAATAATAGCTTCGCACTGACTGACGGTTTTCCTATATTTTATAGTTCAGGCAACTTTTATATCTGCTAACTTTCAGTAGATCTATCAATTTTGGTTTCTGACTACTGTACCTATAACTTGTTGTAATCTAGAAATGCAGTAATAGCACTTGATTATTTTTAAAATAATACCAGCATTGTGTGAATAGCATGTATAATTTGGATTTATTGAGCATTTGTTCGAGAGCTTCCTGCCTTTCCGATATTTTTCTAAAGACGACGTTTCAGACGATTCAGACAGATCAAAACTTAAATTATACCCAAATTATACCGATTTAGGCACATCATTCGTAATACTAGGTTGGCAGCACTCACACTTGACAGACGTTTATTAAAAGGATTATTTTGGGTTGATTTTGTTTCTGCTGTATGACTACGATAACCTATTCCATAAAATAAAATACCAATTTTAATTGTAATATAACAATTTTAAAATATGGATTTCGTAGATACTATACCTGTAACATTTAGGGAAATAACTCCTAATTATAATATCCCAGAAAAATGGAAGGAAATCTCTCTAAATACCGGTATTTAGAATAACACCTTAATGTTGTTGTTTATTTAAAAATGTGTGCTAATAAAGAAAGATTTTAATATTGCAGGTGGCACACATAGTACTTTGCAGGATATAAAACTTCCACAAAAGGCTGGAGGCTACTGGTATAAAGATTCATTGAAGGCTAACACTAGAAACAGATTTATATCTTGGTATGTAAATTTTGCACTAGAAATAATTTAGTTAACGTGGGTTAGTCGGAATATTTTTGTGAGGAGTTAGAAGTTTAAGAATCTATTGTGTAAACTTTCAGTTACAGTCTATGAAAATGCATTTTCGTCCACTATTTAAATTTGACTTGTTGTAATACCTGAATCTCAAACTGTGAATGTATAACAACATTGCAGGCAAACCACTCCTGATTCTATTGAATTGTCTGAAGCATCACTTGATGTCAATTTATCAGGAAGTTATATAAAATGTAAGGTGGCCCCAGGGACTCCACCATTGAACAATATAACTATATATGAACGCCCAGCCACCAAAGAAATAGTTATCTTAGCAGCCACTGTCTCCTCAGTCCACAGACTAATATTCCCTCATCCTGAGGTATTAGAGAAAAAGGTGACTATAATTTTACATTTGTTTTTGATTTCATTAATTAATGAGGTGATTTATTATTATTTATTTGAATTAAGATGTCTTAAAGAATATTGAGCATGTTCCAACAATGAACATGCTCTGTAATGCATTATATAGCTAATTTAATTATTTTGATTTATTCCTTTGATCTTCAATTTCATAGTAGAATAGCACACAAACTGGTTTCAAGGTCAACAACATCTCTGAGGTTCCCAGTTTGATTTCTTGTTGTGTCAATTTATAATTAACATTTCTTTATTGTCTGTCTTAGGTCTGGGTAGTGTGGTACCTTTGTTGTTATAGAGCTTAACCCATCAGTGCTCGTCTTTGTACATGCATTGTTATTGCATTTTTTTAATAGCTCTATGCATCATCTGGGCTGCAATAAGTTAAGCTACTTACAGTTGGTTTCTGGATTGAGTAAAGTACAAAAAGTCAACTGATTATTCTCAATTACTTATGTTTTTTTTACGTCTCACTAGTTACAAAGTCCTGGTTATATCACACTGCTATCAACTGATCTTTAAAAAAAAAACAAAATCTGGAAAGGAAAACTAAATATTGTTTGAGACATTTTAAATTTAAATTCTTAATTAAGAAACCAGGTATTTGTTTGTTACCTGAGCAATGTATGTGGTGATGTACAGTGGCTTAATTTTGTTAATGTTTTTTTAGTCTGCCTATGGGTCTGTGTGTTCATCATCTCCATCAATATTTAATGACACAAGTGCCATCAACAATCCAAATAATTACTTTATTTTAAACCAGTATTCAAATGCAAGTAAGTATTATAAACTTGTTATCCATTGGTATCTTTTTTTAAATGACCTTGGGGTTTTGTGATCTATAAATAATATAAATATTTACTTTAATCTATAATATCAGGCACTAACTGCTTCTCCCACAGCAAATTATGTCTTTTTCATGTTTAATGTGCCTTCTCATAGATCAAAGAATATTGATTGTTTTAATTGAAAATTGGATTAGTATTTCCAAAGATTACAAACCCTACAAACAAAGCTCAAAACTTTACATATTTATTAACATAGATAAACAATATGAAGTTGAATTAAAACTATCTCATACAACACCAAAATCTAGTTAAAAATTTATTATTATTATAGTAAAATACCAATGTTTTTTGGTTATAAATATGTATAGTATATGTAGTCTTCACGGTAATGTTAGTGTTGAGTTTTTCTTTCTAGTTATTTATATATTATCTGTTATTATTGTTAATTTACAGCTACAGGGATTGCCCACACATGTGCATCACTTTTGCGTGATAATGGTGAAGCACTTTTTGCATTGGCCTATGGTCTTAGTGGTGAGGGAGGTCTTTTGTTGGTACGATTGCCAGTATCAGGCTCAGCAGTGACTGTTCCTCTTAAACGGGAATCGGCAGTACCTAGATTCTTATCAGGAATTACTGGTGCTTTAAGGTAAAAAACTTCAGTTTTATTTCTAAATATTAGATGGAATACAATTTGAAAAGGTGCATTATTGAAATTACTATCCATATAATTTCAATAATACACCTTTTCTCAGTTTATTTAAATTTTACGCCACTGATCAATATGTCATGTGGCTGGTTGATTCGCAGACATTTCAGATAACCAAATCAATTAATATATGATTTACCTTATATTGCTGACGATCTTATAGTTTTTGTACACTTTTATATTATTATGTATTTTGCTTTCATTATACATATGTCATTATAGGAAATATTGTCAACCCACTACTTTTAATTTAGAAAATTCTCTTTACCTTTATTTAATAACACTTTTTTGAGAAAAGAAATCTGATACTGGTTTTATGACTACCTATATGAAAGTTTTAAATACTTTTACCAAAGCAGTCACATAGCCAATTGTTCATTTATTCACAACAAATATGTTTTATATTATTTATATAGAGGGAAAAGTAGTGAAGGGCTTGAAATCTATGGCGTCGTTCTTACTCCGAGCTTGGCAGTTGCTGTGTGTGGGGACACGTGCTTGCGTGCCTGGCAGCTGGACGACGGAGGCGCGCCGGCCGCTGTCTCCACTCCTCTTTTACAAACTGTAGCTAGGCCTAAACCACCTCGTAAGTTTATTGTTTTGTATTTTTTTTTATTTATTTCAGATATTCATACATTATATTAATATGTATGTATTTTCAGAAAGAAAGAAGACATTACATGTAAAAAACTCAATTATGCAATTGTGTAGCATCTGTGCTTAAATTAGATTTATAGAATAAATCTGAATCTCAAGCCTCAGTGCTCCTCCCTTTTTAAATGATGATAATTTATTACAACTCCTTATAATTAGTATAATAATAATTAATCATTATAATTATTATAATTCTAGTAGTTTTCAATAATTAAACAATTTTTTTTTTTTTTTTTTTTTTTTTATAAAAAATGGAGGGCAAATGACTGCGCTCCACCTGATGGTAAGTGGAGGCGCAGTCCAAACGCGAGGACAGCTAGTGTAAAACAGTACGTAGGTACTGCACTAGCCAACCTCACCTTGCCGACCTGCAAGATGCTTCTTCACGCCCCGCTTGAAGGACCCCATGTCATAGGATGGAGGGAATACATGGGCCGGGAGACAATTCCATTTTTTGGAAGTACGACAAAGAAATGAGTCGCCAAATTTCTTTGTACGCGAAGGAATCGTTGCCACAGTTAGTTGGTGGCAACGCAAACCAGCACGTGTGGTCCTGAGGAGGAAGGGAGATGGGGGGATAAGGGAAAAGAGTTCTTCAGAGCATTCACCATGGTAGAGACGGTAGAAGACGCTGAGCGAAGCAACGTCTCGGCGCAGTTGCAGGCTTTCTAGGTTCTTGGTGACTTCACCATTGCCAATAATGCGCACTGCACGGCGCTGCAATCTATCCAAAGCATCGAGTAAGTACCTAGCGGAGCCATCCCAAAGGTTCGAGCAATACTCCACGCATGACCGGACCTGCGTTTTGTATAGTAGGCACAGTTGTTCGGGCGTGAAAAAACGCCGCACCTTGTTCAGGACACCGAGTTTACGTGATGCTGTTTTAATAACAGACTCGATGTGGTTTTTGGGATTCAGATCACAGCGCACTTCCATCCCGAGCATGTTGATGCTGCTCTGTAGAGGCAAGGTTGTGCCCTGAAGAGAGGGAAGGGAAGGGAATGGGGGGGTCTTGGCGGTAAATACGCAGACCTGAGTTTTCTTGGCATTGAACTCAACCAGGTTTTCAGCACCCCATTTCGATATGAGATCCAGAACGTGATTGAGCTCAATGACAAGATTCTCTCTTTTCTCCAGGATTTCCGCCCGTCCGACCGTAGGAGCCCCGTGATATCCCACATGTACTGTGCTGTCGTCTGCATAGCAATGGATATTTCCAAGTGGAAGCATGTCATTGATATGCAGCAGAAAAAGTGTAGGGGATAGAACGGAGCCCTGAGGCACACCGGAATTGACTGTCCTAAGCTGCGAAGAGCATCCGTCAGAAAGAACACGGATTTTACGCTCACGCAGGAAGTCGGCTATCCAGGCACATAGTTGAACGGGCAGACCGTAGGCCGGAAGCTTGGAGAGAAGTCCCTTGTGCCAAACCCTGTCAAATGCCTTAGCAATGTCAAGACTGACAGCCAAGGACTCGCCGCGCTTGTCTATAGCTTCACCCCAGAGGTGCATGACGTGCGCTAGAAGATCACCCGTTGATCGTCTTGGTCTAAAGCCATACTGACGATCATTTATAAGGGAGTGATCTTCTAGGTATCGGATCAGTTGGGAGTTAATAATCCTTTCCATGACTTTACACAGCACAGAAGTGATAGCTATAGGGCGGTAGTTTGCAGGGTCTGACCGATCTCCCTTTTTGGGTACTGGCTGCACAATGGCCTCTCTCCAAGCCTCAGGTACACGACCCGAAGAAAGAGATAGCTGATATAGGCGCGTAAGTACGGGAGTCAACTCCGCTGCACACATTTTTATAACAACCGCAGGTTGTTATAAAATTCTCACAGTAGCAACTAAAATAATAAGTTATCTTAAAAAGAAGATAGAAATTTAATTAGAAAATAAATTTTAGACACAGCAACAGTAAAGCATGCAAAGATTTGTGCCTCTTGGTGAGTAGATAGTGTTTATGTTGAGTGTGTGAGAGAGGGTGTGTATGTGTAATGTTATAAAATAAATATAGTAATAGAATAGGTCAAATATTAGTTTCCAGAAGGTCCTTAGTTTCCTGGTAATTTAATAACTGAAAAACTGCCGTCTTACAAAAGGACCTAGTTTGGACAGACAGACAACAGACATTGGATAAATGTTTACCATTTTGTTAATCTTATTGTATAAGAAGGGGGGCAATAAACATTGGTGTTTTACATAACCATTGTTTTTTATTATCATAAGATTTGCTGAACCGGCTGTTTATTCATAGGTTCTGCTTGCAACTCATGGAAATTTCGAAATAATTCATCTTAAGCAATCTAGTATGAAAATATTCTCTATATACCATCGATGAAATCATTATGTGCAACTAAAGCTTGAACTCCTATTTATGAAAATTAACGCATATGGAGGAGGGAGTGTGATATATTCAAAAAGAAATTTGTTTTTGTGCAGAAAAGTAATTAATAAAATATATATGTACAATATATATATATATATATGTGATGGATACATTACACTTTTTATTTTAGAAAATTTACAATTTTAGAAAATTTATAACGAAAGGTTTTTATGTTTTAAATTAATTGTATTAATTATATCCACATCTTGAAAGATTTCTCTATTATTACAGCACATGGACATACATTGCAGAAAAGTTTTTTGCCAGATGGAAGCTTAATGTTGGTTGCTTATCTCTCTTTTCCCGATGAATGTGAGTTTGTTGTGATGAAGATGCATGATTCCGGAGCGGGCATCAAATTTTCACATATTTGCCGTATTTTTGGACCACAGGTGATATATTTTTTTATCAATATCACTTATTTGTGTGACATAAATTTTTATTTATTATTTTTGATCAATTTTGCATTCACAATGCTCTACAGAAAAATATTTTCAAAAAAAAAAAAACGCTTAAAAGGGCCCGGATTGCGAAAGGTGGGTTCGAGTCCCATCTCAGAGTGCTAGGGACAAAGAAGATTTCTTAAGCATTTTTTATTAAGTATCAATTTTTATATTGTCCTTTTTTTAGTTGGATTTATTGGATTATTCTATTGGGTATGGCGACGGCGGCAACGTCATTTGGGCATTGTGGAGTCAACCGGATGGCGAAACAGTAATCACAAGTAAGTTTCACTATTTGCGTCTGAAATAAATGGAAGTATGAAAATAGAAGAGTCCTTATTGTTCCGTCATAAAAATCTACCCTATATATCCCGCTTAGAGCCCCGTATGTTATCAGCAATAGATTTATTTTCAAATAATAAAATTCGTTCACCTCTTTCAGCTCCTATTAAGTTGCTATAGCTTTACAGCACATATTGGCCGTTGCAAATATTAAAATTGTGTCATTCCACCATAACAGCGCTAGATATGTCTCGTAAAATGCTAACGTGTTAGTACTATCGGGCAGGTAGCGCACTGGGCGCGGAGGTATCTTGGCGCGCGGTAGCCGGACGTGAATCGGCGCCTCCGCTGCCGCAGCTGCCCTCGCATCATCACTACCGCGACCGTCTATTCGCGCCCGGTCTATTCCCGCCCGCAGTTATACGGAAAGCTCTTGTGGTACGTACTTTGCTCGACGTTTTTCTTAACGGTAGTTATTATCATTACCGTATGTTGAATGAGAAAGTTGACATGTATCATTTTTGTCATATATATCTTTTTTTTATTAGTTTTAGACAATAGATCAAAACTTTATGTAAGAAACTACCTGTGCAATTGGCATATTTAAGAAGTTTTATGACATGTTCTTTTTATATAGTTTTTGACTTTTAGTGTATAGTTTGATTTTGTGATTAGTAGCATAAAATTATAGATCTGTAACCGACTTATAAACTTATGTAGTAATTCAATTTATTTTAATTAGCATTTCATTATAAAGTCCTCGCTCTAGTAGTTATATCTCTAAAAAATTTCATAAAAATTGGTTCATATTCAATTTAGATAATTAGCATCGACCCCTACCCTCAATATTTTAAAGATTGAAATCGAGTGTGGAAATTTGCCAGTTTTGAATTTATGTATGAAGCTTATGAACTAGAAATTCTATCTTAACATATATCATTATTCCAAATGTTTTTATTTAGATATATCGTCGTACCTGGGGCAGCAATGAGACTGCTCTAGAAGGTGATCTTAGTGAATCCGCAATTAACGCAGTGCAGTTTCGCCTTAGGCAACTCACAGCACGTGCCTCTTCTCCTGATCATTCGCACCTTATGCATAAGTAAGTTTAAAACATGTATACACTCCAATTATTTAAATAAGAGAAGAAAAGATATCTTGAAAACTAGCCGCAGAACCCCACAACAATAGACCATACGTCATTACACTATGAAAATAACTAAAATAACCAATCTTGCCGTTTCAACATTTGTCAACAGTCTAATTTTCTTAACTGCAAATGCTGCAGAACTCAGTCTACTTGATAAGTTATCAATATGAGGATCCCATTGCAGTCGGGAATCTAGTGTAATACCAAGGAAATTCATCGATTCCACCAGCTAAACTTTTTCACTATTTACATTTATAAGTGTATTAACTTTATGCATTTCCTTTTATTTGAATTAAGCTTTAAATTATTATTATCAAACCACTGTAGAACATTGTCGAGAGTATCATTTACATCGTCATACAATCATTACCTCTCTTAACTTTAAACACTAAAGAGGTGTTATCAGCAAAAAATACTGTGTCGCACAAATTCTTCGTAAAGTGAGGAAGATCACTAATGTAAATTAGAAAAAGCAATGGTTCTAATACTGATCCCCGAGGTTCGCCCATAGTAATGGGTGCCCCTGCAGATTTCGCTTCATTAATTACTACTTTTTGAATTCTAGCAGAAACAATTAGAAGATTAGAAGAAAAACAAAATAAATATTGTAGTTGGTGATTTTATTTAATACTAAAAACGATCTGTAATCAATACACATACAGGACTGATCAAAACGATAATACCAAACTGCATATTTGACTGGGTATTAATCAGGGCTTGAAACCGGTTCAGAATAAACCGTTTTTATTTAGGTAAAACCTGTTCTCTTATAATGTTCCGTTCCGGATCGGAACTGAATGCGGAGTGAAATTCGGATGGAATAAAAACCGGTTAATTCGCTTGGTTCGTAAAAAGTAATGTTCTTACGCTTTTAATGCGAATTACATCATTTTTAAGCAATGACATTTATCATACCTGTGTACGGATGTTATAGATAGGAGTAAAGGCACTTAAAAACAGTGCTGAAGTTTGTGAGATCATTGTTTGGAGTCATATTTAAACCGGTTAGTGAAGAAAACAACAACAAAATCTCCGAGGTTAATAAACAATATTTGTCATGTATATTTGTAATAAACAATATATATATGTGTGTAGGTACCTACAGTTACTATGTTAACTAAATTAAGATATTTCAGAAGATATGTAGTTTTAGATTTCAATAATAATTGTCATCCTATTTAATTACTTTTTCGTTATTTAAAGTCCAAAGTTTGCAACTTTTGCATATTTCGTCAAAATTTACTTTTTGAAGATTAAAAGTAATATTTTTATTTGAGCGCGGTGGCGCAACACTCATTTTATGTATGGATTATGTCTTAGTGCATTTATCGTAGCTATAAATTAGAAAGTAGCAGGTGAACTAGTGGTACGAGAAAAGCAATAATGGTTATTTTTGGGAAATTTGATTTTTCTCTTTAGAGGTTACAAATTCACGTTTTGGTTTGAATTGAATATCTAAAATGTGATTTTGTTCTCCCATTTTATTATTAAGAACAAAATCGAGTTTGCAATTGAATGACGCCATTCAATTTAACAAGTTGGCTGTTACATAACAATGAGGTCATGAATATTCAATCAATAAAAATCGAATTGATTGAATTTTAAGGCAATAAAACGTGTTTGTTTTTCCGAAATATTTGTTTAATTGCTTTTTTAAATTAAATAAATAATATCAAGTATTATTTCAAATAGAGTATAATACCCTATTCGTTCACTTTTATTTTGGAGTTACAGAAGTTTCAATAAAATTAAGATACAAAAGTATGTATGTACACATATTTAACGCTTACAGTATTTTTAATGCTTAAGTAAGCCCACAGATTTTCAAAAACCCAAAATACTAGAAAATCTACTAAAATAAGTTATATTAGTTAAAATAATACATAAATCTAAAATACGTAATGTAAAGTAAGTAAATCCTTTACCTGGGCCTTGCAGAACATTTTGGTTTTCTTATACGATATTACCTCAATTATCTTTATACCTACTTACGTATGTTCTAATTTTCTCAAAAACAACTTAACAATTGACTGTTCTTTAGAAGTATCCAAAGAGTTATTTATAAAAAATGTTTTAGATGCTGGTCTGAACTGTATAGTTGGTGTATGCAATATATGGAAGGCTTGCAGAAACCACTAGGACTTATGGTTTCAAGAAACGTATGTATAGAATTACACTTTGATTCTCTGATTATATTTCGCTAGAATAATTTTAATAATTTTTACTCTTTTTTTAGTATAACGATTTAGAAAATGGATGGTGGTGCGCTGTAGTGCGTCGGGCTGGAGTTTCATTTGTACGAGAATTGGAACCGTTAGAGCGAATGATGCTTTCACCCGATTCCACGTTACTGGATGCCGGTTTAGGTATACTATTATGTAAAATTGATTTAAAACACGGTGCCTAAATTGATTTTCTTCTTCCCTTTAGTTGATGACAACTTCAAAGTTGTGAAATATGATGATAATATTTAAATTTATCATGAAAATACAAATATATTAATACAAATATATACTCGTTGTCACGTGACTGCAAACAGCGCGTTACGTCACGCCCCACTCACTCATATCAGCCCTGCGATTCTGTAAAAATCCAAACCCGAATTCGAATTCACTCAGGTGTCCGAATTCACTTCAAAAAGCGGCATCCGCTCAACCTTGAACGTTTCGTGCGATAAGTAAAGTGAGTTTCGAAATGAAATAGGAATAGAATATCTGATACACGTATATTCAAACAATTTTGTTTTGTATTTTTATATTAAAAAAATGGAATCAATAGAATTTCTACACTCAATAACGTGAATTCGGACACATGATCGAATTCGAAATCGGGTCTGGATTTTTACAGAATCGCAGGGCAGGACTTAAAGAATACAACCTTATGCACATATAGAACGATGTTTATAGTTTCATAGGATCGTAACGTCATAGCGACGCCATGACAGAAGTAGCGTTTAAGCGGGAGATTTTGTAAATGAAATATATATTTAGATTTTAACTTAAAATGATTTTTATTTTTTGTCAATTTCTCACGTAAGTGAACTATGTAAATTATTGTGAGAAATAAATATCTAAAATCACAACTTAATATATAAATGATACTGTATTTGCGGTGATTATATTAGACAAGAGGCGTGTGCAGGTGGTGGTGGTGAGTTGTCGTCGTGCGCGGTGCGCGTGGTGGCGGCGGGCGCGTGGTGGGAGCGCGCCGCCACGCTAGAGGGCGCGCGGGAGCTGGAGCGCCGCCTGTTCGCCGCCGCCGCGCCGCAGCACCGACTGCTGCCGCGCCTGCTGCATCTGCTGCAGGCGCCGCCGCCCACCGCGCAGCACGCCGCGCCCGCGCCGGTCGGTACTCTCGCTCTTTTAGGGAAACCTATTTATATAACGGAGGATCTACTATAAGAAGCTATTCATAACTATTGTGGGCGTACGTGGGGATGTGTCAGATCAAATAATAACACTAGGATAACTTAGACTTTCACTAATCTTCTGATCACAATCCAGTTATGATTGGATAACAACTTCAATCATTATAATTAGAATTATTTAATTAGTTTTAATATCCACAACGGAACGCGAGATAGTCTCAACGCACTCACAGCCCACCAAACATTATTATCTTTTACCGTTCTTCGATAAACAGTAGGTCATAGACTCTACTGACAGCCCGCGTCCACAATTTTGGCGCGAAGCTTTATTACCAGCGCTGTGAAGCGTAGATTCTGTCAAACGCCGATGGATGGCGTTGGCATTCCGATTTAAAAATCGACTCGTTGACGACGTATATAAAAAAAATAGATAACTCGTGGTCAGAGCCTTGTAGAGAAAAACAAATTTAGAACTAAAAGAAGGTTCTGTAAATAGAAAAAGAAACCTGATTACTAAAACTGCGCTGTCTGTCTGCCTACCTGACATTTTCATAGATGATGTACTTCTGACAAAAAATACTAAAAACCAGAAATAAATATTTAAGGGGGTTCTCATACAGTAAACGTGATTTTTTTGCTTGACTCCGTTACGGAACCCTACGTAAGCGCGAGACCGACTCGCTTGGCCGGTTTTGTTATTTGATAACACATCCAACCACTCCACCCTGAAAACCGTAGGTTAGTGTGACAAGCCTTTCTCATAAAACCCGCTACGATTCACATCATGTGCACGGATGAGTCCGGTATCCTGCAAGTAGGGCCCGCTGCGTTAGGTGCGGTCAGTACTCGCGATACAATATACTTTGAACTTCCAATACCGCCGCCTATATACAATCTCGGCGTTTACATTTTAAATTTTGTGGAATTTCTAATATTCATTAACACTCAATTCCCAGTCAACGAACAGAGATAATTTTCACCACCGATATCTCTTTCACCACAATGTAATCATATCTCTATTACGCTCTCACAGATGTATCATACCAACTGGTTTTAATGAAGTAAACCTAAAATGTATACGATATCGAGCAGTATGCATAAATATCAACGTACCAAAATACAATTGTTTGACGACTGGGCTTTACTCTAATGTAAAACTTTTTCTTTAATAAGTTTAGCTGACGACGCTTGGTTGCCAAAATATATACCTATTGGTCTACATTGAAAATATGCCAAATATCGCCTTAAATATTTTTCAGGTATTAACACCGCAGCAAGTGGATGAATTAACTACAATATTGGAACCCATCAAAGATCTACAGAATGCAGTTCTGGAATTGAATGACGCTTTGAGGTTGGATGTACCGGATATAGATACATCGAAAAGTAATTTGTCTTCTTGACTTTTTCACGTATATGGTTTTATTACTCTTATTTATTAGTGTTTTTTTTAGATGACGAAGAAGAAAGTAATGAATACGACAACTTGTTTGCTAGCGATCTCGGTGTGTCCGTGGTCACGGAAGCTATCCGCCAAATGGCAGAAATGAGGTAAATTAATGTTAAATATTCAAATTGCATAGTAAAATTCGAAAATTAAGATTCTGACGTGGATGCGAAATAGAAACACGCTGCATCTGTAGTTTGTAATTCTGGTCTGATAAACTTGAAGATTTTATATAGTTTAATGTTTAGGTATTGTCGTATATGTCTCACTGTCTTTCCCCTACTCCTTTTCTTTTGGAATGAGCCCTGAAATCTAACTCGACGCTTTCAAGGAGAGGTTCCTATCCCTTACCCACACATTAAGGAACAATCACTTATTTTGACATAAAAACATTTGTTTGGTATATTTCCTCAATTATTACTATCTCAGAAGTAGTATCGTAAATACACAAATATTTAGAAAAACGTACTATACTTTACAGTAAACAAACACGACATTAAAATCTGTCTACTGAATTAATATTGTACTTGTATATGATGCAAGGTCTCGGGTAGTAAGGGGGGCATTAGCAGCGCTGGGCGTTGCTAGGGGCGCGGGCGGGGTCCCCGGCGCGGGTCACTGCGCAGTTCACTGGCAGGCGTATCGCGCGCTACTGTGGCTACGGGCCGCCTCGTTGCATCGACCGTACGTATATTTTATACTTAAGGCGAGGTTTTACGATATTACCACTTTTTAAACCTATTTTATTTTAAGCCCTTCCTAATATTTGCCAAATAAAAATCGTTTTATGGAAATTAAACGTATGATCGATTGCTTGCTAAAAACAGAAACATTAAGTTCAAAAATGGCTCGATACAAAAAAATCGCAAAGATAACTCTATAAAGGTTTTAAGACTAGCATATTTCATCTTAACTATACAAAAAAATATAACCAAAATTAGGATCAGGTTAACTGCAACACATATCGAGTTGACATCTTTTGGACACCACTTCGGATGCACTCTATGATTGTGTGTTCAATAAATGATTTTTCTTTCTTTTTTAATATTAATCATATGGGGGCTGAATGGTGGGTAAAATCAGTTTCCATAGTAGGTCATACGGGTAACAATCACAGAAAGATTGTAAGCAAATTATCATCGAACTATCATTGACTCGCACAGTGCGTCTGGCTCCGCGGAAGCGTTCCGTCTCAAGTTGAGCGCACTGGGTGCGGACGCGGGCGCGGGCGATATGGGCGTGGTTGCGGGGGCGGAGTGCGGAGTGGTGGGGGCGTATGCGAGGGGCGCGGGGGGGCGTCGGGCGAGGGCGCACCTAGCCGCCGCCCGGGCCCCGCTACTATGGCACCAAGCATTGCCGCTGCTGGCTTACCATCTCGCTCACCAACTGTATCCTTTACTACTAAAAGAAGGGGAAGAAAATATTGTTTTGGCCTGTCACCTGAACCTATTCAATATACTTTAATGGAAGTCAGCCAAGATTATGGGTAGGCTATTAATAATATTTTTTCACTATTTATTAGCTGTTTTGATGTCGATTTTAAGATACTGTCGCCTAATTGTTTTCAACCACTGGAGGCTAAATAATTAACTAGTATATATCTCAATAAGAGTCCCACACTGAGATCCTTAAGAACAGAACAATCTAATTTTAAGAAATGGTTTTTAGCACTATAGGGGTCAAAATCAGTGGCCCTTATTAGGCAACAATATCTTTTTAAAAAAATATTTACTTTTTATTTAATGTCGGTCTAACTTTCAAAACTACTGAACCAATTTCCAGCACAAGCTGTTCCTCAAAATGAGAGATAACAAACTAATGAAACAAAAAAATATCTGTGCATATGTAATTAAAGTAACAAGTAGTTGAGAAACTCAACATTCATTCTTTTATTTTTATTTTTTGACATTATGGCTTATTTAACTTTCTGAGCTAATACGATCAGCTGGGCTGTGAGTGGAGGTTTCGAGTTTGGTTGGTGGTTGGCTACTATCAACCAGCCACGGCTAGTTCAAAGCTATGTTGCAATGTTAGAACCGTGGTGTGAATGGAATGCGTGTTCACGTGAGTATATACTTTTTTTAACTCTAAAATGTTATTAATAGAGAATTTATAAAAAAAAATCCTGTTATAAATGTTAAAGATATCATGAAGCAATAACATGTGATCTAAAAAGGGTAGCATTACTTTGGATAAACTTAATATGGAGATTGCATCCGAGATATTAAAATGATCTAAAACTTTACAACTTAAAAATGCTTAAAAATCCACATTGTCCCTGGCACTCTGAGATGGGACTCGAACCCATGATCTTTCGCAACCCGGACGACTGCTCTAACCACTGAGCTACACAGGACCTAACAGGACTGACGAATTTGTGGTTAGAGCTGTCGCCCGGTTTCGAGTCCCATCTCCGAGTGCTAGTTAACTCATTCAGTATAGCATTGTTAAGGCAAAATTGTTCAAATATAATAATATTCATTGAGTTTCTTATGCTTGAAGAAGACCATAAAAGTATATTTGTTTCATTGTTAAAATAACTTACGACAGTTTTAGCGGGTGTCATTTGTAAAATTATTGTAACAGGGTTGCAAGGATCACAGAAATATATAAAGTTTACAAAAAATACTTTGTAAATATCTTTCAAAAGTTATTCCAATTTTTTTATTTTCGTTTTAAATATTACGGTTATAATTACACGTACTATTTATAAGTTGTTTTATAATGAATAGTGGGCGTAAAAAATATTTATAGTCGGAAGTACGTAGAATATTTTATGTTTTCACAGGGCAATTCATCTTGGGTTTATCGTTACTCGACTTAGAAGATACTGAAGGCGCATATACAGCTTTTTGCAAAGCGGCAAAAGGAGTCAGTACTGAACCTTTTTTGAGACAGCTAGTGGCTACACCTGACGCTCGCCTCACACAACATCAAGCACTAGTACTATATTATATGAAGGTACTTTTTGCACCAAGACTTGACTAATAGACAGAAAGCTCAAAATATGTAAGAGTTTTCAAAAGGCAGATTTTTTAGTATGTTTAATTATTAATAGTATACATTATTCACTCAATAGCCAGTGTAGAGGTAAAGATATTGAGTATTGAGGTCAGGCGTTGGAACAACTAGTGGCAATGGCGCGACACAAACTTCTAGCAATTGCTGTATGTATTTGTTCCATTAAATGAAAGTCGGAGTATTTTTATGAAATAATTACTAATAATTAAGTAATAAATTAACTTTCAACCATCACAAGACTTTTTCAGAGGTCATTTGTACCCAACTGGTGAGATCTACTGAGTCGCTGCGTTTCACGATTGTGCAATCTTAGTAGTTTTGTCCCCTTTTTTATATTACTAATAAGTTATTCGTTAATTTTAAACTTTTAATATATGTAACGGTTTTTCGTACTCTACATTGTACCACTAACAGTTCTACCAGGTGCTGACTTTAGTGTTTTAATGGTGAGTTACGTATACCATTAGTATTTCAACATACTAAAATGTCAGTCTATCGAAAGCTCTTGCATATTTTTGTCACGATCTCCTAGACCATGGATGGCCAACCAGTCGATCGCGACTATTAGTCCAGTCGATCGTGGCTATTCAAAAAATATAAATAAAATAAAAATGCTACATAATTGTGTACGAACTATGCTGTTTCATTTAAGATTTTCAGAAGTAAATTAATTGGTAGATCGTACTAGGAGTCGTAAGAGAATAGTTGATCTTGGGTCGAAACAAGTTGGCCACCCCTGTCCAAGACTATAATATAAAAAAGCTAAAGAGTTGATTTCTTGAACAATATTACGTAATGAACGCGAGTAACTCGACCGCAAAGCTTAAAATTATTATTTAATCTCTTGCAGGTAATAAAACTTTTCGAGATACACGACGCCGGCGCGTGCGTGGTTCGTCTTGCTGAGACCGCCATCAGCATCGCTGACAAAGATGACCCCAATTTGGTAAGATTATTTCTTAAAATGTATAATGTATGCACTCGCACACATGTCACAGGTTTATTTACATATGCTTATAGTACTAGCTGTTTTTCACCGACTACGTTCTCATAAGTTATAGTCTATAGTTGTAGTCAACCGTGTATGCAGTAGCTTCACGTAGTTAAAATAATTTTTAAAATCGGTATAGGTATTCGGTATCAGTAAAATCGGATTAGTTTCTAAACCTATTCGATCAATGAACACAAAAATCTTTCTTCTTTCTAATATTAGTATAAAATTCTTTCTTTATTCCAGCACTAAAATCGCATTAGAACAGGCTCTTGTTTTACCTATTCTAGATTGCGTCGTCTGCTATATTGGCACTACTCTATATAATATCTCCTTGACAAATCGGATCGTTTACTTAATTGTGCTATTCGGTTCATTTACGACCTTCATAAATACGATCATATCTCCGACTACAGGAAACAATTCGGATGACAGACTGTTCATCAACGCAGAAACCTGCGAGTTGTCTGTATGCACTTCAAAGTTTTGGTTTCAATAAATTGATTCCTGCAATCGACGTGATCTTTGCTTTAGTAGCAACCTCATTCTCCAAACTCCCCTTCATCATACTGCATTCGTTTCCAAATCTTTTACCCTAATTTCTATTCGCCTTTGGAATGCTTTACCACTTCACATTGGGACTACTAAAAGTATAATGGCATTTAAGAAATTGGTCCATGAGCACTATCTTACAGTTGCACAAACGTCCATTAAATTTTTTATTAGTTTAAAGCCACATTACCTATACAAATTTGACATTCATTAGAGCTTAAAGGCGCAATAAAACCTTAATCAACTTTTGTGCAACTGACTGTTAGTATGTTAAATTTCATTCCCATTCTGTAATTTATTTTATATAATTGTATTGTTTATCATTATTCAGTAAGTATATTAATTTACTAATCTCTCCAATCTCCAACGTCAGGTTGACTGCTAGAAAATGCCTTAGGCATTGAGCCCCCCCCCCCCTTTGAAATTTGTTTTTTTTGCAATAAAGAATAAATAAATAGATGACCAATTTTAACTAATAAAGGCGAATTAGATGAAAATACTAAACTAATATAGTGTGATATTATTATAAACATGACAGTATATATGTGTGGTTGTGATGTTTGGTAGGCGATGTTCCAGTGGCTGGTATTCAAGTGGCATTTATCAGGTGGTCGCGTGGAACGTGCACTGAGTGCCGCCGCCGCCAATCCAGCGCCCACGGCACGTGCCGCTGCCGCTGCTACATTACTTACTACACTGGGTATACAGTTTATTATTAATAAAGTCAAATTATTATTATATTTTATATGGAAAAGAAAAGTAGTTCAAAGGAGTAGAAAAGTAATACGAGGGTCAAACTGAAAGTTCTTAGAAAATCAAAAACTGATTACATTAGCCAGTTATTAGTTTTATTATATCTTTTCAAAATATTGTCCATTCACGTCAATACACCGCTGCATGCGATGGAACCACTGGGAAAAGCACTTTGCCCACTCGTCCTTAGGGGTCTCTTCAATGGCATCGCGATACGCAGCCACCGCTTCTTCAGCATTCATAAACCGCTTTCCTTTAAGTTTTTCTTTAATTTTTGGAAATAAATAAAAATCACAAGGCGCGAGGTCGGGGCTATACGGCGGGTGACCCAGTAATTCAACGTTTGATGTCGCGAAATAGTCGATCGTTCGCTTGGCGGTGTGCGACGAGGCGTTGTCGTGGTGAAGGAGGATCCTACTGCGAGGTCGTTTCTCTCGAACTTTTTCCAAGACAAGTGGCAAACAATTGGTAGTGTACCATTCTGCAGAAACTGTTTTTTGATCCTCTAACACAATTGTTGCAAAATGACCTATCCTTCCAAAGAACGAGGCCACCATTTTTTTCCCGCACTTCGATCTCTCTTCACTTTAGTTGGCAACTCCTCGAAAGGAAACACCCACTGAGCAGATTGTCTTTTGGTTTTAGGATCATAACAGTAAATCCAGCTTTCGTCACCTGTTAGTATGTCGAACACAGCATTTGAGTCACCTCTGTTAAATCTTTCAATCATTTTACGACACCAATCCACACGATGGAGTTTTTGAGCTTCAGTCAAATTATGAGGTATCCACCGGGCGCAAAGCTTCCTGACCGCTAAATGTTCGTGGAGGATTTTGTGCACTTGACTCATACCGATGCCTAAGCTTGTCCGAATCTGTTGATAGGTCACTCTTTTGTCAGTCTCTATCATACGCCGCACAACACAGATGTTATCTTCAGCCGTCGCCGTAGAAGGCCGTCCCTCACGTAAATCATCAGTGAGATTAGTGCGACCACGTTTAAACTCATTAAACCAGTTGTAAACAGTCGCACGAGATGGGGCTTCATCGTGAAAGGCCAATCGTAGTCTATCATAACTTTCTTGTTGACTTAAATGACATCGAAAGTCATAAAAAATCATTGCACGAAAATTTTCTCGTGTTAAATTCATGATGACGTGACACAGACAATTTTCAATTTGCCGCCAAATCGTAAAACAAATGACAAATGAATGAAATATATACTCAGTAATATTGGCAAAGAGTTATATTTTCAAATTTTAGAATTATTTTTTTATTATATTGTTTATAAGTGGCCAGTTCTAAGAACTTTCAGTTTGACCCTCGTACTAAAACTCTACCACTAAAAGACATTTTTTTTAATTGCAATTTTTTGACCAAAGTGGCAATGTCCACGGGAATATTTAATGAAATATTATGTAGCACAACTAAACTAAAAAGAGCATTATTTACATCGATATAATGTTTAAAGCACCTGTTTTGTATACAATAGTGCTTTGCATTAATCCTTCGTGACATATATGATATATGCGTTTATGTAACTAGCTATTTGACCGCGAATTCACCCTCGTTAATAATAGCCTATGTCAATCGCGTATGAAGTAGCTTCCCTTAGGGATTTTTTTTTATCGATCTAATAGTTTTCAAACCTATTCGATAAACGATCAAATCAAGTCTTTTTAAAATATTATTAGTATAGATGAGCTCATTATTAGTCTTTCTAGTTTTATTAATACGTTTCCTATTATGATTTTAGTAAGTCCATTTTGGTTTAGTTTTAATACAACTAATAATGTCCGACCGAAAATTCGGTTTCGGTGGCAAACCTGCCGAAACTACAATCGAAACCGCATCTGCATTCGGAAGTTCCCACGCATTTCCTTAACGTCATTTATCTAAGAACACATGGACTGTTAAAAAAAACAACTGACGATACTTAATTATGTAAATCCATTTAACGGCTCTGGAGATATGAGGTAATAAATTATATTACATACATACAAGATATACGCGAAAACATAATCCTTCCTTTGCAGTCGGATAAAAATAAAGTCAATAGTAATAAGCGTTTTCTTTATTTTTTCCTCAAAACATCATTCTCGTAAGGAAGTTTCGGTTTCGGCCGAAACTGTTGCCGAATTCGTTTTCGTTTTCGGTTACGGTCGGACACTGACAAGTAATTACATTATTTGACGGTACGGTAGCGTCCCGTAAGCAGCTGGGCGCGCTAGTGTCGTGCACCGCGCTCGCTGACGAGACGGAGAAGGCGGCGGCGGCTCGGGCCAAGTTGCACGACGCGCACACCGACAATCCGTACTACGACTTCTTGTACGCGTTGCACGTGTCTAGACACCACTACCGGAAAGGTAAGTGCACTTAACTGCAGTGATATTTAGTGCATGTACGAACATCAGCCCTGCGATTCCGTAAAAATCAAAACCCGAATTCGAATTCACTTCGAATAGCGGCACCCGCTCAATCTTGAATTGGTTATAACGTTTTGTTGCATAAGTGAAGTGAGTTTTGAAATTACATAGGAATAGAATATCTCAGACACGTAAAATCAATCAATTTTGTTTTGTATTTTTATACAAAAAATTGAATCAATAGAATCTCTTCACTAAACGACGTGAATTCGGACACATAAGTGAATTCGAATTTGGGTTCGGATTTATACAGAATCACTCTGCAGAGCTATATATTTGTGTATTATGTGTGATTCATAAGCAATCACTATCGGTGGGTATTTATTATGATTGATATTTTTTTATCTTACATAAACATAGCATTATCATCTAGGGGTTCCAACTGAAAATCTCGATTAAGTACTTTTAGCGACATGTCATTCGACTTACAAATTCACGATTTCTTCTTATAAAAGTTTTTTCTTCTTTTACCTTAGCAATTAACTTAAAATATAGACTACTCTATGTCTACTACGTGTAAAAAATGTAAATACTAGTGAATTTAGCTCGAAGCTGGCTTTGGCCGAAGTAGTTGAAGAAAGTTATCTATATTTAATTCCAACGAGCCGACTCAAAGTGAGCCTTGGAGTTGCGATCGCTTGCTGTCTACGCGTTTATATTAACTCGTTTTCGATTTAAACTATAGAATAATACCTTAAGTTTACGGGGCGATAGAGCGTGTGCGTTAATTTACTTAATGAAATGGTAAAATTAAAATTACAATTTAATTTATTACTTAATACTGTCTAAGCTCGATGCAAAGAACAAAGTGCTGGAATAATATAGATATTAATTTTATGAGAAAATGTGGATTTCACAATATGATGACGCCAGGTCACGTAGGCCGTCGAACGTTGTACCCGCACGTTCCGCTGATGCTGTATCACGGTTCTCTGTAATGCCTAACTGGCTAATTGGGATCGACGATCTATGGGTATCGGCTGATATAATTTGCGTTTCTGATGATTGAATAACGTATAAGCGTTAGCCCTACACGTTTAGGCTATTATCGCACGTTCGGTTCGGGACTGTATTCGGTATATTTATTTTCAATGCAGTTGCTCATAAAGCGTTATTTTTTTAATCCATTGTAAACACCGAAAGTGAGTCTTTAAATACGTGTTAAATAAAAATGTACTGAAATCCTTTACTGCACACGTGCTTAAAAGTATTTTTTTTTTTGGCCAAGCACCAAAGAAATTAAAAAAAAATTGATGAAAATATGTCAAACTTTAGAGGCAAAAGTATTTCAAGGAGCCTAGAACGAATATTTTCAAATAAAAATGTATGACACGAAAACATGTTCAAATATCACGTTTAATTTTAACAAATAATTTTTACCTTTAATACATACTTAGTTTATATTTGTTTTATTTCCTCGCAAAAAGCGTTGAAAAATGTTGTAAGAAACTTGATCGTAAAAGGTTTTTCGAGTATGACACGAAAACATGTTCAAATGTCACGTTTAATTTTAACAAATAATTTTTACCTTTAATACATACTTAGTTTTATTGACCTATATATTTGTTATATTTTCTCGCAAAAAGCATTGAAAAATGTTGTAAGAAACTTGAGCGTAAAAGGTTTTTCGAATTCGTGCCAATTAAAACCCTCGCTACGCTCGTGTTTTCAATTTGGCCCTTTTTCGTAAAACCTTATTTCCGCACTCGTATCTTAAATAACTATTGATTTAATAATGCGTCAGCGGCGGCGGTTATGTACGAGCGGGCGGCCCGGTGCGCGGCGGAGCGCGGGGCGGCGGGCGGGGCGCGGCGGCGTTGCCTGGCGGCGGCGCTCACGTGCCTGCGACTAGCGCGCCCCGAACACGCCTTCCTCGCGAGACCCGACCCGCATGCCACCGCCACCCCAACCGCCACACCGGCCCAACACTCGCCCACCAATAAGAGTGTACAGGTAATTAACCAAAGATCTATACAGGGTCGTTTTGCAATTAGTGTTACTATACCCCGTTTCAGATAGCATGGGTACGGTGACGTTCTGTTAACAAATCCATTTCACGCAATTTGAAAAATAGTTTGACTGTGTTTATATTGAATATGTAATTAAATTTGCATAATTGTTTTTTTATGAAAATTGAAACGTGTTTTAATAGGGATTGCATCAATAAAATTCTAATTAAACATTAATGGACGTTTGTGCGACTAACCGATTAAAGGAATTGAAGGAAGTGTTTTACCTTTTACCCCGATTATACCTGCGCAGTAAACGTTATATTGGGTTTTCTTTCGTACGGGGTAGTGTACCTCCGTAGCCGACTGGCTTGCACGTCGGTTCAAGGGTTCGCAATCGCTGAGGTCGGGTCTTTGTAAGAATCTTGGGTAAAAATATTCCCGGCACCGAAAATCTAAATTTTTGTAACAATAATAAAGACGTCAAAAAGCACGACCACGAGACGAGATAAGACAATTTATATCAATATATATTTTGAGTGATTGATTTTTATTCAGGCTGTTAACAATTAATCGATATTTTGAAAGTATAATTAACTTATTCCTAATGAAAAATGCTTAAAAATCCTATTTAAATTGTAATCTGTTGTTTATTTTGCGACATAATACATTGATGTTGTTGCATCGAAGTAAACTTTTTGTAACAACGACACACCTATACGTGTACATTTTCGTTATTTCCGCTCTGACAAGTAGAGAATTTACCGCATTATTTTATAATTGTTTCAAAACGAAAACGAACTAATATTCAAAATATTAACAATGATTATATTCGAAGTCAATAGCGATCGTAATAAAATATATTTGACACATTTTTTAATCAGACGCATACTCCATATTCGGGTGCTTTAGTTACAAATCTTCGAATTAGAGCAATGTCTATGATGGATGATGTATTATATAAAAAACCTCTGTACTTCTACGATTTAGCATCGATAATATAACATATTTACTAAGCATTGTTTTTAAATTCCTTAAGTAAAGTAAATAAATTAATAAAAACATTTCATTACAGATTATCGGCCCAGAAGAATTAGCTGCTGAATTACGAGAAGAGGATCCGGATTCATTGAATCCTGTACAAGAAGCTTTGCTCAGTGAGTAGTTGTTATTAAGGATTCTTTTTATAACAGCAATAACCCAACAGGACTCGATAGTCAACACTATGAAAAACGTTTTATGAGTTTCGATTATTACATTTATTTTAGTTACTTCGATTATTTTCGATTATTTTAGTTACATTTTACTTTCATATAAAAATAATATACAATGTTATTTTACTGTTTGAATGTTAACATTTATATGCTTAACACCAACACCAATATATAAGTACTTCACACGTTGCGCGAACAGAGTGAAATGTAGTGTTGTAGCACGAGAGTACAATTAAAAGTTTTTTTCAAAGTTACAAATGAAATGTTGTTTATAATATTCGGTAACTAGACCTGCCTTGCGATTCTGTAGAAATCCAGACCCGAATTCGAATTCACTCAGTTGTCCGAATTCACTTCAGAAAGCGGCATCCGCTCAATTTTGAATAGATAATAACGTTTCGTGGCATAAGTGAAGTGAGTTTCGAAATGACATACGAATAGAATATCTGAGACGCGTATATTCAATCAATTTTGTTTTGTATTTTTATACAAAACAATGGAATCAATAGAATTTCTACACGCAATGACGTGAATTCGGACACATGAATGAATTCGAATTCGGGTCTGGAATTTTACAGAATCGTAGGGCTGCACGCGCAGCATGACAAACTCGAGAAACGCTTTGTCTACACTCATTTGTCAGTTTCTCGGGTTGAAAGTGAGATATAGTATGGGCGCACCCGGGAAAAGTGACATTGGAGTGTAGACAAAACGTTCTCGAGTACGTCATGCTACGCGTGCTGGGAGTTTGCTGGTGTTTCGATTATAACCCTGTATAGAACTTTAAATCTTTGCAGTGTGTCGATATCGATCATTTAAAATTCCAGGGAATGAAAATATCGATTTCGATAAACTATATCCTCACCTGAAAGATGCCGATGCGGACACATTATTGGCTGTGACCAAAAGAGTGATGAGCACTGGACAGTTTTTGCCTCATTGGTTTCTTCAACGATACATGGTATGCAAATTATATCTTATTTTTTTTTAAATACTTCCTCATTATAAAATTAAAACATATCCAAAAAATATTGAGCGAACTTTATTTTCTATGTCAGAAACTTACTTTCTTACTTTACTTAGTTTCTCATTTTCTTTCTTAGAGTATGGCGATATATGTTATAATCTCCGCAAATACCTATGCCATTTTGGTAACATAATTGTGTCAAAAAATCAGTACCGTTAACAAAGAAATACTGGTTAACGAGCAAACTTATTGAGTTGGTTTGTGTTGAGATCACACACAATTTTTGTTGTTTTCAATATAATATCTAATGTCTCTTATTTCATAATTACGTTTGGTGATGTTTCAACATACTTTCATTTTGTTATCGTGTTATTACAAAGTAAATGTTATTTTTTCATAACATTCTTGCAATAAATTAACAAATTAAAAGTTATTATAAATATTTCAATAATTAATAAATAATGTATCTCTTGCATTTTGTGCTATCTATACGTTCTATTTAAATATGATCAGCGCGTTAGCAATTTGCGGAATTTATATCGTGTACGTTGCAGGTGGTGGACAGTAGCGGTTGCATCCGCGCGTTGTACACCGGCGGTCGTTGCGCGGAGGCGGCGACGGCGTGCGCGCGGGCGGTGCGCGCGGAGATGGCCGCGCTCCGGCCGCTGCCGCCCGCCCCGCGCGCCGCGCCCCTCGCCCTCGCCGCCCAACTGCTGCGAGACCTGGCACACCACACGCAACAACCATACGTGCGACAGGTACACTAGTGGTTACAAACCTTTTTCGACTGTATATCCGAAATGAATGTCTTTTGCGCGATCTTGCATACCACATGCAACAACCATACGTGCGACAGGTACACTAATGGTTACAAACCTTTTTCGACTGTATACACGAAATAAATTTATTCTGCGGAATCTCGCACACCACACGCAACAACCATACGAGCGACAGGTACACTAGTGGTTACAAACCTTTTTCGACTGTATAACCGAAATAAATTTCTTCTGCGGGATCTTGCACACCACACGCAACAACAATACGTGCGACAGGTACACTAATAGCCTTTCACGTAGCATGGGTGCGGTGACATTTGGGATTTGAAGTAAAACTCAATATCATTAAGTTTATTTCTAATAGAGATAATAGATATTGAGGTCAATGGATAAAACAGGATTTAGAAAAATATTTATTCATCAACAAGATGAACCCGAGTCAGAAAAATATAGAATAGTAATTTAAAAAATTGACAAATGATTACCGAATACATATTTCGATTAAAACGATTTAATTGATGCAATCCCTTTAAAAAATTGTGATATTTTAAATTTTAGAGGGTTAGATTTCAGTAATAATAACTATTAAAAATTCAATATCAAATATAATAATTAGAACAAATTTTCATCTTTATTGATAGTTTAATATTTGTAAAAAAAAAAATATTTCTTACGGCTGTTTTGGTGGATTGCCTGAACATTTATGAAATATACTCTGTAGTAGCAAAAAAGAAACAAGTGCTAGAAAAATGAAGCATTTTTCAATTATTTGCGTTTTATTACGTAAATTTCAATAAATATTTGATATATACACAGGCCAACTATTTTTTATAACGATGATTTTTAATTATTTGCAAATATAATTAATATTGGTTTTGTTAACAAACGTTACCATACCCATGATATGTGAAATGGACTAAAGAGATTATTGACCCTTCTGACGGGTTATCCAAAATAGATTTCAAGCCAGCTGCCCTCGCTGCCCATCTGTTGCGGGACTTCGCATACCACACGCAATTTAAATTATAGTTTATCCAACCAATTGAAAGATAGATATTTAAGTGTACAGTAAGATACAACTGATGCCAATGGCAAGCAATCAGAATGATTCAGATATTACGCCATCTAGGGTATGTTCCGATATACACTGCGTGCACTGCGCAGTGGTCTTACTGCTGAAAAATCCGTTCCGTTATGGACTGCCAGTACACTGCTACAGTACCCTAGGGAAATTCATGATGTCATAAATTGCTGCCATATTTGTACTGTGAGCACTGGAGATTTCGAGGTAAGGTGCTCGCAGTGCTTTTGATCACGTGATCAGTCGAAACAGAATCAGAAAATGATAAGTTTCTAAATAAACAAAAAAAAAATACTTACGTTTATTATTAGATGGATAAATATTTTTTTTATACAATTTTGCAATTTTATAATATTTTCTTTTGAAAAGAGGGAATCTTTATATTTATATTCACCTTGCATTTACAAATTTGAAAATGGCGCCAAAAAAAAGGATTAACAGTATACTGGACTGCGTTCCGTTTTAAAAAGTCACCAGTATAACTAGCTATAAAGGAACGGGCTTCCAGTATACTAAATTGACGTCATATTGTTCAGTGGTCGCAGTGTATATCGGAACATACCCCTAGTAATCCACGCGTCTGACCTCCGCTGAGTACGAGTGAAACGGACACCTAATGTGTTGTATTTTGCACCTGTCATTTAATCAAGATTCACTATAAAGAATCATGTCCAATTTTGACCTTAAAAAATTACTAACGCTTCTAGTGATATATCTTAAAATGTAGCTTCGGAAAGTTGACATGATTCGTTTAATCGTACGTCAATTAATTATTGTCGAAGTTGGTAGGTCTGCTCTGTGCATACGAATATTCACCATGCTCCATATTAGCCTTTCTTAAATTAAATAATTTATATAATAAGTATTTATTATTTGATGTAATATTTGATAATCTGGTTCGAGGTGAATAAATCGATAGTCTGCAGCTGGATCCTTATTCAGAAGCAATAACTTTTTTGTAGCTTTATTTTTATTTTCAGGTGTACGAAGAATTGGATACCGTCGTGAAAGAATATGTTGAGGTTGTTATAAGAACATCTAAAGATATGAAACTAGCTGCGGCGCAATGAATGCATTGTGTGTAGAATAAGAAATAAGTGATAAATTAAAAATAAAACGCATTTGAATTTGAAAAAGGATTTTATTAAAACATATTACTCAAATAGAGTACCACAATAAAATTATACTTATTTAGTATTTTGGCCACAGTTCCATAAAGTAAAATTTTAATTGTATTACTCATGAAAATCATTTTTTCAAGTCTAAATTTAGGTAATACTCACACCACAACATTAAGTTTCCACAAAACATCAAATTTCAGTGAGCAATTTTGAAGTCTATTTTTAGTTTGTTAAGGTTTACAATACAATTGGGAGAATTTTATAATTCTGTGTAACTTGACGTGCTGACATTTCGGATTACAATAAGGACTGGTGCATACCTGAAAGATGCGTCGCGTGTCAATAACATTAAACCTTGCTCACTAGACGGAAGGTCTATCTTAATGGCTATTTTGTGTTAACCACAACTCTGCCAATTTTACATAAGTAACCACTACGCGGTATAATAAATTAATACAACCAATTTTGAATAGTCTCTTTCTATGTTAATACACAACGTACACTTGACGGATCTTGCGTCAGATCGTATCTAAACTAAAAAGTCAAAGTGATCCAAATTTGAATTTAATTTTCAACAAGTTAAGGCTTCGATTCGTTAGATTGATTTCAGAGACACACCATTTGCACGTGCTATTGACAAAAAATGTTATTTGTACAATAAATATCAGCACTATAATTGGAGATAATCCTAGGGGCTACTCGTCTAATTTTAAAATCTATCGCAATGCCTTGCAATTTGACATTAAAAGATATTCATGAACTTATACTATTTGAAATGTTATACCTAGCGATTTCGATCGCGACGTTTTTTTTAAGATATTGAAGGAACGTTTATATAAGGTTATTTGGAATTATCAATACTTAGTTGATATTGCTAACGCATTGGAAATTAAATATCTTATTCTGGCAAAAGTACTCCGATTTGAATTTTTATGAATAATACAATTAGTATATATCAACATATCACCACAAATTCTTATACATTAATTATTAACAAATTAATGAGAACAATTTCATAACGACACCACCGAATAAACTGACTAATAAATCTTGTATTTTTTTAGATCACATAATATATATTTCATTAAACTATGACCATCATTTCTACTGTTACCTCCATCTCCATCACAATACGCTATTTTGAAATCCCAATATAGACTTTTACATTTGTATTCAACTGACATCATACTCTTAGGCATTCGTTAAACTGGCATCGATATATGTACCACTACTTTATGTTAATTACCTTAACCTTACACCTGCGTCGTAATTTACATGCAAAAATTTTAGTAAGATAAATATCTTTGGTACTTAGATCCGGATAGAAAATAAATATAAGAATCATCACCAAATTGGAACATTTGGGCTATCTATTGACAGTTAAAACGAATGAAAACTTAATATACGCCAGAGCGCGCATGTTGACTGTGTAACGTACAAAAAACTATAGTACATTAAAACATCAAGCAAGTGATCCAAAAGAGTATTTCGGAAAATAGTTTTATGTTATTAGGTAGAGTTTTTAATTATTTAACTGAACTTTAATTGGCCGCCACCAAGACCAATAAAAGTTCAGAACATTACAGATTAGGTAATAAATACTACCTATATGAAAATTATTTAAAGCCATTGTTATTACTCTAGCTGTGATTATTTATGTTCTATGCCTTAACTTAAAGTTGATGTTAGTCAGTCATTATAAGTAATCAACACGCGTTATTGAAACTAAATTATTGGAATGTCATAGATAATAAAAAAATAGACGGATACGATTTACATAAAAAGTAATTAACGTAATCAACCAACACCTAACCCAAGATCCATATGCATGTCATGGTCCTGTCCCAAACGATCTTTTTGTTAATTATAGCTTAGTCCAACATTTATATTGAAAAATTAAATAATACATATCCAAATCATTGAATAATATCAATGACGTTTCACCAGTTTTACTCGCATAATAGACAAAACTAACCTAACAAGTTTCTCGTAAATAAGAAACATTAGAGCAGCTGTCATGACTGTTTGCAGTAATTTTGCTTCGAGTCCACGAAACATGACTAGTGGGTTTGACTTGAGATCTTTCATAAGAGGATTCATATTAGCTCCAGCTCTGAGTTTTGACTGCACTAGTTGTAAAGGATAGGTCACAGTAGTAGCTACAGCTTTCGCTATAGCACCAACCAAAAAAGCCGCGTACGTATCAAAACGTCCTCTCGTAACGAGATCCCGTTTTAATGTCTCGTAAACCATAAATTGAACCGCCGGATTAGAAACTAGTAAAAGTGACGGTATTGTGCCTGACCACAGTCCTTTGGCACCTTCCTTTTTAGCGATATCAATAAGACCTCCCAAAAGACTGCTATAAGAAGTCTTATCCAATTTCATTCTAGTGTTCACAACCCATAGAGGAGAAGTCAACAAAACGTTAATACTACCAGCTGCTATTCCAATTAGTAAATCTTTTATAGCAGAATTATCATTTGAAACAACTTTACGAAGTGCATGGAATGAATAAAAGTAAACGAAGTTTGAAACTGACAAAGACTGCAATACAGGAGACAAGCCACGATACAATGATTCGATACCTTCTTCATTTGCCATTCTTGTCAAAAGTTCCCATGGAGATCCTTTCAATTGTGTGTCATTCACTGAAATATTAAATATAAGAATTTTAATTGTTAGAAATGACCACTATATTATTCTAACAAGGAAAAAACAGCAAAATTTAAGGGTTTTGCATCCAAAGAATAGAACGCGACCCTATTACTAAGACTATCCTGTCCGTCCGTCTGTCACCAGGCTGTATCTCACGTCGGGGTCTTGGGATCCCTTCTCTCCTAATTGTCCTGATAGCACTCATCGTGACATGACTGCTCCCAGTACTGCCGGAAGGCGATATACCCAAAGACTGCAGGAGAGGGTCCGTAAGGGTAGCCCCAAAGGGCTTGCTTGCCTAGACAGACCTTATCCACAGGAGGGATTGATCGCATATTAGCGCATCCCTTTACTGATCCCTCTACTGGAACCAGCGCGGGTGGTTTAACCATACCCTGCGCTTTTCCACCTTCCAAGTAAAGACCAGAAAAGTCCCCTCTAACCGGGAGTGAATGTCCCGGCGAATACGGTCAGGTTCCCTATTGCCACTCGCAACGGAGGAATGCCCAGGGTTTTTAGTGGTTGGGCCCCTGCATTCAGAGGGGGAAAGACCCATACTTCCCCCCACCGTCCCGTCAGGCGTCAGGGATAGTGCGTAACGTATATAATTTTCCCTCAAAATAAAGGCTGTATCACATAAACTGTGATAGTTAGACAGTTGAAATTTTCACAGATGATGTATTTCCGTTGCCGCTATAACAAATAGTACTAAAAAACAATAAAATAAATATGAAGGTCTACGGATCTCATACAATAAACGTGATTTATTTTTCATAGGTAATGATGCGGAATTCTTCGTGCGCTAGTCCGACTCTCACTTGGCCGGTTGTTTTTCTACAAGATGAATCTTTGACGTTTTTTCTTACCTTGTATTCTGGATCTTAATGTGTCCAATGGATAAAAAGCAGCCATTCCAACTACGCTACCCTGAAATGAATAATAGGGTTTTTAATCTCTAAAAATTCAAATCTGGGTCTAAAGTTTATATTGATTTTCAAAAAATCCCGATTTTCAGTAATAAAAGTTTTCACGGAATCAATACAGAAAAATATAAAGGAAAACTATATTTTAATTACACAGAGGAGAAATATCTTTTAAGCGAAAGTTGCTTAACAACGATGTCGGGCCACGGCACTATCCACTACGTCACCGAGCATATCGAAACATAAAGTTCTTACAAAATTTTATTTGAAAACTCAACCTTGACTATAACAGTGCGATGTAGAAGTATACTTAACGCCATCTAGAATATCACAAAAATTATAGTTTGTGATTTGTACTTGAATATTTTCAAAAATATTTATGAATGTTGTAATTTTTGTCACAATATTAAGAAATCTTTAGAAACAATGACAAATAAAGCTGTAAACAATGGTTGCTATGGTAACATTTTGAATCCCCATAAAAACTTTCACTCCCATTTTTATCCCTTTAAGTGCTAGATTTCAGGACAAAATATAACTTACGACCTTCATAACGGCTTAAACTTCCCAAATACTATTTTTATATAATAAGTCCAAAAATAAAGAAGTTTCCAAAAATCTGTTCTTAGTACAGCTCTATGTGATAAGATGAATCATCATCATCATGTCAACCGAGAAACGTCCACTGCTGGGCATAGGCCTCCCCCAGTGATCTTCAACGTGATCGGTTCTGCGCCTAATAAGATGAATGTACCCTCCAAATTTCAAGTATCTACAACCAGCGGTTTAGGCTATGCACTGTTTGTCAGCCAGTATGTTAGGAGATCTCCTTTTATATATGTATAGATAAATGAGTAATTGATAAATTCATAATGTGAAATAAAGTTGATTAGAGTTGTCTTTGTAAATACTTCTCATTGTAAATATGACTGATTACCAAGGTCATCAAGATTTCCAATAGTTACTTATTTTCTTTTGGCATTTTTCAATATTTATGTCACACATTATATAGGCTTGAGAAGTTACCTACTGATATAGTATTACTCATTATTTCCATTTCCGTTATATGAAAACAAATGTTTAATATGAAAACAAAATAGGGGAGCAAACAACTTAAAAAATATTTATATTTTGATTTGATATACATATATCTAAAAAATATCATTCACATAATTAGTTAAAATCTCCACTCATGGCGTCGCTATGACGTCACGGCACTCTGAAACTAATATCGTTCTATGCATAATGTTGAATTCTTTAAGTTCTGATATGAGTAAGAAGGTCGTAAGGCCACGCGATGTTTGGGGTCACGTGATAACAATCATAAATATTTGTTCTTTTTTTTTCAAAATTAATTTATGCAATGTTACTTCCAGAAAAAAGTTATTTATTTTCGTCTACACCCATATGTACTGAAATAATATTAAAATGTCTAATATTTTACTCATTTATTATTTTTTAAATACTTATCTGAGTTATAGTAAACAATAACATGGTTTTAACAACCTAGCTTCTAAAAAAAAGAATAAGTTTTTAATATGTAGCTTACTTAATTTGGAATCTGGAATCTGAGTATAATAATGTATGTGATGTTGTTGTGGTAACCTAAAATTAAGGCAGCACATTGCATTTGTTATGAATTATTTGCATGTACCAAGTTTGACCTTGTTGGTTACACAAATAAATTAATTATGTAAATATATTTAATAAAGCAATCCCAAAAAAATCTGTGTATAATAAAAATATATATACAATATTGAACCTTTTAATTCTTAATGAAAAATATTCTATTTAATACAAGCTATTGACAAATGACAAATTATAGACCTCTTAAAAAATTATAGCACATGAGTAGGATGTAGATTCCTATTTAATAATATATATAATCTTATTAGATTCAAATTTGGTTTAGCAGTTTCAGGACTGGTTTGCATGAAACAATCAAATCTTTCCTCTTTACAAAATTAGTATAGATATCTCTGAACTATCTATCTTTCATGTTACCCTCAATATGGAAATTAAGGGAATACATATCTATAAATACATAGAAACAATAAAAATGTAATTTAAGGCATGGAATTTTGTTATTTACTTTAAGGCATAGAATTTTGTTATTTACTTATAATTGATATAATCTCGTAGGAGGGAGGGTGAATTTGATAGAAGCACAGTCTTGACTAGCTGTGCTAAAAATGAATTACTGTAATATAAATATGGAATACCAAAAGCTACACAATAACAATACAACAAATTAGAATTTAACTATGTATCATGAAATTAAGACTTCAAGTTGATTGGAGAAATCTGACTTTTAGTTTTTGTAATAATCTGAAATGTTGAGGCCTGTAAATATAAAATGAGATATTTTAAATAAGTAATTTTTTTTATTGTATTAGTTTAAACCAATTAATATTAATAATTTGGAAACTTTATCAGTTGAACTTTGAAATAATACAAGGTTTTACTAATGCTACTAATAAAACTATAATAAAATAACATCATGAACATAGGAAGAGGAGGAGGACATTTGGATCTTGTCCACATAAGAATAGTTTGAACCACCCCATATTTTTTATTAAAATAAAAATAAGAACCACAAATTATGCCCTAAAATATCTCTAGATGTGTAATAATGTAAATTTGCAAGATGGGTATAAACAAGTGGATTTCAATAAGTTCAAAAAATTAAACTCGACTATAGCTAAATCACGCTCTAAAAGTTGGAAACAAGAAATTGATTTACAGGGATAGGTATATTTTATAGCAATTACAACAGTTTGTTTTGTTATGATCAATAGCATATGAGTATGCTGTCCTTTAGTATTATTAGGTTATATCATTATATTTCAATAAGAATAAGTAAATGTGATTTCATTTATAACTGTGATATAGTTCTTAATGATGTTCTTTATATTTTTTCAACTTACCAAGTTTATTCAATTTAATTTTTTATAAAGGTATTACTAGTACTAATGACACAATATTAGCAATATTATATATAGTGCAACTCGATCAAACTAGTGACCAGAGAAGTTTGTTTGCTTCGGTATTTTAATCTGCTTGAAATTATAGATTTTGGGATATGTGCGATCTGTGATTTCAAAATTTAATACAAATTATAACATACCGTGGCTCCAGCGATTGCATGAACTAAAGTCTCATAACTAAATAATGAGGATGGCATTTTAATTTAATAAGTGAACAACGGGTTATTATTTACGTTAAGTTTGATAGCAATAAAAGCTCCTTTTCATAATTTAATTTTCCTTATATGTATACTTTTATCTTTTCTACTAATACTACCACAGAACAATAATACATACTACCAAAGAGTAGTATTATATGCATACTACTCATTGCTCTTTGCTAGGCATGCTACGGGCATGTCGATCTGAAATCGATTAATCAAAATATCGATAAATAATAAAAATAAACTTACCGTTCCACTTCTCTATGGTTCCAAACTTCAGACTTCAGAAAACTAGAGGATCATTTCTAGGTTAATACATTGCTATGTTCAATAAAATTCCGACATACCCATAAATCTTCGTCTTTAACGGTTTGGTGCGATCCGGTCTAGAATATTGTAGCGTAGTGTGGTCTCCTTTTTATGAAATTCACTCTAATACATTAGAAAAGGTGCAGAAGCGTTTTATGTATCATTTGGCATACCAAGCTAAAAAAGCTAAACGGTTTCGCCCATACACTGATAGGCTAAAGCATTTCAACATGAGTCCTTTAAAACAACGAAGGCGGATTATTGATCAAATGTTTCTTTACAAAATTGTGAGAGGACAAATTGACTGTCCTGACCTACTGGGGAATTTGTCTTTTAATATACCTATAAAACTCCCGCGTAGAACTAAATACTCCCTTTTTTTCTCTTAAGGCTTTTCGAAGCAATCTGGGCCTGAACTCACCATTTGTAAGAATTCCTTATGCCTACAACAGTTTGTCAAAAAAAAAGGTGATTTTGACCTTTATAAACTGAACCTTCCTAAATTTAAAAGTGAGTTGTTGAAGTTGTTGTAATGTAATAATTATTGTGATACCTAGGTTATTGGTAACTATAAGCTAATTTAATATATTTTGCATTTTTAGTTCTTGTAAAATAGCTTGTAATTTGCACATAAGTTTATTTCCTAATTTAATTTATTAAACGCATGTCGTGGCAGCTTGTAATTAAAACAACACGCTTGCTTGAGCCACTATCTCACGCTTGCTTGAGCCACTATATCTAATAGTATATAATGTTACTTTGTGTATGTTTTGTAAGTTGTCCTAATTAAATAAATAAATAAACTTAAAATTCATGTAAAATTATTTTAAGGATTGCAATGCATCGAATTAATAGCCTTCGCCTTATTCTACAACGACTAATAAGGTAGTATAAAGATTATGTAAGTTAAATAAATTATGAAGTAAAATTACGGAATTATGTAAGTATAAAAAAAGAAAGCACTAAAAAGCACCTCCACTAGATGGCGACTCTAGCAAAATTTAATTTTTGCAGGAAACGAATGGACCAAAGATAGTCATTTCCGTTCCTTTAACCTAACATATTAAAAAACTGAAATTTGAAAAGTAAACAAATAGATAATGAGTTTTTAATTGAGTTTTGAAAACTAATTTACTTTTAAATATGAAAGAAAACCAGAAAGGTTGTCATGGAGAAATCAAGACCCACTGTATTATTTTTCTCTTTAAATCAAGAACGTACCGTAGCGACATCTAGTTTGATTTCGGGAACTAATATATTTTTTTTTAAATACTCCCTCATTGTCTTATTTTTAGTATTATTTCTTTACGTGTAAAGATCACAAACCTGACATTAGCGGAATTATGTAAACGCAAAAAGGCCATGAATTAAAAAAGAAGAGTTACCTTACCTACTAAGTCTGTGGTTCTGTTTTAATAGAAAAATTGGAAGGTAACCGACAGCTGTTTGTTTATTTTGTAGCATTTATATTGAATATAAAAAGTCATGCGTCTTTTTATGGCGGAGGATAATTTGTGTGCTCAAAATTTACTCAAGTTAGTGTCTCATGGAAATGCTATAGTTGCAGAAATTTTACGTCTAAAAGATTATCAACCTTCTGTTTATATGTAAGTCATAATTACCTGTTTCTGTGGGAAATTATCATTTCTTATATTTTTTCTTATATAATATATTATAGATTGCATCATCCATTTCTCATACTTGATCTTTCTTTTATTCTTATCTTTCTGTCATTCCTTTCGGGCCGGAATCGCTATTCCTACTCTATTCTAATTAATTTCTTTATTTATTTTGGCTATTCTTCCACTAAAGGATTATACATATATGTTTATTTCTTTATATATAGTTAACTAACGTATTTCTTTTTCATTTTCATGACTTCTGTTTTCATGTTTTCTTTTATTTACATTTATAGTTTATTACAATTTTGTTTAATTACTTGGCTAAACTGTACAATATCTGAAGTACCTCAGTTTCATGAATATAAATAGAAAGAACGACTTTCTTTCCTATTCCACTTACCTTAAATTGTAAGAATTTTACTAACTATAGTTAAGCAATTATATTTTTTATTTCAGTTTAGAGAACAAAGAAATACAGCAAAAGTATCAGGATGTTATTATGGATTTCAGTTATTTCAAAATTTCAGAAGTACAAGAAAAGAAAATTCTTACAACAACGGTAAAACACCGAAATTAAATTTATACTATACATGCATATGACAAAGTGACATGTTTTTACATGTAGAGTAAAGAATTTCAACTAAAATGGTTCCTTCTGCTTAGAAAATAATTATTCTTGATATGTGATATTAAATTTAAAATGTATATAAATTAAGATCTTCATCCTTCAAGTAATACGCACATACACACACACAGTAGTACATGTCATGTTGATAGTAAGTAGTATGTCAGGTTATACAAACTTGGTGCCCTCCATGCCTAATCATTTTTTCCCACATGCAAGGGCTGCTCAGGGATTTTATCAGGTTACAAATGAAAAATTAATTTAAAATTGCAATTCTCGATAGTTACTGTTAGTAAGATGTGCTGTGTTGTTTTCTATAATAAAATCATAATGCATCAAATTTAGATATAAATTTAAAAAAAAACTAAGCTCTCTGGTGAATATGATGCCAGCAGATATGTTTATTAAGGTATGGGACTAGTTTCTATTTTCATTGATAGCTATAGTTAGAATTAAAAATTGAATTATAGCATAAATTTGGAGGTTGCAGTTAAATCGATTATAAAATTATGAATGCTTCAGCTATAAGTAATTATAAATCTGCTTTCGTATATACCTACTATGATTCCATGCAATAAAGGCCGTTCCATATTTTCGGCATAAGTACGGAAAGTATCCTCCACAAATAAGGAGATTTTATTTATTTTCAGAAATTGCAAGATTTAGATGATGATTTAAAAGAGAAGTATATGGAACTGATAAATCGTTTTTATTTATTGTTTGAAAATATTTACCAATATATAGTGGACTTGAATAATTTTATTGAACAACTCCACGACGGTGCCTTTATACAACAGAACTTCGAAACTGTTATGAGAGATGTTGAAGGGAAACAACTATTGGTATGTTAAATTTAGGAACTCTAGATTAATCAACAGTAAACGAAGCGCTATATTACAACCAGTAAATTTAAATAGAGATTTTAGATCTGCCTATTATTAATCTACGTTTCTATTGATTAAGATAATTCAATGTTTCCAAAATGATCAGTCGATACGATAAGCTTACTTCACACAAAAATATTGTTAAACCTTAGACGAATAATAATAATTGGTTATTGAATAATGTTTGTGTATTACATTATTTCGTTTTCGATGTGACTCTTATCAAGCGCACCTAACTGTAAATTTGTCTTTCACCTTAAATTTTTCTAATTTTATTTCAACTACTAGAAATTGTCAAAAATAAGAAAGATGTAAATTCATACTAATTAATCATATATTTGGTTTCAGTGCGAATCATTATATCTTTATGGTGCAATGTTATTATTATGTGATCTTTATATACCAGGATTAGTAAGGGAAAGGTTACTAGTTGCGTTTTATCGCTACAGCACAAGTCAGTCGCAGTCCAATATTGATGATGTTTGTAAATTATTAAGAGATACTGGTTATAATCAACAACATTGCAAGAGACCTATTGATTACCCAATAGAATATTTCGGGTATATACTATTTTCATTTTCTCAGTCTGTATTTTATAAGCTTCGCAAACTGCTGGAGCCTTTAAATATAATCTCAAAATAACACCCGCGTAACTACATTTGGAGAATAGAAAGTATAGATTATACCTTAACCAAAGGAAGGAACGATTTTTTAAAACATCGGCAAAATTTATTATGAGATGAGAGATATTATTTATTAACATACATTTATTTTTAATGAAATCAGATTTATCCAAAGTGGGAATCATAATAGCAGGTTCTACTTTAGTACTGATTGTTGAACACAATTGCGTCACCAAAATGGCGTTCAAGCGCATTAGCAATTTGCGGGGATTATACTAAAAATAATTAAGTAATTGTCTGTTCTAAAATATGATAACTAACTTTATAATTTTTTACAGTCGTATATCCATTCGCGCAGATTTTTTAGAGAAAGTAATCGGCAAATTAAGATCAGAAGATATTTACAACCAATTAACAGTTTATACGATTCCAGAACACCAAGCCTCAGCTCTTGCTACTCAAGCTAGTATGCTTGTTATATGTTTATTCTTCACACCTCATTATTTGCATTCCGATACATTTAAAATGCGTGAAATCGTTGACAAATTCTTTCCAAGTAACTGGATAATACCAATTTATATGGGAGTAACATTGAATCTAATCGATTATTGGGAAAACTTTAAAGCTGCCAAATCTGCTCTCTTGAATACTTGTAATAGTAAAATGGTGAAGTTAGTTTTCAATAGTCGAGGTGGTTCAGTACCAATGCTCCTTAATAAAACACATCAGTTATTAAAAGAGGGTACATTGACTGAAGACTTTGTTCTTGACAATATAAATAAAATACTGAATCTATTACTAAATTCCAATTTAGTTCTACGTTGGTTGCTATTGCATAGTAGCGATGTCATTTTCTATGATAATAATAGGAAAACTAAACAACTCAAAGATTTGGTACAGAAAGAATCCAATTACGATCCATTAAAATTGTTAGAGTTACTCATAAGCACTGCAGAACTGGAATTGAAAGTGAGAGATATATTAAAGAAGTTATTAGATAACCGAAGCGAGTCTTGGATTACCAACAAAGCTATTGCTTTAGAAGCCATTAATAATTTGTCAGAACTGTTTTCCGGCGCAAAGCCAATCACCAAAATACAAGAGAACGAGCAATTAAAACTATGGTTTGATAATATAGCAAATCAAATTACCTCATTGAGTGATACAATTACAACAAAGTCCATAAAGAAAATAACACAACTTATACAAGCATTAGATGAAGTGGAAGAATTTCACGGTATTAAGAGCACTTCAACTATATTGCAGTTTTTATCGGAAAGTAAAGAAGCACTCAAAAATGTTTTAAGGGCAGCAACTCTTAAAGAAGATTCTTTAGTCACTTTGGAGACTGTCGCGGATGTCAGTTATGCTTGGTGTATTATTGATACGTATACCAACTATATGCAAGACAGTATTAAAGAGAATCCCACTGTGACTAGCAGACTTAGGGCTCTCTTTCTAAAATTGGCAAGTGCTATGGAAATTCCTTTACTTCGGATAAACCAAGCACATAGTGATGATTTAGTTTCCGTATCGCAATACTATAGTAATGAACTAATCAAATATATACAAAAAGTTTTGCAAATAATACCAGAGATGGTTTTTAGCATAGTTGAAAAAATAATTGAACTCCAAACTTGGTCAATTAAAGAAGTGCCTACACGCCTAGAAAAAGACAAACTACGAGACTATGCCCAATTCGAACAGAGATTGGAAGTAGCAAAATTAACACATTCCGCGTCGACTTTTACTACCGGTGAGTTATTCTTGGCAGGTTGTTCTTCAATGCTAGAGCGTTCCATAGTTGTCCACTGGCCACTCATTATGACTTCTGTTTTTTAGGTATTCTTGATATGCGGTCTACTTTAGTGGGTGTTATTCGTGTAGACCCTGCTGAATTACTGGAGATAGGATTGCTTAAAGAATTAGACAGACACATCAGTAAGAAATTTGTAGAATTTTTGGAACCACCAGCAAAGAAGCCGTCGTCTACAAATTTATTACCACGGTTACAAAAACTAGCGGAAAGCATGGATGGATATAAAAGATCTTTAGAGTATATACAAGATTACATTAATATTCATGGCCTTAGAATATGGCAAAAGCAGGTATGGCAACCCCACTAAATATTAAAATAGATAGGTACATACATTATTTTTCTATTCATTCATAAAAAGCACAAAAAAAAACTTCATCTGTTTAATGAAAAATCGCCTACGACTCTTAAAATATCATCCTTAGGTACATTTATTTTCCGGTCAATATTTTATTATCCAGAATTGATGTCGGGTTCTATTAAACAATCCGCCAGGCTCCCACGTTTCTATCTTAATAATTAGTTCTATGATATAAGCGCCATATTACAGAGCTTGTCCAGTGTCTATTACTTGATATTTCTTACGTCCTGTATCACAGATTATATATAAATCAAAGCGCATACAGCTACCACTTACATCAGTCTATACTTTGTAGCCAAAGAGTATTATTTTATATATTGTCTTTGTTTGTAGTAACGTTCGTTTTATGTGTACGATAATTAATCTCGCCTCTTTTTAGGTATCTGCTATAATCAGTGAAACTGTAACAAAGGAAATAAGTTTACGTAAGGGAGTTACACTACATAGCCCATCTGCTGGTTTTATGGGGAGTTTAGCACGGCAGATAGCAAACTTAGCGGATGCGAGGTAACCGATTAGCGTGAGGGCAGTTAGACTATGGGATTTGATAAGCAATTGTTAGATCGACTATTTGGATGACGTAATAATATTCTTTGCAGGAATTGTGTTTACGTGAGTGTCAGTACAGCGTGGTATGATGTAAGAAATCAAAATGAAGTACTAAACAGTAAAACTTTTTCGAAATTGAATGAAGCTGTTGGTGTTGTCGGTTTATTTGGCCTTGACACATTGTATGGCCATATGATAAAGAATCAGCTTCATAATGTCCACCTAACACTCAGACATACTCAAGACAAAAGCATAATGGGAAATACGAAAATAGACTTAAAAGAAATTGATCAACTTCTCATAAAAGGACAAAAAACCTTTCAACAGTTATCAGAAGTTTTAGTTTTGATAGGGACATTGCAAATCATCAGGAAACATATTGCTTATCAACTTAATACCATGTGTAAATTTGACTCTGCGCATTTGGAAGCAGCTCTCAGAACATTGAATGAGTAAGTTTATTGTTCTCCAAAAAGTGCTATTAAATGCAGAAGAAAACCTTTTTTTATTCATTAACTAAAATAGTCCTGTGACATTAATCAGTCACATGACATTTCGAGCTGTGACGTCATATTTCAATAAACGTGAGTACTGGTTGCACTCGCAACAAAGACGTTGACATTTAGTTTATTGACACACGATGCTACGTCATAGCCCGCGTTTCGGTTCTTGTAATCCATAGATTATAGATTTCGCAAAAGTAAAATATACTCATATTTATAATTTATTTTAAAACATAATGTACTGTATAGGTATTTATTATTTACATTAACCATTTCCAAATATTTTAAAATTGTTAAAACTGCCAAGAAGTCGATTAAATACAATATTTACGACTACATTACTATATAATTTTTAGGTTTTCCAGGTTTTCATAGGTTCATCATTGAATCAGATCAAGTTTTAAACCTATCTAGGACACAGTTTATTGTGTACAGTACCATTTTAAGAAATTTTATGACACCAACCATGAAATATTTATTACAGTTCTTTGATCAACGAATTAAAACAATCTGTAACAGCTTCTAAAATTGAGCATAAAATTTCGGCAACATTGATACAACGTTTTGAAGAAAACCTTATCAGATGTGGTATCAGTGATCCTTATGAAAAAATTTATATGAAAATGCCTCAAGATCTTTTACATTTAGAAATGGGTCGCTTTCTAGCATTGCTTTTGATATCACAGTTACAAAAACTGCAGATTTGTCCTACTACAGGTAACTAATATCTTTTTCATAATCATAATATTAATAAACGGAAAGCTCGTGACAAAAATGTGTAAGAGCTTTTTAGAGCTTGATATTTTTGTATGTTAAAGTACTAATGATTCCACCAGGTGTTCCAGCACTTAACCACACTACTGAATGATATATAACATTAGTACTATCACATAGTGTAATATCAAGCTTAAAAAAGCTCTTGTACATTTTTGTAAAGACCTCTTAGACTAGAAAAGATAAAAAATAACAACACAAATATTTTTGTAAAATCGTTAGAATGTAACTATTTAACAAAAGAAAATTGGGGTTCTATGATCAATACATTTTCATGTCTAAAGATATGCTAATAAAGGATAAAGTACACTTTCCGTTAAAAGAATTGTGTATTACGAAATCGTTGCTGTAATTCCATAAACTCCTATAACGTTATTGTCTGTTCACAGGTGATATTATCTCGAAGAAGACAGGAGAGAATATAGATGGCTATCCATTATTAGTTGGCATTTATACAATGTTGCGACAAACAAAAACTGACCATATGGATACATTTATTGATTTCTTATGTGCTTATTCTAGAATAGCCACATTGAACAGGTTTACATTACATTAGTAAACATTTAACACAAATTAGATTACATTAAAAAGCCATGATTTGTAATGCATTGGTAGAATGTGTTGTGTCTTCGAAAGTTGTTTTCTCAGTTTTATTTGGCAGCTATATCAAAATTACAGATCACACTAAGGCTCTTTACTCATGGCTCGATGCGAAGTAATTCGATATCGATGAGCGATATCGCACGAATCGCACGCCCTTATAAAACGTATGGAGAATCGAAAGTGTTTGCTCATGAGGTTGCACAATCTGTCTATATCAGTCACAAATCTTCTAGACAACGAATCACATGTACAAACTCATGGTCTGCGATATCGCTTCAAATATCTGTTTTGAATTTTTTTGTTCAGTAAAATCGAGGAGAGATTCAGTTGCACAATCTTACTATATCATCAAAATATATTAAATTTGACAAAAAAATATGTAAATATTCATCATAAACAAATGAAAAGCTCGATGGTATAGTGTTTAGCGCGTTTAATCTACGATTACGGAGGTCAAGCGACGATCGCAAAGGCCGGTAATCGGATGGGTGGCCAAATTTTTTGGCGTAACTATTTAGCACTACCATGCGGTACTGGGCCATGATTACTGAGTAGAAAATCTGTGTTTTAGCACAGCACCACCAATCCTCATTTGGACCTTCACGCTGGTCCAGTGCAGAATTCTGTGTAGATTTGTTTCATCAATTAAGGATATCTGATTTATCACCACCAACCTGCGTGCCCAGTTAGGAATGCTGGGTGGATTGGTTTCATACAATAAGAATATATGTGCTTCAGCACCGCCAATCCGCATTGGGACCTTCACACGGGCTTAGTTTGGAATTCTGGATGTTTTGGGTTCATCTATTATGTGCGCTTTAACGCCTACAATTCCCATTGGGATCTTCACGCGGTTCCAGTGAGGAATGCTGGATGGATTGGCTTGATTCTGAAGTAGTTAGTTAACTACTTCAGAATCAAGCCAATAAATCAACGATTTGATATCTATTGAATTGCATATAGCCATGAGTAAATAGCTTAACTCTGGCTAAAAATTTGTAAATAGTATACAATTAATTTGATATTGCTACATAACCTTTATAATTAAGTTATTTGAACATTTATCGTGCAAGCATTACCAGTAATATTAACAAAGATCTGTAACAGTTATTTCTTAGGTGATGATTCTAAAAATACCATTTCCTTTTCAGAACAAAGTCTTCAGAAACAATCACAGATGGAGGGTTTTCAGTTCGAATTTTAGAGTTATACTGTGAAATATTCAATTATCCTTTTAATAAAATAGAAGACAAATTACCACTAGTACTTTTATCAAATCCTATTCAAAAATAAAAAATGTAATGTTGACATTATATAAAAATGTTTACTTCTGTATTATATCATAATATATTTAGATGTAGATAATATATTTAAACAATAATAAATTCTTAATATATTCAATCTCTGTAGTTTTGTCTGGCAAGTTCTGGGTTGAACTGTGAATTGTATTTTGGTTTTATTTTAGCCATATTACTTGTTGCTTCAGGTTGGCAAGTTAAAGTAGTGTTTGTGAATCCACTTAAAAATAATTCTGTTTTATATTTTTCTGCTTGTTCTCTCTTAAGGCGAGCTTCTCGTAGCTTTTGAAGGTTTTTATATTTGTCTGATGAAATATCTTTACTTTTATTAGTTTTATTTTGACTCTTGTCACTATTATCATTATCAAGTTTCATTTTATCATTAGCAATAATTTTATCTCTACAATATTTTTTAAATTTGTTAATTGGATCATGTCTCTGTTTTGCTTTCCAGTCATATTCACCATTATGGACATCTACATGTTTCTTCCTAGGTTTTCCATCAACATCTTTTAGGACCAATTTTTCATAAGAATCTTTAATGTTAGCTGATTCTGAGAATCTGGCACTGGAAGCTACTTCATACCAATTTTTCTTTTTAAGTGACTCATTGGTATTTTGTCCAAGGTATGTCAAATATCCAATGTTTTTCTCATATTCTTCTTGTTTTTCTTTTAATTCCTTTTCATGCTCTTTATTGACAGTGCTGACAGAATGATCAATATCTGTAAATAAATTAATGTGTTCAGGAACTTCAGTAGTTTGTTTATTTAATTTTTCTTTATCAACACCTAATGCACTTAACTTCTCTTTGCTCTTTTGTTTCAAAACATTAAGTCTGGCTTCACGATTGGCTGTTTCAATGCGTATTTTCTCTTGTCTTTCTTTTTCAGCAGCTTCTGCTTCATCCTTTCTAACTCTTGCTATATTTTCTTTTGTTCTGACATGCCATCTGGAAAAAAAAAGTATATTTATGATAGACATAGGTATTAATTACTTCATTATGGATTAACATAATCTCCATACGAATACTTTATAAACTTTTTCTATTCTATTTAAAAATTACTATTCCATGCTGACCAGGGTGTCGTATGAGCACAACTTTATCTTAGCTATAAATGGGTCAAATCAAAGGACATAGATTTATACCTTTTAGATGCGATAATAACTCTCAGTAATTAAGAAATCTAGCTAATATCAATTATTAAACTCGTATTTAGCATTCTCAAAATTAATGAAAATATTGGTTGCTAAGCAAGTAGCTAAAAATCGAAGGGTTTTAGGTGTTACATTACAGTGACTTACCTCTTTTTTGGTAGAATATTCATTTTATTATTATTATTATGCCCCTATTCATATATTTTCTGTCTTTAAAAATATGTATGTATGTAGGTCTGATATTTTAATATGCAAATTTATGTTTAAGAGTTTCTTCTTAATTTTAATAGCACTTTGCGTCACCACAAAACTGCCAACTTCACGTAGGGAGACGGAATTCTCAATTTCAACTAGGCATGATCTGAAATCGAATAATAGATTATTTAGAGTATATAATCGATTTTTCAGATCTCTTTGGAATGTTACATAGATTCTTGAATCTATGCATGGACCCCTCAAATCCGACAGATTCAATTCAATTTAAGAACTAGCAATATAAAATTCCTAAATTGGCTACGATATTTTTAGTTTTTAATATTTTGCTGTTGTCAGTATAGTATAGTTGTCATTACTGTCACTGTTACTCTAACCCATGGAATCACCCATACGTCGCCTGTCTATTATAATAGACTGCCTGTTTGGTCTCCTGCAATTCTTACTTTACTTGTATTAATTGTAAATTATCATCAATAATGCTCTGTCTATATAAGGCATGTTTGATTGAATAAATTCGCGATTAATTGAAAATCGTTTTTTAATGCATGATTTAATCGAAAATCGAATTAAGTATATTCGATTTGAATCCAATCGGAGGACTATTTTTTTCAAGTAAATTGACTTACCTAATTTCAACACCGTCCGCCAATGTCAATGAGACGTGCGTGTGTTAATCAGACCTGGGTAATTAAAAGCGAATTATCGAATCATTTTGATTCGTTCACAACTTATAATCAAGTGATAGAATCATGAATCTGTAATGGACTTGACTTTTTGACTCACACCTTTAATTAAACAGTGACGTAACAAGCAAAATATCGTCTAGTTCTTTTGAATGAATATATGAAATATTTAATTTAAATAGGTTTTTAAAAGCTACGAAAATCTAAAATATTGCTTTGTAATATTAAAAGCAACCTGTTTTCCTCATCCATTAATCGTTAATACTGATACTTAGAAACTATTACTACTACTTATCTTATGTGATAAGTAGTAAGGAATTTTCTAAGTATCAGTATAAACTTTTGATGAAATTTAATTTATAAATAGTCAAATATTTTTGGATTTTGCCAACTGTAACAGTAAAAAGGTAAAAATTAACATTTTACTTAAAAAAATAAGTAAAATTGAATTTATGAATAGACAATTATTTTTGGATTTTGCCAACTGTAACAGTAAAAAGATAAAAATAAACACTTTAGGAACCTTAAGTGATGGAGACAACTGGCCAGGGAGACCAAAAGGATAATTGTCTCCCTCCGAGCTAAGTGTTTGTTAGCCCGGGGACTCCGGTCCTACCGATGTGAGTTGGACGTTCTATTTATGTTAATTGGTAATAAAACTTATTCTGTGCGATATAGGTTTCTTTGTTCTAAATGCCTTGAAGTTATTAATTTATGATGTTTGTATCGGTACAGCGCCATCTCGTTACTTGCTGTTGAAACTTCTTGCAGTTCGTCTTGCTATCGATGGCTGTGACAATGCTAGTCTCCTCGCTATCGATTGTTGTGGCGATGTTAGTGCGATGAGTTAGATGTCGCTATGTATCAGTCGCCACAACACTATACTTAAAAATTTGAGTAAAAAACTTTATTTCGAATTGTTTTATTATTATAGAAAAACAAAGAAACATTTTTGACGATTGGCACAAATGGTAGTCGTCCAATTATATTTTATGTCATCTTTTTCTTGAGTTCAAATCCAACTATTCCGAGTAAGCCCTGATTTTCCAATTTCGCGATCTTCCTCGACGGGTTATTACGACAATTTGCCGCCTTCGGGCTGCGAGGCTCACAAGCACCACGTAAAGTTGCGTGCCTCAGTTCACCATGCGCTTTGTACTTCCTGGCACACACCATCTAGGTGCCATTTTGTCTTCCTTTCTCCTATGCCACAGAGCCAGCGGCATTTAGAGGAAAATTTTTTGATCTCTCTCTCTTTGATGCAATATCCGCTTGTTCGGGATGCAATATCCATTACTATATTCAAAATTCTTCTTATCATCAATAATATTTCACAAATAAATACATTTTCAAGCTAATTTCAAACCAATTTAACAGTTCAGTTAGAAGACTAGTTTCCATAATATAATAAGATTTGTCATAAGAATATAATCGGTATGGATAATCGAGTTAATTCGTTTTATTACTAATTTGGATTGGTCTGTGACTGGACGCGACGCAAGAACGCAAGAAAATAACACCGTTCAATCGAAATCGGTGCAAAGATTTATTTCTACTCAATAATACTGTTTATTTCTTTGTATATTTTCTGTTTTGTTAATTTTTAATAGTCACGCAATGTAAGCACCAATAGTTATCTTATTTGTATACAGATGCGATTCCGTTTATATCTAAAAAAATAGGTTATCAATAGTCTGTGCAGTAAAGTTCAGTTTTACTACAATTTTACCATTTATAAGATATGGAACCTGTTCTGGAAAAACTTCCAGATACCCACTCATCAACAGATAGTGTGAAATTAAATGAAGCGAACTATCAAACGACTTCATTTCAAGAAGAGGTTAATCTCAAGTCAAATGGTATTGCAGACTTGGAGAATGTAGTCAATTCGGAACCCAGCAGTGTCATTATCTGTACAGAAAAGTCTGATCTTAATGAAGATACGGGCAGTGTTATACAGTCTGTTGTTAAAGATTCTTTCAATACAGAAAGTTGTGAGGAAAGTACTCAAACAGTGGAAAAATCTATTGAAGTCAGTGAGACTGAACACATGCCTGTTGAAACTGTGTCGGCCCCTACAGATGAAATAAAAAATGTTGAAAATGTAAATAGTGTGTATATAAACTTAGAGCTTCCTTCAGAGGCAACATCTTTAACTGCCTCTGTGGATATGCCAATTAAAGATTCTAATATAAGTGAAGTTCAAAGTGAAGAGGTAGTTCTAGAAACTCCAAATGAGTCTCTCGAAGGTGATAATGTAAGATTTGAGACAGAAGTTGTAGTTGAAACTAATGACATAAATGAAGTCGAGCTGACTGAGATGAAGTTGCAAGATTCTGCTCATAATATTTTGGATGAAATGAATCAGACCATTGAGTTTAGTGAGGTCTTATGCACATCTGATGTGACTGATAATGTAGAAAATAATAATTGCTCAATAAGGCAAGAAATGTTTAATAAAGAAGAACTTTTAGATATTTTAGAAGGTAATGATGTTCAAGGCATGGAGCACCAAATTTTGCAGGTCAATCAAATAGAAAATAAAGGTAAGGAAACAGAAATTGCATTAAAGCAACTGACTCGATTAAAGAAAACAAGAAGGCCACGTACCAAGGAGGTGATCATGCAAACACAAGTACCGAAGAATAGAAATATTACAGAAGTTAAGGATGTTCAGGTCAGTGACCATAGAGTCAAAGAAGTTTTGCAAAATAGTAAAAGGAAGGAAATGGGATTAGCATTAGAGCAATTGACACGATTAAAGAAAGCAAGAAAGCCACATTCTTCTGAAGTAATGCAATCACAAACACCTAAGAATAAAAATAAAACCAAAAAAGTTGAAGAAACTAATAAGGATGATAATATAGTAAATGCTCTAGTAAAAGATTGGGATGATGAAATGGAAGAGGGAGACTCTTTCAATGATAAAGATGTTTCTACAAGTACATCTGAGCAGTTGTTGGAAAGCTCTGCAAGTGCTATCAAAGAAGAAAAAAGATGCTCAATTGATTCTGCTACTAGTGATGGGCAGACTTCTGCTGCAAATAAGAGTGCTGATGATGGGCAGCCGCAAAGAAGATTAGGTAGAGTAATTAAAAAGAAAGTGATATTTGACCCTGATAATCCAGATACATTTACTAAGGGTAAAGCTTATATTAAAAGCAGGGAACCACAAATTGATAAAGATCAGCCTCCTTCAAAAAAAGGTAAGATAGAACCAATAATGCAAAGAGGGAAATCTAAGTCTCCTGTTTCAAAAATGCAGTGGAAGAAACCTTCATCAAAGAATAGTAAACAGAACAAAAGATTGACTGAAGTTGACAAGTTACTAATGGATGAAGGGGCTGTTAATATGATTTATCAGTTGACTCCAGAAGCTCCAAAAGGAAAGAAAAACATGCGGACTAAAGCTGAATTTATAAAAAAACTACAAAGTTCTACTCCTGAAAGCAAAGAGATGAAGTTTAGGGAAAGAAAGAAGGATTCTAAAGGTGAAGATGGAGAACCTAAAAAGATATTAAGTGGCAAACAAAGAACATCTTTGAGTAGTTCTGTTAAATCTCCATCAGTTTGTGAAGAATTTGAGACCCACAGTGCAGATGATTCCATAATTTATCGGCGACATTCATCAAGCTCCTATTCAAGTAGTTGCATGAGCCCTCGTCGCCTTAGTGATGTAGAAGCTAGCATTAATCCAAATGCAAGTACTTCCCTGCAAGGTGGTAGCAAATTGCAACTTGAACCTGAAAGTATTCCACTTGATGATGGAGATATACAACAAACTCCTGTCAAAGATATTATCAATAAAGATGACTGCTTGTCAATAAAGAAGAAATTGAACTCAAAACTATCTTTAGCCTTAAACAAACGAAAAAGAGATAGCATTAAAACAGACAAACCACTGAAAAAACAAACAAAACTGAATGACACAGGTGATGTAACTAAATCTGGCTACTTTAAATACCTGTCACTAAAAGTCGATGGAAGGGTAGCTGGGATATTCATCAAAGATACTAATGCCAAATTAGGAGTTGAGGTATGAATTATGTTTAATTGATTAATTTTTAATAACCAATTACATAAGGCTTTGATTTACTATCTATGTTTATAGGTATGTTATTTATACATATAAATTACCAAATTTGATTTAAATATTATTTTACAGATTATGAAGGAATTTATTGAAGTTTTGTCATATGTGGATTTAAGACCAGACACATCTGTCACTTTGATAACATTAGAAGGTGGAATGTGTTCAGAATTAGATATGAAACCATTATTAGGAACCGATATAGAAGCAACAATTAAAGCTGCAAATGATATAGCTGAATCAGTAAGGTATGTCAACAAGTATATGGATTGTTTATCCTATTCCAATAGACTTGGCTGGGCCAACAAGAAAATTTCTACCAGTAATCTAGTTTTATCTGAAATATATTCTTACTAGTTTAGCTAGCGGCTTCGCCTGATTGATCCTATATTATACATATAAACATAACTCTTGAATCAATCAGTATATTAATAATTTATTTGCCTTTAAATGGACAGGTCGAAAAAAACTTATTAAAATTTATTGTGTAGTATCTCAGGGTACAGATAACAGGAAGTAACTTAATTTTATACTATGTATAGATATCTAACAGTAGAAATAAATTTAATATTGTTATATTTGAAGAGAAACAAAAAAAAAAAATTGATTAATTTTGCATTCACAATGCTATATTGGAAAATATTCTTTGTGAAAAATGCTTAAAAAATCACTGGTACTCTAAGATGGGATTCGAACTGACGACCTTTCGCAATCCACTGAGAGCAGTCACTAATCCGAATCGATATAGAAGTCGCCAATTGACGATTTGATTCGAAAGGTCGTAGGTTCGAATCCCAACTTAGAGTACTAGGGATAAAGAATATACATTTTTTTAATATATCTTTAAATATTAACAAATAAAGGTACAGATGACGCCAAACAACTTGAACAAATGACCTTGCATGCGCAGAAACCGATACTACTACTATATACGCAGCTACTTACTTCACGTGTATCATTCGTGTGCACGTTTACCACTCAGTCACTCATGCAAATAGGACAGAAAAAATACAGAAATAAATAGTTAACGTAGGAATAAGAAATTCTAATGCATAGGTTTTTTTGCTCGTAAGTGTACATGCGCAAACTTTCCCCCACCACCACACTTTTTGTTCAAGTTGTTTGGCGTCATCTGTATTTGAAAACTTATTTAAAATTATGAAGCAGTTTCAGGAAATATTTTTAAATGAATGCGATTGACAAATAAAATCATTGAATTTGGAATACTAGGGCCATCACTCAAAACTGAAAGTGTATACAAATGATACAGTAGTATTAAAAAAGATGGCACTCGTAATTGAAATAGTCACTACATACTTTGAAACATTTGTTGTGTTCAATCATAGTGTCTATGAGAAGTATTCCTATTTTCCTTCTGATGTAATATTTTTTGTTTTTTTTTTTATAAAATATTACCTAAGTAAGTAGCTAATACTTGTCTTAAAAACCATTATTCAAGAGTTTAATATTGAAGTAGGACGGAGGTTTTCTGTAGGTTATTAAAGCCAGTGGAGGCACATGTGGATGCATATCTATTACCTTGGTGAATTAATTGTATTTTGTAAGTAGTATTTGTTGCACCACAGAAATTTAAAAACGGTATCTGTCTACAGATCGCTGTTGTGGGCGATAGGTCAGCACAGTAAGCTGGTTTGCGTGGCGGTAAGCGGTGCATGCGCAGGCGTGGCGACTGCTCTCGTCGGTCTGGCAGACGTGGCTCTGGCGGCGGAGGGCGCCATTGTAGCGCTGGCACATGATCCCTCCGCGCCGCCAACGCCATCCCTCGCCGCTTTACTCACCTCTTACCGACAATTACCGCTACCGACGGTGAGTGACAAAAGAAAATTTGCCTTTATTTTTATCGTGCAACATACACGATATAATATTAAATAAAATGAAATGAAAATGTCTTTATTCAAGTAAGCTTGTTTGAAGCACTTTTGAATCGTAAATTTATACCCATACGCAATTTTATAATCAATTCTCAAAATATCACAGGCGGAATAAAACTAACATTTAAAAATAAATCTATTGCGAGAGACTGCACTTACCGGCATTACTAGTATGTCTTACTAACGTTCTATTAAGATTTATTCATTGCAATATTAGAAGGGACAAATTAAAGAATACTGATTTGAATGATTGATCACTTGAAAAATATTTTACATTAGAATATTAAGCATGTGACTGCGCATCAAATATTTAATTAATTTATTTTACTGCACTTACAACTATTAGATTCTAAAAAAAATGGAGTCACCAACTGTCAATTTGTGTAATAGAATATGCTAGGAATGAGAGTTTCTATATAGATAACTAACCAAAGATTTAGCCAGAATATTTGATTGAATCATTGAGTAAGTAATTAGATATAGATATTTTATTCAGCTTTATCTACGATTACGACATTTCCTTAAAGAAAAACCTAAGGTATTTTCAAAAAATCCATAAATTCCATGACGCCCTACTAAAAACCTTAACTATATACTTTACCTTACATTATACGAGTAGTACTAGACATTTCTTTTTTAGCAGTTTGGCCAAAAAGGTTTTGTAGTATATTAAAGTTAATTATTGTACTTTTAATTTGAAAAAAAAAAACAATATTTTATTTTCTTAATGAAAAATGCTTAAAAATCCACTTGTCTCTGGCACTCTGAGATGGGACTCATACTTTTCGCAATCCGTGCGACTGCTCTAAATATTTTTCAGTTTAGCATTTTGAATGCAAAATTGGTCAAATATAAAAAAAAAATATTTGTAAGAAAAAGAAAGCGATTTAATTTTGAATGTGGAATATTTATTTTCAGTTAAATGACTTGGCGATATTCGGCCGCCGATTATCATCATTTGAAGCATTACAAGGCGGCCTTATTAGTCGTGTGATATGTAATGCTGGGTTTTCCGCTCAAGTACAAGCTGTCGTCAATGACATCGCAAGTCAGCCCAAAGAGGTGAGTAATCTCAATAATCTTCATAACTGTCATCATCTCCGATGCGTTGACAGTAAGCTTTCCAGCCGGTACCTCGGTATAGCAACTCGGATATAGAGTCGTGTGTGATACCTCCATTATGCACACACATATGACGTTTGGGACATAGACAAGATTGGTATAACGCGTACATGTCGGTGGTGACGTGGCCACATAGCTCCCCTGTTCTGCAAAGCGGTAATGAACCACATCGGTATTGTCTTTGGTCGATGGAGTCGTCGTCTAATTTGAATTTCGCCCGCCAATAATTAGGTGTACAGCATTGGCAATCGAAAGTTATGTTAGGCGGCGCCAATTCCTTATTTTCGTGATGCAGTTCCTCTATATCATCTGGATTTATACGACCGTGATCGTTTTTCACGACAATGGAAGTCTCCCCTGGGTCGCATTGACGCCAATCGGTAACTGGATTACAAAACTGTGAAATGGATAACGTTTTTTTTTTAAAATAGATGTTTTACATAACTGTTCTAAAAAAGAATGTATTGTATTTAGAGTTAAATAAATGTATATGAGGTTTTTATTTCTCCATAACTTTTAAAAGATATCGGATATGAATGCATAAAGCCATCATTAGAAACGTTACATCATCCTGAGTGACGCTAGTTATATATATTTTAAATATCGCCATTAAAAAATGGAAAAAAATGTTAATTATAGTAATTAAACATAATAATGTATAATAAATTTAAGGTCTTGATGAGTATATTCCAAAATGAAATGATTTGTGCATACACAATTAGCTACTCGTTAAAAGGAAATATAAATAATTAAAAAAGTAAAGTTAAAATAAATAATTAAAAAAGTAAAAAAATCAAATTAAAAAAAAGAATAAAGTTGTATTATGGCTTCGCTAAACAATGTTCTGATTGTAGTGGGGAGCTATCTTCGATAACAAATGTTCCACTGTCGGGACTGCAATTAGAATTTTGTTTAGTCAAGCCATAATATAACTTACTTCTTTTATTTTTAGTTACTATTTTTTTATTAAACGTTTCACTAGTGCGAACTACGGTAATTGTAACCCCGTGAATTTTTTAATCCTATTGATTTTTTGATTCAGTAAATCTCATAGGATTCGTTACAAAATCCGTATACGAAGCGCTCCTTATGCATTACTAATTAAAGTTCAATTTGTAATTCATTCTTATATTCGCAATGATTTTAAAATTAAGGTGTTATTTGATTACCCCGTGACCGTAATATTAGATATCAACAGCATCAGACAAATACAATAAACTACTATATACGGAGATTAGACAAGGTTTGAAAAATGTGCATTATACCCGATGCTATTCCGTGCAGCATTTGTGTAAGAGTCTATTGTATTATGGTATGTAATCCTACGTACGAGAAGCGATAATGGGTATGTTCCGATATACACTGCGACCACTGAAGAGTATGACGTCAGTTTAGTATACTGGAAGCCCGTTCCTTTATAGCTAGTTATACTGGTGACTTTTTAAAACGGAACGCAGTCCAGTATACTGTTAACCCTATTTTTTGGCGCCATTTTTAAATTTGTTAATGCAAGGTATAATACGAATATAAATACAAAGATTCCCTCTTTTCAAAAGAAAATATTATAAAATTGGAAAATTGTAAAATAAAATTATTTATCCGTCTTATAATAAACGTAAGTATTTTTTTTTGTTTATTTAGAAACTTATCATTTTCTGATTCTGTTTCGACTGATCACGTGAGCAAAAGCACTGCGAGCACCTTTCCTCGAAATCTCCAGTGCTCACAGTACAAATATGGCGGCAATTTATGACGTCATGAATTTCCCTAGGGTACTGTAGCAGTGTACTGGCAGTCCATAACGGAACGGATTTTTCAGCAGTAAGACCACTGCGCAGTGCTCGCAGTGTATATCGAAACATACCCAATAGCAATAAGAAAAGTAATTTCGTAATTGGCGATTGTTGTTTAAGATATGAAAACAAAATAAACTCGATTCTATTCGATTCACAACTTTCTAGAAGAAGGAAAAGCTGATTAGTAATCAAGAAATATTTAATTTAATTAGGTTCTCTTATCGATGGTCTGGTCATGACACCGTGTGGTGTTGGTCTTTTACGGAACGGGCGTTTAATGTTCTTTACATTCAATATGTTTTTTGTCGGCCATATTACATTGTAGTGGGCAGAGATCTTTAACACGGATATACATACATTACGAATGTAGTTGCTTGAAGCTACTTTCGTTCCATTAACTTCGCTAGCAGTTGCACGTGTAAATGTCTACTTTCGCAACGCATGCGTTTGTTTCACGACAGTCAAGTAGTTTCATACAATGCGAATATTTTTGATGAAAGTAGTTTCACGCAATTAATTTCAACTTGATTTACTAGTGTGAAATTACTGTTGTGATACCATCTGCGCATAGTAAAGCTTCGATGTTGACGCTGTCATGGTCTCCAAGATGCTGTTGATTGTACGCCATAACGAAAGTACTTTCAAATGTGCCGAAATTACTTTCGCGAAATTTGTTTTTAGTTTAGTGACACTACTTTCGTAATGTAAAGTCGGTTTTAGATAATTTTAGTTGAAACGTTTTGTTAGTACTTACTTGAAAGTAGGCTCGGTTGTTAAGCTCGATACGTCGGTCGGGCGGGGCGCGACTGTCGCAGCGGCGGCGTCGAGGGCACCGGCATAACCGCACCAGTGCGTCCGCGCGCCAGTAACGATGCAGCAGGACTGCGCACGCGTTCCGCTCTCCGCACAACCGCAGACCACGCTCGCTCTCCTCCTGCCATAGAACACGTTTCAACACGTTGAATATTGGAACAGTATTACTAAACAATATTTTCAATATATTTTTTTTAGTAGTAAACATTTGAATAAACAGGCATTGTTTGGTAAAATGCTACAAATTACTCATATGATTTAGCCTCGATATTATATGTACGAAGTGTCGGTTTGTTGTTTTGTTCTGGATTTCTTCTAAAACTTAGGAATTACCACTTTAAATACGACATGTATTAGTTTGAAATGAAAATATGTGATAGCTTATTTTCATTGGTCGGTCACTGGTTTATCTAGCGATGAAATGAGCTCACAGAATGGCGCTAAATCCGTGACAGTTGTTTGGCTTTTTTTTCAGGGTGGTGAATATGTTGCATGACTCCGCTATCGAAAGCGTCAAAAATTTATATTTTTCATATGAAACGTGAAACTGGTAAAACTTGTATACCCTGGATCCTCAAGAGGTTGTTACCTCTGTACTGTGAAACTCGACCATAGATTGTCTTTGTGTTAAATTAGGTTTAACGACACAATCTTCTGTCTGTGGTCCCGAAGGTCACTTCACTTGTGATACTTACTATACCATAATAATAAAGGTCTGGTTCCTCGTCACTAGTATTGCCGGAATTATAAGGAAGTAGAATGAATAAAAAGAATAGTATATTGATTTTTGCCATTAGTCTGTGAGCTACTTAACGCGATTTGTTTCTGTTTGAAACGGCTAAATAGGTCATCGTGAGATAGATAACGGTAACCTTGTATGATATGCTTGAAGTCTCAATAACACAATATATCCACTATAATAAATAATGGTTTTCGCTCTTGGTTTATAGTTTATAAAAAAATAAGTAATCTATTTTTCAATTGACAATATTTCTTTTGAATGAACAAATGATAATTTTATGACAACTCAAATCCCAGGCTGGAAAGGTTTCAACAGTTCAATTTGTAAAAATAATGTAAAATCAAAACAATGTCAATTTTGTGGAAGCCATAATACAACTTGTTTCTTCCATTTTACTTAAATTCTGACGGTCGTGTTTTTAAATTTCAATAATTAATATTAATTTTAATTTTATTCCTTTTAGTGAGCAGCTATTTATGTATAAATATTATATTTTTTTATAATGTACTAATAAAGAGACATTTGATACAAATATTGTATAATTAAAGAAAAAAAATATTTTTTTATGGCTATGAATTTTTTTAATGAAAAAAATTTAGCCAGTGTCACTCATAATGCTGTAACGTTTGTAACAATTCCCTATATACATGTTTATCCGATAGTTCTTTCAAAAGTTATCTTTGAGTAAAGAAACTCACACATACCTAAATTAACTCTATAGATCTTTTTTGGGCAGTCATGTAAAAATTACATGTGCTTAAAACCGAGAATTATAATTAAGACATTATTAAAAGACTCTCAATCCATCATGTTACTTTTGCTCCCAATTCAAGGTTAACTTCTTTCTTAACAAATATATTAATTATATTGTTCTTTCAGGCAATACTGATGAAGAAAAAATTACTAAGTATGAGGAAACCTTCAGATGATGTATTCTTGGCACATTTGGAAACAGAGCGAAGTCTAATGGTTAACTACTGGACATCCGATGAGGGTCAGGAATCTATAAGAGCTACCATCCAAAATCTTTAATAACTAATATAAGTTGCACGTTACATTTAAATTTACGGGAATTAAAGAATGTGTGGTTAATATTTAACCTTTCAGTATGTTTGAGATATTTTTAGTGCGTGCATATAACAGATATATGAATTTAAGATATCAGAAGACAATCGCTTAGCGAGAGTAGTAGATGGCGTCTTAAACGCTACCAAAGGTGGGATCATAATTAAAGTTTGGTGTTAAGGTGTGAAACAGAAATATCTACGACAGAAACAGTTCGACTTCGCTTCACATCAGATTATGTTTGGATTGATGGTACCCAGATGGTAGTACCCAGACGTGGGTAATGTCGTTCGTATACTTTTTTGACATTTACACAAAATAATCACGATATCGTGTAGCGCTCTCTGTCACACTTAAGGGCATCAGTGATGCGTCCATTACATTGACTAGTGTGATAGAGAACTATATTGCACCCATATTTTGGTACTAGTAAATAAAATAGGGAGATTAAATGTCAAAATCGTATCTACATGTTTTTAGATGTGAAAATTTACAAATATATGTCACTTGTGTATTGTTTACTTTTGCGAATCTGTCTAGAACGGCGTTAAAAATCATAATAGAGGAATATTTTTTTAATGATTAATGCATAATTCTTAAAATTATAAACATCAATTACTGTGCACTTGTTTTTCATATGCCTATAATATCTCACCATGCACATAGTTGTTTGCGCGTATCTTGTACAATTCCGATAGACATATGTGTGGATTCCATATTTCGTTTCGAAGGATCGGTCAGGGTTTTTGTAAGTGATTTGGGTATAATTAGAAAAAAATACAGAAGACCATGCGCTTTATACATAAGAAATAATGTATGGTAAACAAAATAAAATGTGGGATATACTTTATACGTGTGTGTGATTGATGGTACATTAAGATAAAACTAATTCAGCATGTGGCTCATTAGTCGTATCTTGCTGTAACACAATATAGAGAAGCTTTCGTAATTTACTTGAAACGCTCACAGTAATTACAACGTATTGAGAGGGAACAGCTGGCAGACACGAAATTTTAATTTATATTATGAACTTTGACTGCCATATTTTGCCTTTTCATACTAAATTGTTGTATTCAACTTTCCCATACATAATCGATTTATCTAAAATAAGGCAGTCTCTGTTAACCTAATGGAATTAGAGGATAGTCATAGATTATTATGTTATGTTATAGATTAAATTGTTTATGTCTTTGTTTTAGATGTTATGAGTTTATGATTTAGAGCAAAATATCTTATTTAAACAGCCAAAGTTCTATACTGAAATACATGTTGTTAAGAAGTGGCTAACATTTTCAAATAAGAAATTATATTATAAAAGTATTCATTCCTTTCTGATGCAAAATTGACTGTTTTATTAATCTGTCTCTTATTATATCTAGGATTATTTTATAAGCTGTATACATAAGTATAGCAATAATTTATTATGTTCAATTATCATTATTACCTAAATAAAAGTGCCTTTCATGATCATAATTTGGATTATTAACTTTACACATGAAATACAACTTTAACTCTTAGACCACAAAGTAGTAAACAAATTGTTCTTGCGTGGATTGGAAAAATTTAAATAAAAAATTACCGTTGTAAGTTTATCTTTAAACTAGTATAATTCTTTAGCTTTCTTCGATTTGAATTTCCGATTTTCTTAAAAATCATAATGCAAATTATGAGACATGTCTCTCAATAACTATTTACAACTTGAAATCATACTTCTTATATTTTGCGCTTAATCTTGATATGTAAGTGATTTAAATTTTCGACAGTTCACGGGAATCGAACTATTAATTCGCAATCATTATTTTCAAACATGTTACAGTGTGTCAGGCGCGTCATTGGTTATTTACTGTTTGTGCCGCATAGTACAAAAAACTTCTTTCATATTCTTAATGATTTTCGAAGGGGTGGGGGGTGGACTGTGTATTTAAATCGCATTACTTCAGTATTCCCAATAACAAACTACTAATAACAGACTTCGTTGTCCAAAATAAGTTTTCCACCTGCCAACACTGTTGTGTATCAGTGTTGGAAGAACACGATATTATGTCGCGTTTTCGACTATACAGCTGCAATAAATAAATGCACTAGAAGTTGAAATATTAATAACATTAAAATTTTCGATTCACTTATGTGATCAAGAACGAGTACAGGAAATGAGGTAGTATTTAAAGAAAACATTAGTTCCCAAAATCAAACTAGATGGCGCTGCGGTACATTCTTGATTTCTCCATGACAACACTTCCGGTTTTGCTTACATGTTTAAAAGTAAATTAGTTTTCGAAACTCAATAAACAACTCATATTCTATTTGTACTTTTTCGTATTTGTATTGATATTTAAGTTTCGAATTTTTCAAATTACAGTTTTTTAATATGTTAGTAAAAGGAACGGAAATTATTGTCTTTGGTCCATTCGTTTCCTGCAAAAATCAACTTTTGCTAGAGTCGCCATCTAGTGTAGGTGATTTTTTAGTGCTTTGGTTTTTTTAAATATAACCTCATTGGGAGATACCTGGAAATTATTCTAACAGCCGTATCAATAGTCGAACATAAGTATATAAATGCAAATATTTTTAACAAATAAACAAGAGTTTTAATGAAGTAAGAACTATTAATAGAAAGAACAATATTATTATTAGCTATTAACAGTTCTTATTTCATTCAAAATCTTGTTTGTTGATTAAAGTATCTGCTTAAGTTATGTAATTTCTTATTTTATATTGATGCCCAGTAAACAATATCAATGGTAAACTGACTACTGACTGAGAAACTGATTATTTTTTTGGGTAGGTACTGGAAATTATTTCTTGTGACCAAGGCCATAAAATAATCCAAAGAGCTAGGGCATAACTGCTATTAAATTTCATACATTTATATAAACGCTCTGGCATACAATTTGTAAGACTATTGTAACACAAACAATACTGACAAATTAACTCTTGGTAATATTATAACAAAAAAAAAAGTGTGAACGAGTTAAATGTGAATGTTATTTGGAATACAATTTTATATTGTTACTGAGTTGGTCATTCAAGACTTCAATATGTATTTTATGAGTAAAATTAAAGTGTAAATAAATATTACGTTATACTATATATATATAAAAAAATAATAGGTAATAATTATAAATGCATAGGTGTAGTCTAATCTACAGGTAAAGTTATTGTTGCACGTCTGTTAGTGTGTTACGCATAGGTATTGAGTTTTATTGGAAGTGTATTTGGACCAGTGTTTGGTTTATTTGATAATTTAAAGTTGTGCGAATAGTAGTTGCATAATTGTCCAACTCTAAAATAAAACGAAGAATGATCCCGTCATAATTTGAGGATTATGTCATTATCACGGTATAAGTGAATTTTGATTTTTCATGATAATTTTGACTTGTATAAGTTCGATATGAAGTCGATATAATTTTTCGAAAATATTTTCCTACGCAAGTAACAACTTTAAAAAAAATATAACCAGCACTAA